GGAGATGTGTATCCGAGAAAGTTGGACGGACTGAGTGAGTGATGGAGAGAGGACTGCGAGGGCTGCGAGGATGCCGTGGTGGAGGGCACACTGGTCTAACAGGGCAGTCTAAACTGGAGGGGCCGATCGTTTGTGCGGTTTCCGGGTGTAGGCCGGATGGAGGACGGATGGAGGCATGCAGATCTAGGAAAACCCCATCTGTCTGGCCAGTTGATCAACATGGGATTTCTGTTGCTGATGTCTGGCAGGGTGGTGGCCGCAGCCCGTCATTCCAGGGAGCAAGAGTCCTGGCCAAGGTGCGCGTACAGTGTCGACAGTGTGTCGGGTGAGATGCTAGGGTGTTAGAGGTGTAAGGGTGCGACAACGTGGCGACCAAAAAGAAGAAAACAATAAAATGTACAGACGACGACGGTCAATGGAAAGTAGCAGCAAGGAAAGGAGCGTTGTAGCGTGCAATGTGAGAATGATGTACCCCGTCGTGTTTTGGTTGCACACAGCTGAGCCCAAACCATGTACGACCCTGAAGGGAAAGGTTCAGGTTAGGTTAGGTTAGGTACCTACAGTAGACAGATACAGATGAGACAGTCTCAGAGAGACGGCCAAGCCCGTCTGCTTCTTTCGTGTGCGCTCCGTCTGTAGAAGCTGAGGGAAAGAAGAGAAGAATCGAGTTGAGTCTTGACTTAAGCCGTCCACCTCGACTCACGTCTGCTGCTGCTTCCGTTGTCGCAGGTGCAGAAATGTATGAGGTGGTCAGCACGGCTGTCTATGCTATGTAGAGGTGCAGTATGTAGGTAGAGGTAGTGTATGGAGTGTATGACAAATGACGACTTGCTGGTCTCTGGTGTTGTTGTCTGTGAATATCATTAGTTCCTACCCAGCAACATTCCCAGGGTCCGAATCCAACGCCATCGTACGGTTTTTTTTTTTTTTTTGAGCGATACTCGTCTGGGCTAGAAGCGCCTCAGACCCCTATTGCCAAGACGCTGGCGACAAAAGACCAGCGGACGACCGGGGCCGACTTGGACCGACTGGGTAACCGCCACCTCCGTCAGCTGAAGTTTCCTGTCAGAGTCTGGTATGGAACCGAACAGCTGGAAAAAGCGAAAAAGCGTTGAGAAATCCAGATTCGCTATTCCATCTTACCCTTGTAGGCCCATATAATCATATTCCACTTCTCCACTTTGAAATGCGCATCTCCGGGGCCTACAATACTGTCCGAAGTATCTACAAGGAATCCGGGCAGCCATTTTTCTTGCATTTAAGGGTGATTTTGTAGAAGGGGGGGTGGGTGCACAGACCCTCTGGAAGCCGCTGCCCACTGTGATCGCGAGGTGACCCAAAAAGTGGGGTAAGTCGCCCGGTCCAGGGGGCCAAAGGCACCCTTGTACTTGCAAATCCGGCTTTACTGTATCGACTATCGCGAGTTTCAAAGACTCTGTCCGTTGACTGGTTCAAAGACAAATTGACAGTGGCCAGATGAGCGAGTTCCTGAATGTTAACGGCAAAGATGGACAGGCACATGTCCTCTTTAGAACCTCGGCGAGGCAAGATCGTTGTCACAGCCACAGTCCGCTGTGATTCGGACAAAGAGAACTTGAAATGTTGGCGGACGGAAAGCTGTTCAGCCACACAAGGGACGGGGCCCGGAACTTGGAACCAGAGACAGTGCCGCCGCCATCCGTCCGCAAGAATAGGTACCTCTAGACGAAACAGAGAGAAGGCAATGGTGGCTGCCTCTTGGCCGATCTTGTCAGGTTACGGTATATTCTCAGTGACTCCTCGATAGCGCAGAAAACTGAACAACCAGTCAGGACCCGGCTTCTGCTTGGACCCTTCTTCGCCTTCCAATCTTTTTGGTGTTTTGAAAGGGGAAATTGTGAAACACCAACGAGGACCACTACAGCAGCAGCGGGGACCATTCTTTGCCCGTTCAAAGACCTCCCGTTTATTGTACGAGATGACACTGTTCAGCCCAAGGCTTGGTGTCACTGATGTACTGTGGTATAGCATCTGATTGTTTGGATAGTTTATTGTGATAAGAGGTTGAGTCTGGAACGGTCTACTATAAACACCATGCTCGCTTATTCCCGCCGAGGGTCAATGGAGGTAACGTAACGCTCCGGCTTGGGCCACTGATACCTACCTGTAGGTGAGCAGCTTTGTCTTTTTTCCCCCAAATCGATCATCTGAAAGAAGCACAATTCCTCCCATTTTGTTCACTAACACCCTCGCCTCAAAGGACCACTGTGCACCACTAATACGAAACACAAAGCGAAAACTCTACCACGCAGTAACCAAAGTAACCTTTGAAGCTGCAGGACATTTTCAACAGGCGCTCTTATGAGGTCATCAATTTACACTAAAATACGCGACGTCATGCTAACGACTTAGGACATGACGTCACCCTTGCCCCGCGAGTTTTAGGGCCTCTTTTATTGCAACGGGCCGGTTTTACACGGAGTTAGTGCAGGGTCAGCTGTTAGCGACAGCCGGGGGGAGGGCCGGTGCGGAGGGGTACCACTACCGCGCCCACCGACAGTTGTCCTGTTATTTCCACTTGTCCCCGGGTCGGGCATCCAGGGGCGACACAACGGACCCTTCCACTGCCACTGCAGACCCGACGTCCCTGTTTTCAGGAACAAGAAGGTCAAATAGGAAACGCGACAATGAAAGGAAGGTCCTCCGGGAGCCCATCGACGAATCCGATTAGGACCCTGAATATCCCCGGTTGGCCCCCAAGGTCACATCACACTCACGCCAATATGGACGGATCTCGACCGTTTGACCAAATGGCCTTCGGTATCACCAACAGGCACATTAGCCAGTCCGGCGCTTTTCTCACTGTCTGAGCATGTTATTAGAACTATCATGTTATTCTTCCTCTTATTTCTTGACCAGGCCAGATGTTTGGATCCTCGGACATCAACTTGATGAAGCCATCACGCCGAGTTGTTGGTGGTTCACTGTTGGCGCTCTCACGATGTCATATTCTCTGCTGACAGTAACGAGTTTATCGAAATTGACAACTCCCAGAGCGATGACATGCTCACCATGATGGACCGGGATGCTGCTGATGAGGATGATAACGCCGTAATTTCCAACAGAGTCAAGCTCGTATCGACAAAATTGATGAGACCCAGTTGGCCCTGCTCACCCGCCAAGAATGCGGCCAAAGGTCTCAACAATTCTGTCAAGGACGAGGCAAGGTGGAAAGTGTTATGGACGATGGCATTGGCAACGATGGCATGGAAGCCAAAGAGTTCGATGAGGAGACGATAGCATCAGGCTAATTGTTGAACGTATCGATCTCACCACAACAACCTTCCGGCTCGAGTCGGGCATGGCGGGATAGATACCGGTCACGGGGCCGTTACAGTTGATACCGAAGGCAACGGCAACGGAAAAGATCATGTCCGCATGAAAGAAAAACACGCCGAAACAGGATGAGACCGGAAGTGGAAAAGAAAGCAAGCAAAAAAGGAAATGTCAAAAAGGACATACAACACCAGGGATTCGCTGGTCGTCACCGACCCAACTACTAGTCTGGCCCTCACTGGCTTATCTATGGGAGAGCGGACGGGATCCCGAGTTTTCCAGTGGGTATGGTAGTATGTGTGTATTTGATCTGAAGCTGGGGGCTATAAAGCAGAGAGAGAGAGAGCTATTGAGTCTGTCTTAGGACGGGACGTTCAGGCCTGATGAAGGAGATTCTGGAGCGAGTGGCTTCATTCTCGATAGTTCCATTCCACAGCAGCGAGGCTAGTAATGGCCTCTTTGACGAGGGAAGCGGCGCCGGGGATAGATGCAGCGATAGTATTACCGCACACTTGCATCGTGGGTACTTGTCCAGACAGCACCAGCACACATGGCGCCATCTCACAAGACTGTGACTATCAGGATCGGATGACTGCCATAGATGAACAACGGTTTTTGGACTTTCTGGAGCGTGGAGGCACTGAGCTCGATGAGTTTGGTTACCGATTCAATTGTGGGATACACAATCGATGGAGGTTGGGAGATAATGTATCTCGATCAAGAATTGGTAGCTGTGAACGCTCACAGCACCATCGCCACAACCGGTTTCACCATTTCTTTCAGTACTGCTATTAACAATCTTGACAACCTCCTCCTTCGCGCACCGAGACCTGGACCACTAACCAAAACAGCGTCGGCCTCCCTCTTAAACCTTCATGTGTGCGTCTTTCGCTGCTGAGTACGGATCATTTACTCCTTTGCCCTTCAACTCAACCGTTGGCATGTGTGCGGGTCGCCTGCTCACCTTACTCCCAGTCACATCGCATCAGCCCGGTGTCTCTGCGTCTCCCCTTCGTATATCCCAATATACAGGCAGTCACTTGAACTGTCTATATAGAGGAACTCGGTCTCAGAAGAAGCCCTGACTACGGCTTAATAGGTAAGGTAACTCCGGGCCTTCGAGTTATGGTTTGGCGACCCCTGGGGTCAACTTCACTGGCTTGGTGGGATAATGTCCTGCTGACGTTATTCGAGGACTACGACGTCGGAAGAGGGACCGGGTAGGTATGCAGATCATGGTTATTCCATACTTCGATGAGGGCATATTCCGGGTTACGGGACAGTACACCGAATTGGACGCCATCAGCGGCCCAAACTCTAGTCCTTCAATGATTCCGTCTGTTCAAGTAAGAAATTTCGCCCAACCCTAGGTACCAAATCCGGCCATGTCGCCGACAAGAAGTACGCGATAAAGAGGCAATGAAAAACAATAAACTCTTTCATGTCACGGACGAGCTGGGTCCGGGTGGGATCAGGATTCCTATCGTGCATGTAGGGAGTTCTTGAGGCGAACGTTTCTGTAGAAATTCCCCTTAAAGTGGTAGGACAGATCACAGGCGTTTGGTCTCGATACCTTGTTTCTCATGTTGAATGTCACGCTGCTAAGTCTCACTTGAGTCGCCTCATAAGAGTACAATAGCAAAGCTCAAAATGCCCGATGGACAGGCAAGACCAACCACCAGAGGTCTTCTCAACACAGTGAGAGTTAGGACCAACATGTTTTCTACTCCATCTTCTACCGTATCCTGATATACTACTGTGAACTACCAGTCTCTACATGCCACCATCCAAATCCTTTACTCCCGAACCTGAACTATCGCCAAAGAGCAGTAACAATGCTCGCTCGCTCGCTCGCTCAACCCGTCAACCCACCTCTCACCTCCACATCCTTTTCCTCACTCACAAGCCACAACCTCCCTTTTCCTCACCCCCAACCACCATTCGCCCATTCACAACTTCCCCTCCCTCTTCCTCCTCTCCCTAACACCCTGCATACTCCTCAAAAGCGCATAAACCCCCTGCAACCTCGGCATCTCCACCCCCCGTCCCCTCGCAATCCTCACCGGATTCCCCACAATAACCTCCAGCTCCAGCGGCCTCCCCGCCTCCCAATCCAACAACATACTCGGCTTAGATCCCACATTCCTCTCCGTACTCTTCAAGATCTTCTCCGGCGCCGCAAACCCCTTGGGATCTTTATCGAACCCTTCACCTTTCGGTAGACCGAGGATAAGGGGAGCGGCATCCCAGATCTCGTACATTATGCTGGACAAAAAGAGGCGGAGTTCGAGGTCCCGAACCATCTCGGCGTTGCCAAGCCCCCCGGAAAGGACGGAGCACGGGTTGAAGGCGGCGTTGATGCAGAGTTTGTGCCACCGGATTAGTTGGAGGTGGGATTCGGACGAGAGGTGGGCGTCGCGGATTGAGCCGAGGTGGACGAGGTAGGATGTTAGGCGGGCGGCGAGGTCGTGGCCTTTTTGTTGGAGGGCGAGGTCGGTGGGGGTGAGGGTGTGGGATGGGGATGGGGATGGCGCAGATGAGGAGGGAGAGGGGGAGGAGCCGGTGGGTGTTAAACCGCCTGTTTCACCTTTGGGAGTGGCAGAAGGGGCTTCACGGTCTTTGGTAGCAGGCGTGCTAGTATCAAAGCTAGCGGAGTTAGAGTACGGACCGAGGTGGATGCGCGTCCACCGGTTCTGCCGGATCACGCCGAGGCTGATTTGCTCGGCCGAGACGACGGTGACGGCGCTGATGATGGGCGTCGAAGGGAAGCGGGTGCGGTAGGGCGCTTCGACGCCAACGCCGTTTTGGATCAGGACGATGCACGAGTTGGGACCGATGAGCGGGGCGATGAGGGCCGAGTCGTCACCGCGGTCGGGCAGCGCTTTGGTGGTTACGATGACGTAGTCCCATTGTTGAACAGGGGCGGAGGCGGCGGCGGCGACGTTGGGGAAGACGGCGTGCGGAGTGAAAGTGTAGTCGCCGAAGGAGTGGGTTTGTAGTTTGACGCCGTTGTCTAGCAGGGCTTTGTAGTTGGAACGGGCGATGAGGGAGACGTGGATGTTTTTGGAGGGCTGGTAGAGAGGCGTTAGAATCCGTAGGTAACGGTGAGTACGGTAAGAATGAGTGATGATGGATGATGAGGAGCCAAGTTATGTTTCACCCCTGACTTGTGAGAGGTAAAGTAAACAAACCGGGATGAACCTACATGATGCAGCCTCGACGCATAGAAACAACCGACGGCACCAGCTCCCACAAAGATAATGTGGACAGGCCTACACGGTTGTCAGTCATAAATTCGATTATGAGGTATTCAAAAATTGCACTCACTTGTCCGGGTCAGGATATCGCTTGATAGTTTCGGGCATGATGTCGCTTACGAATTCGAACGCAGTGTCTCCGAACGAACGAGAACCGAGGCTATCTACAGTGGTCTTGGCGACTTCCGCGTCGAATAAGCGCCTCTTCAAAATGCTTGGCAAATGAGATTTTGGATTGTCAATCGCCTAAAGCCAGTTGATATCTCAGAAGTACTTCTTGTTGATAGGTAGTGCCGGTGATGTTTGGGTCTCACGGTGAATGATGGTGGTGGTAAACGGTGACCAGCAGTCTGACCTCGGCTCAGCGTTGTTGGTTGGAATGATGAATGACGCAATCGGCAATTGTCATTGTGCGGAGAAGACGGCCTGGAACGGCAGCTGCGAAAGCGGAGTTGGACACCATTTCTTGGCAGGAACCATCCCACGGTTAACCCCGGAGAACACCCTGGTAAAACCCTGGTCTACAGCACACCATTTTCCCCACACCTAACCCTCACAGCATGCACGGCATCTTCTCCAATCTTCACCACTGGTCAACCGCAACTCAACCTCCTGCACAATCACACACACTTTTCAACCTTTCAACAACCTCACACTGTCGCGTTTTACAGTACGGATCTCATGACCTTTTCTGTCTCCTTCGGTCAATCTTCCGGGCTACATTATACGACGAAGCTTTTCTGTTCCTTACAGCATGCACATCCCGTGGATCCGCGCGACAAGCCATGCAAGTAATCAGCATGGCAACCCACACGCAGTTAAACCCGACCCCCGGATTACGTACCCCGGAACGTCGGGTCGCGACCCGGTGCCTAGAGTTATTTAAACGGGACAAACGACGAGCTATTCTTGAATCTCTGGGACTTGACGGAAGCTGATGCTGCGAAGTCCTGTGAGACTTGTTTTAGCGACGGATACAGCGGCCGAGCGGTAGGTCCCGTCTGGTTTTGGACGGTAGCATTCAGAACGCCTATGCACCGGTGTGGTTGTTGGACTTGATGTTGGGTGCCCTCCATGGTGCCGTAGGCGGCTCTGCTTCGTTACGCCCTTGTCGTCATCACGGAACCCTTCATGACCGTTGAAGCACACACAATGTGAGTGGTTGCATAGATATACTGTCTAAGACATATCCAGGTGGCATTTTCCTTGACATGCTATCAACTTCTAACCGTCTGCTGTGGTGCGCCTGCTTCACTTAACATGATACAGGACCACGGCAGATCTGAGACAGGGTTGGTGATCTACCAGGTATGTCTTGGAGGCTTCGAAATACATCTTGAAGCTTTGCATGTTGTCTTCTCTTCACACTTGACAAAGAGGTCGCAAAACTTGAGAGTCCGAGCATGACTTGCTCGATCTGTTAGCAGGCCTTTCGGATGAGATCTGAACTTCAGTTCCAAGGTCAGGGAGATTGCGCAAACCTGAAGACCTATATCAATAGTAGAGATTTCGGTTGTCAACATACCTACTACTACCTGTCTGATATTCGTCACACCGGTTTTTAAGCAGACGGGAACATCCGATCCTGTAACGGACGTCGTAATCAATCATGGATAAGGGAAAGTATCGTTCTCAAAGTGAATCTTCAACAAGACTTGATGAAGAATGCATCTATTGTCTATCATTTGAAAACACCGAAGATGCGTATAAGCATGTAAATCTAATGAAAGCTGATAAACATGGAAGTTCCATACATGCATCACGTCTTACAACTCGGCAAGCCAGCCGAACTGGAACAAAAAAGGGGTCCAAAAGGGAAGTACGGCAACGCCGTGTCAGCCGCAGTGTAAGTGAAATACGACAGACGGCAATTGGCATGTGGATAGAACTAGAAAGCAGTGAAATGAAAGTAAACAAATCACAGGCAGTGGATGTATGTGCTCCTCTTCGTTTCCCTACCCTTCCGTCGTCCAGAGACAACCAGACTCCTAACCACAGAGACGGTTGTTGAACGATGTTGACAAACACAGTGGCACAAAAGGGCTTTGCTTGTATCTCGTCCCAGTCCCGTCTGGTAACCTCCCATACGCTCACCACCACCACGAGTTCTAGAACCCCTTTCTTTCTATGCCTCTCTCTGTGCCCTTCCTCTGCCATTTCCGCGTGTCGAAACGACGACAAGTCGGTATGTAACCCAAGACCACGTGTATAAGTGTAACAGAAGTCGTCCACATCCTCCTGTCCTCCCCTTCTCGAAGCCTTACACAGCATAGCCCACCGCATACACAACACAACCTGTCGTCCACGCCCATGTGCCATGCCCTTTTGACGGCAGTATCCTCCTGTCCTACCCAGTCCTACCCAATTCCTTCCCAAAAGGTGACGATCACTCCATGCCAACCTGGCGTGTGGTGATCGGGCTCACAGGTGGCGGATCGGACTGTCTCATCTCACCTGAATCTGAGTCCGGCCGCCCCAGCCGCACCGCAACGACAGTAGAGAGAGCTCCCTCCGGAGGCCGGAAACCGGCGCCGGGACCGGAAGTGTCACAACGTGCTGTTGTTTGGTATGTCGTGGTGGATGAAGGATTGCCGAACTCCGAGGGGAGATTGGGTTTGTGTCCCGTCTCCACCTATCTTTCTTTCCATGCGCCAGGAGGAGACAGCCGCGGCGCACAACGTCTCTTGGATAGATAACTGTGGCCCGCAAGGCATGGCTACCTACCGACCGCCGACCGGCGGCCGGGTATCGGCGGGCATTGACAATAAGGAGTTGACGCTAAGACGCCGCAGTAGGCTAAGGAGAGCGGACTATCAAAAGGGGAAGAAGTTTAATTTCAACCTCACCTGAGGCTTGCATGATGCTATCTGTCATGTACTTGCTCTAGCTTCTCAGCCTCTGATGTCTAGTTTAGGTCCGGTCCAAGTGCTGAAAGCAGGAGCCGTCCTAATCCGCTAATAGTGTCAAAGTGTCAATCGACGGTGAGGTAGTAGGTAGGTGAGGCATGTACTACTACCCTTCCGGTCCCGCCTCGACAAGTCAACAACCGTCCTCAATGACAATGACAATGACGTGACACAGAAACAGAACATTGGCAGGCACCACCGCACACGGGCGGCACACGGGGGCGGCAGGCATGAGTAGGGCGAGTACGGTACGGGTACACACGGCGGGATGTCCGTCCGACCTGAAATCGGCAAGCCGACTCTCTCTCGAGAAGTACAAGACAGCGGCAGTCGGTTGTCTGATTGATGGGAATGGGGCTAGATGGGCTGGATAGGGCCCGGGGTGTGTGGTGTAGATGGTACATGCGTTTCGGGAACAATGACTTTCCAGAACTTTTTTGGTAGCATGTTGCATGACGTTTACGAAGAGCATAGCTGGTAATGGTGTGGGTAGTGCAACTGAAAGTGTGTGTGGTTGAGACAGCATGGAGGTAGATAGGTAATCAGATGCAACCATTCAAACGCCAAATGGAACGAACCACGGGCGGTTTTTAGGTTCTCTCAGTTGTCACCATCAGCACCAATACCGATACAACCCCGTTGCTTTTACAATTTGCAGAAAACATCCTGCACGTTTACGTGGGTGAGGGGAGGAAAAGGAGTTATGGACAGGGAGACAAAAGAGGGGTACACACCACCACCACCACAGCTCCCAGTTGAATGGTTCATGATGCTGGCTACCTTCCCCTTTGTCCGGTTGACAGACCATGAATGGCACCATGATCCGCGAACATCTAGACCGGCGAGGTAGGTTCCCCTCATCAACTCCCCCAGAAGAACAAAGGTACCATCTACCACACAACAACAGACGTTGTTGATTGGGGTATAGTATGTAACCTCCACTGATTCCCGCATATCATGTGAAGCTCAAGACGAGACGGTCAACACGGGCGCCCAGCATTGGGTTTGAAATATGTTAATCTAGCCATTGAGCTTAGACATCAACGTCAACCAGTTGAGATGTAGATGTGTAGACGAACGCATAAAGCGAACACCTTGCTTGGCAAAAAAGGTAGTGGGTAAGTCACTATTCATAGTGGCAAGGAAGCTCTCATGAACCTCTGTGAAGCTGAGCCAAGCCGTCCCTGCAGCGGCAGCTCACCTCAGAACATATCGCCTCAGCCTGGCCCCTTCAACCCTCCCGCGCCGCCGAGCTCAGCTATAACGAGCTACAAACAGGGCTTGACGGGTAATCGCCAACAACCTGTCACAAGGCTTGGGGGAGGACGAGGCAGGAGAGAGCTGAATGGACTTTGGTGAACACTGCGCATGCTCCGAACCTGGTGTTGCACTTTGCGATGATAGGAAAGGAGTAGTGTATGTAGAGAGGAAGATGCGAAGAGGGAGAGGGGATGATTGGGCCAAGCGACCGAGCCCATGGTCGTGCAACTTTTGTTCGCTTGCGGCTTCCTTCTTGCGTGCTTCGGTAGACGGCGAGGCCGGAGGGCCGGTGTGACTTGCCAATTCCGTGGCTGCACCAAGAAATGAAAAATGTCTGCGGTGCGATCGTCAAGAAACCAGCAGCATGATCAAGTTCATGACCGTGATTGGCGTCGTGGGGTTAGCAGAAGGAGGGAAAGATAGAGAAAGAAGCTGTTGGTTGCGTGGAGGAAATTGAAGCTTTGTCAAACGCGGGGGTTTTTATGAAAGGTGAAAATTCAGGTGGATGCAAAAGGTGGTGAAGAGAGGCACAAGGGCCTGCCGGAGACTGCTTTTGTTGCACGCGGGCTCCACTTTGAATTCATGGCCCGGGCTCGAGCTTCTGTTCCCTTACCCCACTCTTCTTCAACCACGACATGATCTCTTTTTTGGGACTCTACCACGAGTCCACGATGCCACCACCATCACGGCATCAGGGCTGGCCAGTGACAAGACAGAGCAAAAGCCATTGACCCAGGAAACGAACTCCTACCGCGGTAAACGAGACTTTTGAGAGGGGAGCTTCAGTCCTTGTCCACCGCAGCCGTTTCTAGCGTGCACGCCATGCTCCGAAGAGTGAGAATAACGTCATTTTGGGGGCCAACCACCATGAAGGTGCCGACCACCACCCCTGAAGAACCGCACATGAACTAGTAAGTTGCCGACGGTCCGAGTCTGAGTGTGCAACTCACTTCCTTTTCAGGCGTTCTTTAGAGACACAAAGCTCGTCTTTGCTATCACCTATGTCGACCGATAAGTCAGTCCAGAGGCTTCCTGCAGAGAACCCTTTTGGTTTTCCTCCCCGTACCCTTGTGGTCCATCATCGAGTGATGTCTTCTGAGCTGGAGAGGATGCAGAAGAGGAGACGAGAGCTTCCCCCGCTCCCTTTGACCCGGTAAGCCGAGACGAACCCTTGAAATTCTGAGCAGATCATTGCAGCAACAACATCAGCAACTTCGGGCTTGACCTCCTCGTCAAGGCTCGATGTGATGCGCTGAGTCTACAAGCGCCGATGAGGGTGAAAACCCGAGCTCGACGAGGAATCATAAGCATTCTCTGATCTGTCGCCTGGCGAAATTGAATGGAAATGGCACATGTGTGTGGAATCTTGCCGCCCTCCCCGCCATCACTTGTCCTTTCCGCATCGCCCCGAACTTCTGAACCCCGAAACGAAAGCACATGGCCTGGAGAGAGTGCCGAGTATGGGATTGGGGTCCGGGTCTTCTAGAACAATTGCAGAAAACGACAGTGTATCAACCGGTTGGTTGCACAACCCGATTGCCTTGTGATCACCCGTCCAATTTTCGGCATGCTATATAGCATATCAGTGAGATGACACTGCTGCTTGGCAATAAGGGGTACACACCTGCCTTGTTGAACGGGAAACGAATTTACCTTCAACCTATGCTTATCCAGACAGCAACAGAGACAGACACAGCATTTCTGTCACCTCCAACAGTCCGATGCAAAGGAAGCATACATGGTTTTGGCCACATTTACACCCCCGTGGATGGCATATCAAAACGGTATGAGGGGGTTTGCATAGTGTCAGAAGGTTATCCCGACACGATCATTCCTGTGCCCAGGAAGGTAATACGTGATACTACCGTATTGCATCTTCACTCGTTAAACGAATCCCCCATGAGACGTGATATATCATTTTGGTGCTACCATCAATCTGAGGTCAGGCGGTCGATGTATTCTGACATTTCACATGATGTCTAGTTGATGCTGGCATTTATACCGAAAAACAAGGTTGAGCCTGGCGAGTACTACTCGACTGCCAATTACTGATGCGCCGTGTGACTCTCGATCCATTATGAGGGCAGTGAAACAGCGAGCACCGGCAGTAGCTCAACGAACCCAAGTGGACAGACTCGTGATGTAGGAGCTGACTTGAGACGGCAGAATAATCCCATCTTTTCAACAGCACGAAATGACTGGATAGTAGGAATCAAACGAATTATGGAGGATAAATTCGCATTCGCCTTGGCTACTTCTTAGGCGAATGCAAGGTGTGAGCCGGTAAAATGCTTCACGGAGAAGGCGGGCTGACCCGACGAATCATGGATTATATGCATCGGGCTTCGGCACGATCTCTTTCTCAGAGTAGCAACCTCGAGACAGCAACAGAAGGCAAGGTGCACCCAAAAAAGAATTGTGACCACGAGAACGGAGTTTTGGGTGCCTCAAGACTGGACTGGTCCACGTTTGTTGGTCGATTTGATCCTCTTCGTTCCATCCGCGGTATAAAGTCGGCCATGACGCGGCGAATTGTGTCAGCAAGGTGGTTGATGCCCCTGTCATTACCGATCTGGGGAAACTCTGGAGAAGTCGGCCCCTTTTGATGCAGCTTGGTGGAGACCATCTTTTTAGGCACCTTGAGTCTACTTGTTCAGCCTGACATACCGCTTTCTCAATAACCCGTAGCAGGCGGCAAAAGGAGTGATGAGGCTGTATCAAGGGCCTGTGTCAGGTCGTATGGAACCTGTCAACCCTTGGATGACCTTCAAGAAGCTTGGGATCCGTGTGGTTGTGGTTGTGCTTTATGCTGCAACGTTTGCAAACGGGCCGAGATATCGGAGACTCCTTGTAGAAATACGGGAATCCTTGTACATATAGGCTGCAGAGCTGCCCGTCGATGCCGTTGACGGTCGTGGGGTGTGCGCTGTGGAGGTGTTGGTTTTCGGTTGCTCTGATCCGATCAGCCAGCATGGCACATTGTTGGGCCCAAAGGAGATATAGTAGCGATTCTCTAGCGTGGAATTGGGCAAGCGAGGAGGAGCTCCATGGCTACGACGGGCGTAGCATCAACAAGGAGGACGAACCTCAGGGTCACCGGCTACAGGCCAATTATACAGCCCAGGGACGGGTTAAGACGGGCCTAATTCGGGGGTTTCCTCGATGTAGGAACTCAATCCGGTTTCAACCATTCTCGCCAGCCTTATTTGCGCTCTCTTGAATAGGCGACCGAGCGGTTACAGCAAGCGTAGAGACAGAGAGAGGTTGCCATGTCGCCGCAGTAAGCAGGGAGGCAGGGTGACTTCTCGTCGCAAAGACCCGGGGAAGGCCGGACGTGAGGAGGATGCAATAAGCCCGTAATCGAAAGTGACGGTGGAAAAGGCCGGGTGGAAGAGCCCGGATGGGAAGGCTGGGCGCGCGCTTGTCGTGGAAGGTGGTGCGCAACAAAGTGAGATTGAAGTTGTGTGATGAGAGGTCGCTCTCGTCGATGCGAATCGATGGCTTGCAGTGCAAAATGGGGCCGACTCGACCCCCTGGAAGCCAACTTGAAGAGAACATCTCCATAATTCCCACAGCACCCGGCGACGGAGATACAGTCACCCCTGAAAAGTTCGTTAGCGTGGTACTTGCAGAGAGCTCTTTCACCACTTTCAGGAATGCTAGGTGGCATTCCTGCTATGAATAGCATCTGGTTCGTTATTGCCCGCTATAAGTGGAGTCAAGTTTTGATGCGATGTGTGTGGGACACCATCAATTGTTGTTCTTACCCTGGGTCTGGCTCGGGTTGGACCAATAGGACCGCCGGAATTCCATATCCTCTGCCTTGTCCGAAGATGTTGCAGGTCTCGCGCTAACAAACTTTTAAGGGTTTACCTGTACTTGAGAAGCATCAACCACTACCGCCCACTATGCTGCCGTATATCCGGGCATCCTTTCCTCCATGGGCTTGCTCCTGTCATTACACACGTGCGATCACGACCCTCCTTCCATTTCCTCAACCAGAGACTGTCCCGAACCAGGAAGGAGCCGAGTTGGGGCTCATCGTACCTACTAAGGCTACCTTACCCACTTTCGAACCATCATCGCACCGTCTTCAGAAAGAACCAGCCAGGGCCGACAGAAGCATGAGAGGAAGCGACGTTTCGACTTGTGAGGCGGTGCAAGCAATCCAGTTTCCCCACGCTCAGCTCATCACCGATCTGTGGGAATAGCACTGGATCCGGGGGCAAGCTGCGTAAAATGCGACTGATATCAAGACATGAATATGGGGGTCCAATGAAGACATCTCGCATGAGTCTATGGTGCGGAATGTGGGATGAAGGACGGATGGCAGGCGACATCAATGATGATGGCTTGGAGATGGCTGCCCGGGCTTGCGATTTCCATCCCGCTCTGCTCCGAACCTGCCACATGCGCCTGCCAACAGCTTTCAAAGGGGGAATGCCCGACCCTTGATGCTGGGCCCGCCGCGCCGCGCCTGCCATGCTTTCATCATTTCCATGATACAACAAAGCCCGAGGTTGTGATTGCCTGTCTCAATGACCACCCCCAAGGCAGGTACGTACTCGTCTTCTCGTCTCGGTCTTTCCAGGTTCTTCCCTATGTCGCCGCTCATATTGCCTTCAGCTCGCGTTGGAATTGTGTGTCTCCCGTCTATCAAGACAATTGTCTTGTAACAGACAACCTACGGGTGAGATCTGACTGTGACAGAACTCGTGCCTGAGTGAAGCGTGCAGTGTAACTTCCAACGGGGCAACCTCCCATGCCCACCGTCGGGTCTGGGGCTCCATGTGGTTGTAATGCGAGGACTTTTTCTAGGTCATCATAATCAAGGATGGACTCGGAGTTGAAGCTTACCTCTACAGCTTACCTTGATCATATAGGCAGGTACCTACCACCTTCTTGCCCTGAGCCCGGAGCTTTGTACCTCATGCGAGCATCATAGTCACTGCGACTTCCTCTGCAACTTGTGCAACCTGTGCAGCTGCGGTCAAAGGTTCAACTGGAAGGAATCAAGCCCACCACACCCGGACTGCACCTGCTCTCCTAGCATCCCGATCTGGCAGCTCCCGTTTCGTCACTTCACCCCGGGCTCGCCTGGTGTTCCCGGCTTGGGGTCTTGCTTCCCTTCCAATTGATGGATGAGCATGCCGGCTTTGATCTGTTCCATCATATCTCCATGTTCTGCAACATTTGCTAGCCTTATTTCGACCATAGCCCACCCCAGACGGCAGGGGCAGCCCATCCCACAATGCCCAGGAATGGACGACGGGATGCAGTGCCAGTCTGCCAGTGACTGCACGCAGTGAGTGTGTGGTTCATCAGCAGCATGGGCAGCACGGGCAGCGATCCATTCATCATGATCTCTCTTCGGCCGTTCCTATCCCGCCGTGGCCCATGCCTCCTCTCCAGGTAAAAGTGGCATTCCCCGAGCCCCCATATCCCCATATCGGAGGGGACAGGGAGACCTTAAAAAGACCGGACCACCCTCTTGCCCGTCGGTTGCCGACCTTGGGATACCTTACTCTCCTCTTTTCTGCTCTCACGTTCCTCTCTTTGCCCCTTTGCGTTTCCCAATGAGAGCGGCGTCTCACCTCACCTCACCTTGGCGGTTAAGACACCTATCCGACGTACAGACCTACCTACCTTGATCTGTCTGGAAATCAGGAAGTGTGCTTGACCTGTCGCCCGGTTGCCGCAACATCTCGATTGACTTGAACGTCCACTCGAGCAAGTCTTCAGCCAGACAAGCTGTACTGTCGAGTCGCCGACCCGGATATCTTGAGCTGGGAAAATTACATCGAAACATACCGTACATCTTACTACGCGAATACAGTCAGCAATCTTCACCCCACCCCGACTCCAGTCTCCGGGTTGGTCTCCAGGTTGGTCCCCCAAACAGTGCAGCTCAGCCGAGATCCCCCCCAGGCCCGGAGTACAAGGCGAACCCTCCCGACATCATCCCGTGAGGTTGCAGCAGGATTGCAGGCAAGCAGTGGTGTCCCATGTACTAGGAGCCCCACTTACGCCCGCCAATTTCCAGTCGGTCCCCGTTGGAGTCCCCGGTCGGGCAACCCCCCAGGGCCCCGTCACCTTTCCGCCCACCGCACTAGCCCACCGTCGCCCACCGTCGCTCTCGCGCCCGCGACTTATACACGAACTTGGGTCAAATCTCCACTCCAAGCCCACCTTGCCTGGTCCTATCTGCCATCTTTATATGCTTGTTTCTTCACCGGAGTCATCGGCATCTTTTGCTTTCCCAACTTTTTTTTTGGTCTTATTTCCCCCCCATTTCCCGTCGACCTATACCCAAGCGCATTGGCATGAGCATTTGAGAGTTTGCGTGTTTCGACATCTTTTTTCCACTTCAAAGAATTTTTCCAGGTGCCCATCCCCCGAAGCGAGAGCTCACATCAGTGCACTGGACCACCCCAATTATAGAGGGCGCATTACCCGGGAGTCTCGACCGCACTTACATCAATCGCCTGCAACCGTACACTACCATCGATAGCTCCCCGATCGAGTCTGCACTTTGTCGCCCCTGAGCAGCAAACCACCGACATACATACAACTCCGAGTACCAGCTCCGGCGCAACAACTTCAGGGAACCGAGTCGCAGATACAGGACGCGAAAGTACTGGCCGTGATTCCGCCACCAGTCACACATAACCAGTTTTGGGGGAGGAGAAAAAAAAAGTTTGGCAATAGGGTTCTTGTGCTAGGATCCAAGCTCCGATTCCGCAGCAGCGTCACCGCACCACGTCAGCGATTTCTAGATATTCCAACCCACCCAAGTTTCCGTTGCTAGCTCCAGCATTCTCGAGGCCTGAAGTCTGAGGTCCGATCGCCAGCATCACCTTCAACACCAAACCTGAAACCTTCAACAACCATGCTTATCAACGGTGAAAAGTGGGCTTGCGAGGCCTGTGTGAGGGGCCATCGTGTGAGCAACTGCCAACATCACGGTGAGTAACTCCATGTTGCCGAGTTCGCATTCTATCCCGTTAGCCCTACCACTTGATCCATACTGCACTGCACTGGAAGGTCGGCTTGAAAGGCAAGGGGGCGAGAGTAGGTCTTGGGTGGTGCTGGAACCTGGTTCCAAGACGAGGTGACTAGCCTTGTTGAAACCCCCAGATCGTAGAACCGTGGGCAACCGTGGACAACCGTGGGCACTCGGATCAGGACATCGTGAGACGATGGGACCGGGAGAAGCATTGAGGAGGGCGAGGGCCATTTCTGATCACCGAAGGCGCAGCTCATGCAATTGGCAGCGTTTACCCAATCGTCTTGATACCCGGTCTTTGCGTTCGGAATTTCGCTAATTTTGCGCGGTGCGACTGCAGATCGTCCACTCCAGCACATCAACAAAAAGGGGCGGCCGGTTTCGCAATGTCAGCACTGTCGGTCCATGCGCAAGTATCGCGCCTCGCATGTCAAGTGCGACTGCGGTGAAAAGACGAGCAAGTGTATTCACTTGCAAGTAACGGTCGAGGGTCACAAGGGTGAGCATCCAGTCTTCGCTGTGCCGGGTTGATGAGGCTGTGCTTTGTCTGACTCTCATATCGTCTACTTGCAGAAAGCTGCTGTTGCAACCATGGCGGTCGCTGTACCTGCTGCCACAAAAAGGAGCATCCTCAGCTCGAGACCGTCCCCGAATCTGACTCGGACAAGAGCTGCTCTTCTGTGTCGCGAAGCTGCTCAAAGTCCGCTTCCCGTAACAGACGCAGGGCCAACACAACCAACTCGGATGCCATGCTCTCTTTCGATGCCAACGGCCACCACAAGCCCACGTACAAGCATACCAAACCCTCGCAAAAGTGCGGTCCTTACACGCTCAGCAGGGGTAACTCCATGCATAGCACCACCTCAAGCTTGGGAGCTCGCTCCGTCGATAACTTGGACGTCAGCGGCAGTGGCATTGCCATGCAGCGTGGAGCACAGTCCGAGTCCGCCTCGCCACTTATGACGGGCTCTTCGACGTTTGCCCAGCTCAACGGACAGCTCCCTCCTCTGGATCTTTCCGGTATCAAGTACACCCCGTATGTCCCCAACAGCGCGGACTTCTTTGGCAGTCTCTCCGACAATGACCAGCCCCTGTTCAGCGCCGGTTTGAGTGCTACCTCTGTTGATTGGAGCCACTACGAGGGTCTCGACTTGGGCAACAAGTCGGCGGATTTTGCTCCGTCCAGCTATGGCCAGGCGCAAAGCTACGGCTCCTTCGATTATTACGGATCCGAGTCGCTTTCCACCTTGACCACCAACACATCCACCTCGGGCGACATCTCTGAAGTCGAGGACTTCTTGCCAGCTCTTGATGACTGGGAGACCGCATCTGGTTTCTGTGCCACTACGCCCGGTAGCGGCTTTGGGTTTGGCCAGCCCCAGCCTAACCTCTACGGTGCGGCTGACCCTTTCCTTGACTTTGAAGAGTTCAAGATGATGAAGGCCGGTGCCAAGTTTCTGGCAAACAACTCGTCACTTACCAGTGAGGATTCCAGCCTCTTGACGAGCAACTTGCCCGATTTCAGCAACTTTCCCCTCGAGGATGATCCGGCTTTTTGGATCACTCATTACGGCGGTTTGGCCCTCCAAGACCCCGCCCCAGCCGATGGCACTGTCCACCCGCTTTGGGATGGCTCATCATGACGAGATCTGTTTTCAAGTTACACCAACGAAGCGATGTTTCTTGCCTTTCTCGGATACCCATGCCCCGTTCTTAGTCTGAAATAACAATCCTACCACATATACCGTCGGTTCGATACGATACCATGGCCCAATACGCCTGTTCAGTATCAAAAGGACCAAGGGATGCTTCAACATGGAGGTGGTTATGATGGTTTTCTTTATATCGGCGCAGCAGAGAGTTGTTCTTCTGTCGTTTTCTTTTCGTTTCTTGTTTCTTTTGGGTATGGAAGTGGCAGGAACGAGACGATTCATTTGACTATTTTGTTTCTACCAGTTGCATCAAGGCTTGATTCTGTCTTGTTTGGGTATGAAGGCATCGCATATATGGCACTGGAGTTGGCGGCACTAAAAAATAAGAGAGCGAAAACAAAAAGTTGGAAGGCCTTTTGCTATATCATCTGTTTTACATATACCATTTTCTATTTCATATGCATTTACGATCAGCCCTTCTCATTTTCGCAACAATACCTAGCGAAATGCGACGCTCCTTCTTCGGTTCGAATGTCAAGTACCTCATGCTGTATCACAGCAAGTGTGCCCCCCGGCATTACGAATTGGCGTCCTGGTATTCTTTTACAGGAATTTATGGGCAGCCGTCTTCCGTTGATCAAGTCTTATTCCTTGTGCCATCTTCAAGGGGCTGGGGGCTTCTCTTTCCTTTCATCGCCAATCCATCGCTTCGGCCACAAAAGCATGTCACCGTCACCATCATCATCGTCCGTCAGCGACGTCGGAACTTGCTCCAACATTGCTCACCGATAGGAGGCCAACACACAAAGTGGATGACTGGCTTTACTGACTCGGCGTGTTTCTGCCCATGAAGAGGAGTGGATGAGCTGTAGTTACCAAAACTGCAGTGATAGCGTCGCGTTTCGTCCAATACGGCCCATCCGAGCTACCTCTACCGAGCAAGACCGAGTTTCGTCCTAACCTCCCCCACTTTATCCACGATCAACCTTTTGTTGGCGTCTTCCACTTGTTGGCATCCAGGGCATCGCGATCGTTGCTCGGGATCGACAGCTAAATTGCACCAAACAGTGTAGGGGTAACGGACAAAGTGGGAATCGGGCACCTAGCCCTAACTTTGGCTTGGCGCGCCCATCTTCGGTCAGGACAGTGGAGTTCCAGGTCAGCAAGCCCGGTCAAGCACTGTTGAACACAGTCAGCAGCGCTGTTCGTTGTTGTTACAGCGCTGTGGTGAAGTTCTTCGGAGAGGAGGGTGGGTAACGGCGTAGCGCTGATGTGGGGCCGGCAAGAGAGAACGGAATGCCTTGATGACGTTGAAAGGTGGACATGGGCAGATGTGCTAACAATGAAGCCACGCTACCTTATACCGCCAGGGTTCAGAGCTTGCGAAGCTAGGGGTTTGGGCTCATTCGGCAGTCTTCACATACCACCACCACAACCACAACTTCATCTGATATTGCTGACCACGGCAGTTGATTGTCGCATCCCTAGTGCGCATCTACCCTTCCTGTGATCTTACGGCAGCGCACAACCGTTACTTCTGAATTCTGAACGCCGTGGGCATATCAAGAGGATATCAGCGGCGGCAGGGTTCACGATACTGTAAGACTTGCTTACGTACGGCGAAATACACATGCAGCATTTTTATATGCCCCACAAGCCTATCGTGCTAGGGCTCGCGAGCGGCAACTGACATCTGGCGCCAAGCTAGGCAAGCTAGGGTTCCAGCATGCCGGATCTGGTTTGGTGGCACGGTGGGTAGGAGGCCGATCCACAACCTGTGAAATCGAAATCGAAAATCCAATTCACAGGCGCACTTGACGCGCGCTGCGCAAATTTCAACTTTCTGTGCGAGTGCGGAATGTTCGTCGCCAATTGGCCATCGGGCACATTCACGAACGGCAAACAGTCCATCATCGGTGTTCTCACACGTGCGCCATACCACCGACAATGCGCCGGAGTGACGACAGATGGGGAGGGACTCAGAGGTTGGAGTAGCTGGCTACGATGCCATGACACGCATGCGACGTCGATGTTTACATTTCACCCGGGAAAGATGCGCGGGAAACATGGTGTTTCAGGGGTAATTATAGGGGTTAAACAAAGGCGATCACCCAATTGCATGCGAGCATGGGGACAGGACGTCCGGCACGGCCGGGCGTATGGTTTGGGCAATCCGGAGACCACTCCGATTTCAACGTCCAACGGTCCAACCTCCACAAATTGGTGTTATTTCCGCTCCTTTGCCCCGTGGGCTCTTTCTCCGTGGTCTCCGGTTTTTCTGATCTTCCTGGAGTAAAAGCTGGAGAACGGGGTACCGTTGTTGAGGAGGCGGTGCTTGACGGATCTGCAAACGACCAGTAAACGTCGAATCATCATGAGCTGGTTGACCGACCAAGTTGGATTTCAAACAGCAGCTTAATGAAGTAGCGGTGATTTATGTCAGCCGCAATGTGAGGAGGCACCGAGGACGGAGCAATTCTTCCTTCAAGATTTTTGTGTGCATCAAATGGCCATAGGACGGAAGAGGAAGCGAGACGAAAAGTGAAGCTATCTCCACTCTACCCCGACACTTGTCACTGGATCGCCGATATTGAAACTGCACACGCGTGTGCGGATAATGCCGAAAAGAGCTGGTCCATCGGTTGGGATACCTTGACTTGTCGATCCGCAGTGACCACTACAATCACTAGGCGCTGATAGCGGAGCGGGTGGTGTCGTGCTTGCGACGACAACGATAGGCTGTGACTCGAGGCTGTGGGACGTGCCAAACTTTGCTAGGCTCGGTCAACAGCATTTAGGCTGGCCTTCAAATCCGAAGGAGATTCGGTAGGTCCTTCGGAGATAAAAGACCGTCCGTCTCGGTTTGTCAAAGCGGGATTGTGGGTCAGGCCACCCGAGTGGAGGACCATCCTAGCTCGGACGCGGAGGTGAGGACGGTTCGGCAGGGACAGTGCCGGACACGGAAACTATTGTTGTCGGCGATCTTATCGCATATCTCGCACACACACACAACACATCCGGAGCTTTGCCGCCCCGTTCGCCAACCTCAGTGCTGATGATACGAGACCATCGATGCAGTCTAGATTTCTGATCCAGGGACTTTTGCTCTTCGCGTAACTTGGATATGTGGCGACGCTATTATTGCTTTCCGGGCCCTTTTCCAAGACGAACCACCTGCCTCGAAATTCATTTCAATATCACGAACCACGCCGTCGCCATGCTACCGTGACTCCAGGCCCTCGCCCCCTGAAGGTATCACGTACATATCGGCCCGTTGCCGACCCCTTTAGGTTGTAATCCCGGAGGCGAGGTGGACACAATTTGTGTGCCTCCATGCGGCCGCCGAAACCCTAATCTCCATCCTCCGGGCCCGGTCTCGAGACCCCAGGGACCCGCCCGGAGCTGCCACGGAACGGACCGGGGGGTTTACACGGCGCATACACTAACAATTTGAAAGCAGAAGCAGGGGTCAAAGGTACCTTGAAGGGTCCCCGCCATCCGCCCGCCCGCCCGCGACCCGTCGCGCGTCGTCCGTCCATCAACTGTACATATTGTATCGTGTATGTATATCTGTCTGGTTACCTCCGTGTAAGCTCAGCACCTCAGCACCTCAGGAAATCCCAAACGGCGGACGTCGGTATAGGTCTCGTGGCCTCCGTTCTCGGTTGAATTGCGTGATCATCCACAAGCCGCCGGGCGGCGCGCCAATGACTGTTCTCACCGACAAAACCCACCCTGAGCAACAATTAGTCAATTACATACTTTTGGGTAGACCACCGTAATCTTATACACATCACGGACCACTGTGCACCTGGATGTCGGGGAGTCGGATAGCAAACTCTGCGCCTTCACCCCAGAACAGAGAATATCTAGACTCAACCCCGGGATGGCAAAAAACCAAAGGGATGAACAGAACGCGATGAGACGAGACGGATGTGAGACGAGCTATTGGCATCTATCGCATTGCGATTCCAGAACCGATCCTTCACTAACCACGGGGAGCACGGACTCCGATAAAGTGTATGCTCTTTTATAGTCCGATTTGGGCTGCGACCTATGAGGCTCAAAATGGCCGGGACTAACCAGGGCCGGGACTAACCAGGACCGGGGCGTCATGCATATGATTGACTGGACTGCACTGGACTGCACTGGACTTCCACGAATCCATAATCATTCTTTTCTCGCCACCCCCTTCATTTCATTCAACGCTATAAAAAGAAGCCAAGCGATGGAAGAAGATAAGAACATCATCTTGAAAACAATTGGATATGTGAGCTGAATGAGAGGCAACGGCAGTTGACGTGACAGACAAGCACAGTTGGCTTGGTTCGGCAGTTGCATGAGGTGCTGTCCTCTACAACACAACTTACACCATGACAAAGGGCGTAGAAGCTCGTCGTTGATGTCCCAACACCGTCGATGCATGACTGAGTAAGCGGAAGAAGTTATCCCAAAGAAAGAGGGGCGTTAACGCCGAGCATCTCATTCCACAATGCTCACCGGAGAAAAGCATCCACATAACGAAGCACTCCCCCTTTTTTTCGGTCAACCAACCAAACAAGCCACTCCTTGCTGGACTCACCTCCTCTCTCCAAGTCAGATCTCGATGTGAAGGGTTCCTACTACCGGGATCCCAATCTGATAAGATGCTTCGCGAAAGGGGTTAGGCCTGCCCTACCCTAAACCTACCCTACCTGCCCTACCCTACCCTGCCCTTGCCCTTGCCCTAGCGCCCCCCTCGCTTTGTCTTTCCCTTCCTGTCGTTGCCCTGCCCTGCCCTGCCCTGCCCTAACCACACCCTCTCTACTCGGGCTAGGCTAGCTATACCCTATGTGAAGGACCACGTGAACAAATACGTACTAGGACTACCACCGAACCTCCGGACCTCCGGCGCCCCGGATGCCCGGGCACCCGGGCGGTGGTGAATCGTTCGTTTACCGTACCCTAAGCATAAAAGTTATGGGATAATGGCCTGATGCGTACATGTTAACCTAAGATGGCGCACTTCCCTTTTCATCGGCTTCGTGAAATCAGGTCATTCTTCTACACTACAGTATGCTATCATCGGTCTAAACTCCGGACACCGGGGCACGGGAAGGAAGCGAGGAGGAAAGTGGTGGGGAAAACACGGAGAGGCGGGGGGGCACAACGGGGACGCAACGGGGACACGGAGAGCTGGACTTCCTGGAGAGAAAGAGCTGGAGAATGGAGATGGCGCCGGTAGGACACAAGTGGACAACAAACAAAAAGGAAAGAGCCGAGAGAAATGGAGCCTCGCGAGCGACCGAGGGTGAGTAATCGGATATCAGATGCTTACTGGCATTGCCCCTGCTTTGCACTCTGGCCTGGGGCAGGATTTGTTTTGACGTACAGTACGGACTTCACCCACCCAGGCTCCTTCGCTGGCTTCGTTGCGCTGGCTTCTTCGCAAGCTTCACTGGTTCAGGAATCAGGGGTAACCGGTAGACCGATCATTCCCTCCCTGTGACCAGTGACCAAGAGGTATTCTGGATTCATGGGTGCTGGCGGGTGGCGGATGGATGAAAGCTGAAGAAGGGGAGAAGGGAAGGGAAGGGACGGTCCGCCTTCGTATTCGTGAGTATTCGTGGAGGATGGATTACGGGTTTGGGACTGTATGGTTACCGTATGGTACAGCGCTGAAGGGCACCGGGACACGGGGTGAGGACGACACTACCGACTATACAGACAACGACAAGTACAACAAGTAGCTTAAGCGGTCCCGTTGATCTTCCGTGATCTGCCCATTCTCACGTACAGTATATGGATAGAGGGCAGCCGGGCGAGTCGACAAGGGTGTCAAGGCGAACGGGCCAGATGGCCAGATCTAAAGAAAGTGAGCTACGAGCGTTGAAAACAAAGAGTCCGATGAAGGCCTAGCAGATGAAGGATGGCGAAGCGCTCACTCGGAAGTTGGCTATGTACCACCAGGCCGATCACCATGTTTGAGGATATTGTAGGTGCCGACATCAACAGTCTTCCACAAGGCATAGCAGGTTATACTTGAGACTTTATCCTGGTAGGTGATCTCTCTGGCTAGGAGTTACACTGTCAAAAACTATCAGAACGACTTAGTCGCAAAAGAGATAGGTTACCACCTAGGTAGGTTCTTAGAGGGCTGTCATAGTTTATATGTTACTCTGCACTACACCACCAAAGCCACTCAGCGTTAACGAAGCAAACTGCGAAGCGGTAGAGACACTTCAAGGAACCTCCTCCTCCTCCACCACAAATGATTAGAAGTTATAAGTATTGCCAGTACTAAAGGAAACCCCTTTCGTATGAGAGTTTCTGAAGAGGGGACCACAGACGTAGCAGTGGGCTACGTATGTACAACGTTCGAATACGGGCCACATGAACGTACCTAGCCTTTTTTTTTCCCCCAATAGAGGTATCGACTGCTGGGCATGAAACGTTCTTTAGACTACAGTGCCTACCCATCACGGCTCAGATTGTGTGTGAGCAACCACAGTAACTGGCCCTTGGTGCTTAACAAGCACATGGGACATGGGATGACGAGAAGTCTAATGTATCTGTTGTTTCGAAACGGTGTTTTCGAGTGTGAGAGCACAAGAGTGTCAAAGGGCGCGACAGTGTGAGCGGGCAAGTGTGAAAAGGGAGAAGAACAAGATGAGTATGATATTCTAGTGTACAAACAAACTACTTACCAACACATGTATCCTACGATGAAGCGAGGAAAGGGATGTCATGATACCACACTGTAAACTGAGGGCTATATAGACAAACTCAAATGATGGGCCAAACTATTTTCTTCACCACCTGGTTCCTCTATTAAGAGACTTACTTGCCCAATGTTAACTGGCAATGTAGCTCAAATAAACCAACGCTGTTCATATAATCCTTGTGATCAAACCTTATTCCCTCTTTCATCTTTCCTCCCTTCCATTTTGCCGATAAACGACGACGGGAAACAGCAACTGTAGATAAAAACTAACCATGCAAGAACGAAAGATCAAAGATGCTCCTGTCCGTCCGCTCCCAATTCCCTCAACCACCTCAGCCACCCAGCCCAGCCACCCAGCCCAGCCACCTGAGCGTGTAACTACTTGTACGCAACATGACAACCTGGAAGCTTGACGAATCGAATCGACCGGATCCATAGTCCGCCCTTTTGTTTTTGTTCATCTTTTGAGCCATCCTCTTTTCTCTTCCCCCTTTCCCACTCCTTTTTGTCTACACGAAGCAAGAAGATATATATATATAAACTATTCTTGCCGAGATGAAAGATGCTTCATCACCCTCACACGTTCCTGAAATACCCCAGCCACCTAACCACCTAAGGTTGTATGTATCTCTAACCCAACTTGTCAACCGGGAATCTTGAAAGTTTGTTGGCAAACTGACCGTCCCTGGGACCGCGATTTGGTCTCTCCTCTTTTGTTCATTTTACTTTTGGGGTGCAAGCTTGGCTGGTCAGATTCGCTCTAATGCTGATATCAGGCCGAGAATGTGTTGGTAGTTGTGACAGGGTGGGTGAATCAGTCCATGACTGACTGACGCCGTCGGGAGGGAGGGATCCTTCTAGCCTCCACTCCAGCCTCTAGCCTCTAGCCCTCAGAGGCTGTTATAATTCTGGGGGATCGGTTTGAACCTCATGAAGAAAGGGACAGGACAGGACCGCCGGAATGGGAAGCCCGGTTTTGCGAGAGCTAGGTATGGTAGACCGATAATTGCAGCCAAATGACCGTGAAAAGGCTGAAAAAGAGGCGGATGGATGGATGACTCGAATCACACGAAAATGTTGAGAAGCGTCTGAGGCTAAACCAGCTGGAATGAAGAAACGGGAAGAAAAAAGGATGTTGATAAGACAATATATAGAACAAAACAACCCACTCACTTCAACCGAACAAAAGTCTCGACTTCCGCACCGCTACCCTCTCGCCATCTCCCAACAACATGAACCATCCTAGTCTCGATCCGATGTCGCCCTCTTTCCATCTTCTCCTTTGAGTCCTTGCTCTTTATCCTACAAATATCTTTGTCCATGCCACCCACAACCGTCACTGTCATGACCTTTTTCAACGCATCTCATTCCGCTTTGTCCTCCCCCTAGGGCCTCATATGTGCGTTCGAAATCCCCTCCCCGTTTGAGTTCCCTTCCCTGGATTCGTAATCCTTTCCGATGCCTGCCGCGCGAGTACTACCTAGTAGGCTAGAACTGCGCACAGTTACCGACCAGCTCAGTAAGTATCGTACAGCTGTGCAGTATCAGGTAAGGTCCCTGTGCCAGCCAGTCCAAGGCAAATGTTCAATGTTAACGGTGATAATGTCAGGAGACGCCTCGGTGGCAGACGGGTGCGCAGGCTGCTCAGGGTTTTGTCCGGTCCCAAGCAAATAATGACAGCCCGACCCCAAGCCATTCACACCATCATCTGCGTTTCTCCCACAATGACGACCACCTGGAACAGGACCATACCCAGAACCCGGCGCATCCTCGGTGATCATAGACACAACATAGTTCCCATCGTGCGCCATCTCCACATCCCCCCCATTCACATCAACATCCATATCCGGCGTCACAAAAAACGTTGCTGGACTTTCGAAATCCTACTTCGAAGTAGTCCCATTCCCATTTCCGCCGACAACCCCATTCCCATTTCCATTCGCGTTCCCACTACCAACCGTTCCATTCCCATTATTGTTCGAATTCCCACTGCCAGCACTACCACTGGTATCACTGGCTACCGCTACCGGGTCATCGGCATCCCCAAAGCAAGTCAAATACCCAGCCTTCAAAAACGCCTCCGGCTCATACGGCCTGCTGGACAGTTTTTGTTGTTGTTGCTGCGACTGCTGTTGATGCTGCTGCAGTGTCTGGAGGACCAATTGCTGCTGCTTCGCCACCACTTGTTGCAGTTGAGCTTGTGCTTGAGCTTGCGAGAGGGGTAAGGAGGAGGGTTGTTGCGCTGGTTGGAGCTGGGCTTGGATTTGTTGAGGCTGATGAGGATGGTGTTGAGAAGATGCCTCTTTTGATTCAAACCGCTGGTGGTGGTATGGGTGCTGCTGCTGCTGCTGCTGCTGTTGTTGTTGCTGGTCTTGTGGTGGGTTCTGAGGGGGCTGGGATTGGGATTGGGATTGCGATTGTTGGGTAGCCTGTTGAACAGCTTGTTGTGCCTGCTTCTGTAGTTGCAGTTCTTGCTGCTGGCGCTGATAATGCTCGTAGATCTCGGCGGTGTTGAGGCCTAGGGACCCAAAGCCTGAACCGAGGGAGAGAGCGAGTGAAGCGGTCAGGCTGGCTTGGCTGGCGGAGGTGCCGTTGGGGGTGATGTCCTCTTTGTTTGCGTTCTGGGAGTCAGTGGTGGTTGAAGAACCATTGGGAGCATCCACGACCGGGGCGGCAGAGGAGGCTGTTTCCCGAGCAGGTGATTCCGGTGCTGGTTGTTGCGAATCTGGTTCCTGGGCGGATGTGGTGTCCGTCTGTCCCGGACCAGCAATCCCGTTTTCATCGACTGGACTTGCTGACAATACATGCTGCGGCTCTTGCTCAGCTTGTTGTTGCCTGGGCTGATGGTCCTCTGGTCGGTTCTCGGGCTGAGGTTCGGTCTTGAACTCGTGTTCCTCATCCGACCTGTACTCTGTCTTGAAGTGCTGCTGCTGCTCAGGCTCAGCGTGCTCTGCGCCATTGGTATGGCGTTCCTCGTTGCTTCCAGGAGCAGCCCCTCCCATATCCATGTCAACATCCCGATCCGCACTTGTCTCTCCACGACCCTGCCCAGCGTTCCCTTCCGGATCAAGAGAAGTTGGCATAACCTGCGAAGCCGGATTGACAGAGGACAGTGCCGCGCTCTGTTGCTGATGATGCGCCGCGGCAGCCGCCGCAACCGCCGCAGCTGCAGCAGCCACGGCAGCAGCGGAAGAAACCATGTTTTCCGCACTTGCGTCATTGGCACTCTGTTCCACCCCAGCAGCCACGGTAGCCAAGTCCGCAAGCTGCTGTAGTGGCTGGCTGAGGCTTTGACTTTGCAGAGCAGCCTGAAGATGACTCTGGACTTGTGACTGACTGGAAGCAGCATTGTTGTTGTGGTTACCATTGACGACGGCTGTTGAGCTCCGTTCCCTGTTTACCAAGCTGGCGCTCATAATCTTGTCCCGCACCACGCCGGTCCACGGACTGGCTGCTACGCGGAAGTCCAACAAGTCTTTCAGCAAGCGGCCTGCATCATCTTTTGTCCTTTCCAGCTTTTCGAGTTCTAGTAACGCCAGGGAAACCAGACTGATGAAGTGGTGATTGAGCGGAGTCAACAACTCGGGATTGCCAGTAAGGATACCGACGATGTTGGCGCAGTCTTGGAGGGCAAAGTCTGCCTTGGCTCCTCCTGAGCACAGGTCCACTAGCAGACGTACGTGCCAGTAGGCCAGTGGTAATGTTGGGTCAGAAGACGGGGAGGTGATGAGATCAGCGGGAAACTGCCACCGGAAGCTTTCCATCAGCGCATTCAGGAGGGATGCGACCAATGGCTTCTTGGTCGTCAACGCCGCAAAGTCCGAGGGCGTTGGCGCGGACAAGGTAAGGAATAAGGGGATGAACTGTGTCAACAAGAACGATATTTCTGCGACGATTGTCAGCGAGCCACGCTCTCCCAAATCAACGGACCAACTCACTGGTGTAATTGTAAACCACATCGCCCATAATGTTCCTCAGTCCCGGCGTAACCACCACATCCGAGCTGATCATGCTCGGCGCCGCCGTACCCACCGCATTCCAGCGGTCCAAGGCAACCAGTGTCCACCACGCTCTCAGTGCGATGTTCTTCTCCGAATCAGGATCCAGGTCCAGATTCGGATTGACATCAGGAGGGGGCGCAATGTGCAACTTCATTATGTAGCCCAAACCAACCGCCTCACCCAGCAGCGAAAGCTTTTTGGGACCACCCCGTTGACCCTTGACAGCGCTGATGCCGCCGTAGTCCGCTTCGATGATGAGCATGATGAGCGTCTGTAGGCACACAAGGTCGGCGACTGGTGATGAGATTGTGCGAGGCTGGGAATCCCACTCATTGAGAAGGCCATGGGAGGTCAAGGAGTTGCAGTTCTCGCGGCCGGCTGACTCGGGGAGCATGGGGTTGAGCATGGCGAAGAGAGCGTGGTAGAAGGCCTCTTGGAGAACTGGTGGGCATTGTGAGAGCATGGAATGGACGCGATCTTTCTTGCTGGCTAGGATGGGGAATATCCGGTGTACGGAGTTTAGGTAGCTGGGATACGGTTAGCTTTATTCAGTCTCTTTTTCCTCTTGTTTGCTTCATGATACTCACCACTCAAAAGCAACATCAGAGATCTCCCTCGCCTGCTCCAGCGGCTCCTGAGACAAGCCATTGCTAGCCAACCCATCCTGCGACGCCGCATCAGCGGCAGTCTCAGAAGCCTGCGCTTGCACTCCATTCACATCCGGACTCTGCGACATGGCCAGCGGCTTCGGCACAAGATCATTCACCGAATGGATCTGAGGATAAGTCGGATGATACGGACGAATCGGCCGATGCTCCGGCGCCCGATTGGCCTCGGAGCCCCAACCCGCCAGCCGCTCATGAGCCGGAGGAGTAAAAGTCTCGCTCGAGATGCTCGAGTATGGCCTCTTCCTGCCGTCATCACCAGGGATGGGAGACCCAAATGCCTCGGCGGGCGTCGTCCTCCTTCTATCGAGGGGGTCGGGCACGGCAGCGCCGGTCAGTTTACCCTCGATCGTGTTGATGCGATCGGCCAGCTCCTTGATGTATCCCTTACTAGGACCACGCTTCTGGGGGACGCGGCTAAAAAGGCATGGGGCAGATGACCGTCGACAGTTTGAGCAGGGCTGGTCGGACACTTCGGATTGAGCGTCGCATTTGATCTTCTTGCGACGACACTCATCGCACGCCCTGGAGACCTTGCTACGCTTCCGGGGAGGAGTGTTATCCTGGACAGCAGCGCCATACTGAGGGTGGGCGCCTGCGAGATGGTCAATGGGGATGTGAGTGGACAGATGAGCTGACGTAGGACCAGGTGTCTGCTGCAGCTGCGATACCTGCTGAACGTAGTGAGGATGCGTTTGTACTGGAACCTGCGGTTGCTGTTGCTGTTGCTGAGGCTGCTGTTGTGATGTTTGAGATGGCTGCTGCTGCTGAGGTGATTGCTGTTGCTGCTCCTGCTGCTGACGATTTTGATCCTGCTGCTCTTGCTGTTGTTGCTGCTGCTGTTCAGCATGGGACTGCATCACGCTCTGAAGCTCATGGTTATGGTTCTGCAACTGAACCTGAAGTTGTTCCTGGAGGTCTGGGTCGCCGGCGTCATTCTGCATGTCCACGTCCTCGGTCTGGACAGGCACATCAACCTGAACCGGGACCTGTAACTGCTCTTCCTGAGCCTGGTTATGAGAAGCGGCGGCGGCAGCTATGACAGGGGCGAGGTCCTGGGTCAACTGGGCAGCCAGCTGCAAATCCTCGTTACTTAGCGAAGGTCCCGGTCGCGCATGCTGATTTGGGGAGACAGGGTCTTGTAGTTCTTGCAGTTCATGAAGGTCGTGGTTTTCATGATGGTCGGTGACAGTGGGAAGGCCGTCTGGTTGATCTGCCCCGTCCGACTGGACGGCCTGGTGCTCCAACTCGCCTTCCCTTTGGGCCGAGATATGGTAGAACTGAGCATCGGTGGTCTCGACGCTGGGAGAGGGGTAGGGGTGCGAGATGCCGGTCATGACCTCGTCGGCTCCCGGGTCGGGCTTCTTTTCATCCATGGCGACTGGTGTCTATCATGTAGGGTCTGTCGACCTATAGTATATCTGAAGTGTGGTGTTGTGGATGCCGCTGGTCGCAATGAAGGACAACGGCAATGATATAGCTTAACTGGCTAAGAGTCACTTTGGATTACCATCAGTATTAGCATTGGGACGGGAACCATGTAAAGTAACAAGAAGGATGAAATGGTGGTGCGCAAGTCCATAGTGAGTGAATGGAAAGATCAATTGAGGGTTTTCTATCGACATGGACATGGACATGGACATGGTGGTGGCCGGCAAGTGGTAGACTGCCGTGGTAGTTGACATCTAGGGCAACTAACACAGCGAGCATGCAAAGAAAATAAAATCGCAACAGAAAAGTCAACAACAACCAAAGTGCATGACACCAAATGACCATGTTGCAACTTTGGTGTTTTGATACAAGAAAGGATTGAAAGATTGACGCTATGTCACAGTGCAAGCGCAACCAATGCCATGATCCAAATGTGTGGTGTTAAGTGGAAGGAAGCCATTGATGGGGCAGTGTATAAAAGATAAGATGGAGGGGCAATTGGAAATGAAAATGAAGGCATGCGGTCTCGTCTCTTCTCGTCTCGTGGACGTACCTGAGGAATTGAAACTATCCCAAGTCGGATGGGATTAACTTGTTCACGCTCACTGTCTCTCCTCGCAGCGGAAGAACTGACTGCTCCGAAGTTTTGACCGTGGCCGTGAGGAGAGAGAGGAGATTGGACTGAACAAAGACAGCGAGTGGTCACTGCACCACACTTGGCTCGCCTCCTGCCTTTCCATTGGACGAGACCACAACTCGACAGGGGAAAGATGCACAAGCACAACATGGAGAAAATTTGAAACTTTTTCCCTTATCAGCTTATCAGACGCTCCATTGGGGTTATGTACTGCGTGTCACAAGCACGCCCTCTCCCGGCATGCACACCTCCCCGCCTCTTTCATGCCTCGGTGAAGGGAACGGTGACACGGTGAGACCTTAGCACTTCACCACCCCGATCCTCGGTACAACAATCTCTTCTTCCAGTTACCAACTACTCACATCGATCACCATCGCTATATCATACAGATCCACAAAAGATACAAGGCTCGGTGAAAGAACAAGTTTGACAAGAGAACTCGACAAAAGTTCGCTTGATTAAAAAAAGTCAACGCCATGACACGGTGCCCACAGAACACCCCTTCCAACATGGCTCTAGATAAACAGAATTAGGAGTCATTGATAAATGAACCAGATAATAAAGAGCCCATAAGCGTCGGCCAGCCTCCTTCCTACCAAAAAGAAAAAAAAAGGAGAAAAACCCGGAGGCGGCCCCGACCTTTTTTTCCATATTCCATCAGCATGAAATGATCATCAAACACATTACATGCCGTCGCGATATCGTTGTGTGTATATATAACCCAACCCTCATGTTTTTTTTCCCGATCCCACTCACACGCCTCAAAAAAGCACTCAACGAGCGTCTCACATCAAGACGCGAAGCGGATCATGGATAGTCAAGCCTTGATATCCGTAATCGACTGGAGCATCTGCGAGTTCTGGTTGCCCAGGTCCTCCGTGAACTCCGCCAGCTGGCTGACCATCTTCTGGGCCTTATTGATCTGTGTCCATCGCCAAAGTCTGTTAGAACATGTTTCTAAAGTGTTCTAGAAATACGAATCTCTGGCTCTGGGTCTGGGGTAAGGGTATTAGGTTGTTAGAAGGAAGGGCAAAAGGGCAACAACAAAAGAAGCCAAAACAAAAAATCAGGCAGGGACTTGTCGCACCGAAGCTAATGCTGAGGATGAGTTGTCAGGCTCAATCTCACCTTCCGCCGCGGCCTTGTCGCCATTGATCCCGTTGACGCCCGTCTCGTAGGTATAGTGGCTCTGCAGCATCACAGTTAGATCTGTCTTCCTATCCGTAACATGACCGAACCGGGGGGAACTTACCTTGGCCTCTGCGAGCTCAGCGTCCTTCACCTTGAGCAGCGCCTTAAGTTCGACAATCATCTTGTCCTCCTCGGCCAACTTTCGGGCGTAAGCCGCCTTCTGGTTCTGCTCCTCCTCCACCAGCTGCGTCAGGCTGTCGTGCATGTCCTTGTAGTCAGCCTCAAACGTCTTCTGCTTAGCCTCAGCCTCGAGCTTAAAGGCCTGGAACTCCTTGTGAAGAATGGCGACCTCCTCCTTGGCACTGGCCAGCTCAGCAGCGTGCTTCTTCGCCGTCTCACTGGTAATGGTGAGCTCGCTCTCGAAGGACGTCCTCCGAGCAGCGAGATCTTGCTCGAAGGCGGCCTTGAGGGCATCCTTCTGCTCCTGGAGTTCCCGCTCATGGGCAGCCTTGATCGCCGCAAGCTCCTTCCTGAGGGAGTCGAGCTCCCTAGTATCCGGCCTGGCGTTCTTGACGGCATCCAACTCCGCCTGGGCAGTGAACTTGTCCATCTTCTCCATCGCCAACTGCTGGCTGACATTGTCCAACTCTTCTTGGGCCTTGTCGTGCTCAATCTTGATAGAGGCAAGAGTCATCTCAAGTTTATGCTTGGCGGCCTCGAGCTGAGCCAAACCCTCAGTCTGCTCCTTGAGAGCAGCCTCATGGGCGGCCTTGAGGCTCTCGATGGCCTTCTCGTGTTCCGCATTCAGGGCCTCAAGCTGAGTCTTGACGTTCGCCGCGTTCTCCTTCCTCAAAGCCTCCTGGGCTTCTTGGTGTGTCGAAATCATCTGCTCGAACTCGGCGGCGTTGCTGTCCTCCAACTCCCTTCTCGCCTGGTCAGCTGTTTGCTGAGCAGCGGCAAGCTTGGCCTCGGCCTCAGCAAGCTTTGCTTGGACGGCCTCGAGGTCGCTCTTGAGGCTAGTCGAGCCCTCAACTTCGCTTGTCAGCCTCTGCAACTCCTCCGCATGCCTGGCCTTGACATCCTCGAGATCCTGCTTGAGGCTGTTTGCGTTCTCGAGCTCGGTCATCAGCTTCTGCACCTCCTGGGCGTGGATGGCCTTCAGTTCCTCGAGGTCCTCCTTAAGATGGCTACCGTTCTCAAGTTCCGCCGTGAGCTTCTGGACCTCCTCGACATGCTTAGCCTCGAGCTCCTCGAGCTGCTTCTTGAGGCTATCGCCACTCTCAAGTTCAGCCTTGAGTTGCTCAAGCTCTTCGGAATGCTGCTTCTTCAATTCGTCGAGCTCGAGCTTGATCTTGTTGGCATTCTCAAGATCAGCCATCAACTTCTGGATCTCCTCGGAGTGCTTGGCCTCGAGCTCCTTCTTGATCTCTTCCAACTGGGAACCATTGCTGCCATCGACGGACTTTTGAGCAGCGGCAAGCTCTTCGGCATGGCTGGCCTGTAGTGCCTCGAGTTCCTTAGCCAGAGCAGCCGCGCTCTCACCCTTGAGGATGTCGATTTGGCTAGAATGGCTGGCCTTGAGGGCCTCAAGCTGCTCGAGGCTGGCTTCTTCAGCCTGCTGTCTGGCAGCGGCCTTGGCACTCTCGAGCTCCTCGGCAACGCTAGCCCTCAGGGCGTCCAAGGCTTGTTGATGCTCGGCCTCCTTAGCCTCCAAGGCCTTGACAGCAGCTTCGTGCTCAGCCTTGGCGGATTCAAGGGCCTTGGCGTGCTCCTCAGTAGCGTCCTCGTGAGACTTGGTGAGCTCGGCATACTTGACTTCAAGCTCCTGGAACTTGCGCTTGAAGAAAGCATCACCCTTGAGGCTTTCGATCTCGTCCTCGTAGTCCTTGCTGACCTGCTGCAACTGCTTCTGGTGGTGATCATCGGCGGCCTTGTGTTCCTCCTTGAGCTTTTCGATGGTAGCCTCCTTTTCCTTGGCCTCCTCGGTGAGCTCATCAACACGCTTTTGGAGCTCTGCAGTGGCAGCCAGGTCCTCCTGCAACTTGGCAATGGTGGCTTCCTTGGTCTTGGCTTCCTCGGTGAGCTCTTCGATACGCTTTTGGAGCTCCTCAGCAGCGGCGAGCTCCTCCTTGAGCTGAGCAATGGTAGCCTCCTTGTCATTGTTGTCGTTGCCAAGCTCATCGATGCGCTGTTGGAGCTCGTCCGAACCGGTGGTGTTGTCCTTCAACTGGGCAATGGTAGCCTCCTTGTCCTTGGCCTCGGCCTCGAGTTCCTGAATGCGCTTCTGAAGGTCTTCGGCAGCAGAAGTCTCCTCCTTCAGCTTGGCAAGAGTGGCCTCATAGGTGGTGTTCTCTTCGGTAAGCTGCTCAATGCGCTTCTGGAGATCCTCTGCAGAAGCAGTCTCCTCCTTGAGCTTGGCAATGATGGCCTCCTGAGACTTGGTCTCCTCGGTAAGCTCGTCGATACGCTTCTGGAGCTCGGCGTGAGTGGCAGCGGCCTTGGTCGCTTCCTCCTTGGCAGCCGACAGTTCAGCCTCCATGTCAGCGACCTTGGCCTCCAAAGAAGCAAAGGAAGCCAGCTTGGATTCGAGCTCGGCCTTGGCCGACTCAGCGTTCTGCTCGGCAGCCTCGAGTTTAGCCTTGAGCTCGGAAATCTGGGATTCCAAGGCATCAAGCTTGGTGGCGTCGGCATCATTGGCAGCCTGCGAGGAGGACAACTCGTCGATCTTCTTCTGAAGCTCGGCAATGGCGCTCTCGTGGCTAGCCTTGAGTTCCTGGATGGCCTTCTCATGGGCTTCGGTCGCTCCATCATCACCGTCTTGCTGCTCCTGAGCAAACTTGGTCTTGAGCTCCACTAGGGCTTGCTCATGCTGCTCGGTAAGAGTGGCCTTGAGGGCCTCAATCTCAGCATTGTGCTCCTCCTTGGCCTTGCCGAGACTGGCCTCGGCTTCAGCCAGCTTGGCCTGGTATTCAGCTTCCAAGGTATCCAAAGACTCCTTCAGGTTGGTGACCTCGGAATCCGCAACATCCTTGGATCCCGCAGCATCTGAGAGCTGGCTCTTTTGAGCAACAAGCTCAGTCTCAGCGGAAAAAAGCTTCTCCTGCAACTCGGCGATCTGCTTATTGAGGGTCTCGATCTCGGCGGTATGCTCGGCCTTCAGGTCAGTGAGGGCATCGATATGCTCTTGGCTGGAGCCATCCTGAGCGGTCTCTTGCTTCTCGGAATCGGTGGTGGAGTCGGCGGCCTTTGCGCCAAGCTCTTCGATCTTCTCCTGAGATGAAGTGATCTGAGACTTGAGCTCTGCGATTTCGGCCTCGCTAGCTTCCAGCTTGCTCTTGAGCGCCTCGATCTCCTTGGCAGATTCGGCAGCGGCAGCGGCAGCACCGGCGCTCGAAGCCACCGAAGGGCGGGAAGTGTGTCTAGCAGTAGTCGGCGTGGGACCAGTCGAGCTAGCCAGAGAAAGACGCTTCCTTGCAGCATCAGAGGTGGGTGTCGTAACTGATGCGCGGGAAGCGCTCCGAGCGGCGCTGGCAGCAGAGCTGGTGGTGGTTGGTGTCCTAGAAACGCCAGTGGTGCTTGTTCTGGGTGATACGGTGGAGGTAGCTGGCTTGCGAGCGGCGGCTGTAGTGCTCGAGGTGGTGGTGGAAACCCTCGTGGTGGGCTTGGTGGGCGAAGCACCGGTGCTGCTGGGGGCCGCCGATGTACGACGGGAAGCGGTCGTGGACTTGCTGTCAATCTCGGAAGCAGATGGACGGGTGCGGTGAGAAGCGGTCGTGGTCGAAGCAGCGGTCGTGGGGCGCTTAGGGGCGCTAGAGATGCTGGCCGGACGGGTGGTGGTCTTGCTGGTCGCGGTACCAGTGGTGGTGCTGGTACGAGTGGCAGAAGAGGCGGTGGGCTTCGTAGCAGTGGAGGCGGCACCGGTAACTGAGCGACGGGCGGCCGCAGTTGTGCCTGTTGTGCCTGTCGTGGTACGCTTCGCAGCCGCGGTAGGGGAGGATTTGGGGCTTGCGCTCTTGGGGGATGCTGCCGTCGGCTTCGCGCCCGCATCCGCATCGGCATCCGCATCCGCGGTGCCGTTGGTAGATGGCTCAGCCTCGGCCTCGGCTGGCGGCGGTGACGGCGCGCTCACTGACTGCTCGGCCTCCGACTGGGCGGGCTCTTCCTGGGTGGGAGTGGGAGCATCGACCTGCTCAACCACCTCAATGGTGTTGTCGGCTTCCGACATGTTGGGCTATCTGTTGATCGTAGGACGGCGGGGAGTCGGGTGTAAGTCGAGTGCGTAGGATCAACGGGATACCCTAACTTTCTATGTGGTATTCCAACAGGTCAGCAATTTATTGTCATCCAACTTGAGTCTTATGGCGGTCGGGCCCCGCTGTGTATTTAAGCTTAACGGGAGCTTTGCGGTCAACAAGCTCAAGCGCCGCCCCTCTTTCCGGCAAGTACACGACTACAACCGGTGAAACAAGTTCCAGCCAGCTTCATGGACGCGGGGGGCGAAAGCGCAAAGCCAAAGAGCTTCTGGCAGCTGGCAACAGATATGGAAGAGGCGCTCACCGTTGGTATCTTTCTTTTCTGTTCTCGTCCTCCTTGGAAGCCAAAAAGTTGTGCGGATCGGGGTAGACGGGATGATAGCCACGTCTTTGACCGACTCGAGGGGAAAGAAGAAATCGGATAGAAGGGTCCTGAAGCTATAACAGCCCAGGGGCAATAATTACAAAAAGAAGATACAAAGGGGGGAAAGAAGGAAACCTTTGCTTCTCGAAGGAAAGTTGTGGAAGTTGTTTACAAGAACAAGAGGAAAGGGGTTGGGTTGGCGGCGGGAAAACTGAAAGGGGACAAAAAGTCGGGAAGCAGGTACCACCACCGCCCACCTCACGCTGTCCATCTTCCGGCCACCGTTGTCGCCCGCCGTACCCGCACCAGCGAATTGGGGGATCTGGAGCTCCTGCTGGGGACCTCATTGGGGGGTTCGATGCGCTATGGCCCAACTTGGGAAAGCGCGGGCAGTGGTGGAGATTCGGGAGAAGCAGGACGCCTCTTCTTTGGGCAGGGGAACCCATCGTCTTCAGTGTCTCACATTAAAAAGACAAGTTTCAACTTGTGGCATCTTTGACATGTTGACATCTGACTTTGTTGTCATTTCAATCTTGACGTCCTTTCAGTCCAGCTTCATGCAGTCGGCTGGTGCATGAACACCCTCTCTGCCGGCATGATACTGGGAGTGACTGGGAGTGACTGGGAGTGCACACCACCAACTCAATGGCCAATGCAGAATCTTATCACGGTCACCATCACCGCCTTGCATTGAATGGCTTGACCTCCAATCGGCTCTGATACGCAATGGCCTTGGGGATACAGAATGATAGGTCGCTTAGAACAATCCAACCCTCCATTATCACAATCACAGGCTTTGAAAAGGAGGTCTTTATCAGCTCTGTCTTACATCGTGAGGCCTTGTGTTCTCCTTGGATGTTCTGGATTCCCATGTTTGAGGGTGCGCTACACAACAGCCGACAGCCGACAAGGGCCCCAACCGTTTCAACCGGAAAGTCATCTTGGCCACAAGCATCCTGACTCTGATCATCCTCAAGGATGGCCATATCCCCTATCCTTGGACGTTATCAATGCGCTTCGAGGAAATCGACGACATCGAACTTATTCCCCGCCGTCTTACCCTACCTACACAGCTGTCGGACGTAAGGGCGAGGATAGGCAGCCATGGTTACCCAGCTGCTTAATGCCGTGTCTTGTGTTCCAGCTCAGTGTAGTGTATCTCATCTCTCCGATTCTCCGGGTCATGTCGCCCATCATAGACGATAGACCTGTAGTTACAGCCGAGTCAGTCGATGGACCTGCTGACCCAGAGCTTTCGAAGCCAAGTACACCATCGCTCTTGATCTCAACCCGCGATAGCCCAATTGAGACCCATCCATCTTGCATCACACGGCAACAGACATGAGATGGTGCTCACCGGGTCTCTTCGATGGGCTTGTATCCCAGTCGTTAGCTCCCCGCATTGGACTCGACGGCGGGGAAATTAAAGCCCTCATGAACAAAACATAATTCCAGGTAACTCTGCTTCATGCTCAACGTCTTACCCAACGTTTTACGTATTCCCATCCGTCAAATAACTCAGTCACAGAAACAGCTGTCGTCCAGCTGGCGGTGAGCCTCAACGCAGGAACAACTCACTGTTGGATATCCTCTCTCCACTCAAGTCCACCGGCCCCGTCATGGCATCAACGGCTGGACCTCAGTGGTTCCTTTCTACCCCCGTTTCCATAAAACGCCGCTCCGCAGCGTGGACCAATCGGAACCAAAAAAAACATTAGCCTCATATAACTTCACAAAAGGGGCTCGACTTCTCGATTGTTTTCGTAAAACCGGCAGATGGCGAGAGCTTCAAGTCTGCCGTTGTAAGAGCTCGACATCTCGAATGTGATCAAGTTTAGGAGCCGTACAAACACCGATTGTCAGCTAATTGGGCAGTTCTCGTTTTGGACGGACCAACCACAGCATGGCAGCCTTCTCTAGACGTCGTGTCTGCAAGTTGACCAAGACGCATAGAGAAAAATCGCAAAGAAATGTTTAGTACAACAACTGAAGCGAAACCAGCCTTAGAAGATCAGAAACAGATCTGTACCGAGTCTACCGGCAGATTGCGTTACACAGTTGTAGATCACTTGGGACCCCTGCCCCTGAGCAGATCAGACATCCCATGAACCCCCTTCTCAGTCTCATAGAGAGGGTTAGGGTTAAAGGTATAAGCCAGCGCACAGTGATAGCATCTGACCTGCTCAACCTTCTCGACACTGATGATCATTCCCTCTCTTCCCCATCCACCCCCTCCCGGTTCTTCCCCTCCCCTTCCTCCTCCTCCTCCCTCCTCTTCTCCCAAAACCCCTTCCCATAACTAACCACCACCTCCTCCCCCCTCGGCACCCCGACCTCCCTCGCCCTTCCCACAGCCTTCTTTCCCGCCGGCAGTACATAAACCGCCATCGTCTTTTCCTGTCTTGGCGGATCCCAAACCACTTTGAACTCGGCATTCGGTCTCTTCATGAACAACTCTTCCTTCTTGCTCTGGGGTTTATATCCAGGGGGGAAGGAAGGGTTGGGAACACGGCGGTAGTCATTCACGAAACGGGCTTCGTTGCCGCACCGCGCGGCGTCGATGGCGAGGTCGAGGGCGTGGTCGAGCCAGAGGTCGTAGTCGGATTGTTTGTAGTTGTATTTGACTTCTGGTGTCGGTTCAGTTTTGCTCCCTTCGCCCTCGTCCGCAGTTTTTTGGTCTTGGTTCACATCTCCGTTCTTCCCATCCTCACCGTCCTTCTCCCCATCATCGCCCTCTCCCCCACCCTCCTCAGAGACCTCAGGAAAAACCAACCCCCCACCCCACTCCTCCCCTCCCGGATGTATCTCCCCCAAATACCTCACCACAAACTCTCCGGGTCTCAGATCCCTCGCCGCAAACAGACCCGCTTGTCCACACGCTGGATGTCTCTTATCGGTAATGGGTAGAATGACTGCCTTGGTGCTGCATGGTCCTGGAGCATAATCGGCCGGTAACTCGTCGAGAGGTTCGATGGAGTCGGGCGGTGGTCGGGTGCGAAGGGCTGAGTAGTGCGAGGGGGTGAGAAGGGGGGAGAAGAGCGGGGTGGTGAGGTAGGGGAGGTGGGAGGGCCAGTTTGGAGGGAGGTTGCCGGAGGGGTGGGTGGTTGTTGGGAGTGGTGGTTGTTGTGGTTTTGGTGTCTGGACTTTTGGTGGTGGTGGTTTGCGCTGCGGTTGGGGCTTTGGGGGTTTTGGTCCCAACTTTGGTTTTCCGCCGGGGTGAGATTTCTTGGTGGGTTTTTGCTTTGTTTCTTTTGGTGCCATTTCTAACGACGTTATGAGGCTTGTTTGCGCTCTTGCGATGAAGAGGTGTTGTTTGTTGGTGTTGTGGTGTTGAGGTATCTTGGCGTGATGATGAAATTTTGGAGTGCGTATTTTACCGTTATCTGTGCTACTTGGTAATTATCACGGGTCTTGGTTGATGATCCCGTCACATCCGATTTTGTATAGAGCGAGGGGTTGAGAAATATCATTACCTGTTTTGCTCTCTTTGCACTTAGTATTCCAACTATCTGATGCTTGTGAATCTCACCCGGTCGAAAGTACAATCCCGACATACGATAAGTCAAAAGACAGGCGCGTAACGATGAGACAGTTGGGTAACAGGGTCTCGGGTCAATTGAATGTACCCCCACGCTCCAGGGTTCATGTGCAATTCCGAAGCCAAGGTCGAGTTCTCGAACAATGTTGGCGTGTTTGGTTCGCACAGTCTGATGCTGAGGGGTTCCATTCTCAGCTTGCATTTTTCCTCGCTTGTTTCCATCGTTTGAGATGACGCAAAACGGACGGCGATCTCCCGACAGTAAGCTTGTTTGTGGTCCGGGGACTTGGTAGTGTGAATTTCACATCGTATGGGTGTTCTACAGCATTTTAAAGAAGCTTCTTCGAAATGTTTTCCATACAAAAAGGAACCTCATTGACTTGCCGTGATGGTCTGCGATGCAAGTGGAATAAAGGAACATCCATCACGATGTTGGTTCGGGTGTAATGCAACGGCAAATACCGTCTTAACAAAAGATACGTACATCGCGCTAGGCCAAGATCAACAGACCGGGCAAGGGTGCCCTACGGAGCCGCCTTCCGGGCACGGAAGGCGCTGACGAGGGCCACTTTTAGTGGGTGGTATTAGCGCCCGGAGCCCCAGCTCTACCCGCAATTACACAAGTCGAGTTAGCCGCACTTGGACGTCCCCCAGACGACGTCTACCTCATCGACACCCTCGACGACGTCGCTCTCTCTTCACTTTTCCTCTCTGCCAGGTTCCAAGCAAGACCTCGCGAGGGTTATCTGCCCGATGGCGTCCTACACATTCTAGACCATCACATACCCCATCCTCAGTTACCGAAATACGACGGCATCGACCGAAACATTCACATCGAGCGCACACACGAGAGAGACCAGACACGAGACGCGCCGCGTGCCCAGCTGGGCTTACACCACTTTACGCGCCCATCATAACGACCGAGCCAGTTTCGCCTCAATCACGCGACACCTCAGACAATGGAAGGAGAATCGATAATGGCGGACGTGGACAGGTTCATGGATGATGTGGCGGTCATTGACGATAGCAAAGAGGGGGAGGCAGACACCGCAGCGACAAGTACTACCACCAATACCAACAACAAAAGTGGATCTGGATTCTTGACCAAAACAAGATCCCTTTCGGACGGCGGCGCAAAAGAAACACCAAAGCTCTCGCCGGCGCCGCACATCTTCTGCGATCCACGACGGCAGTCCCAGGATGATATTGCCATCCGGGATAAAGAACGAGTGGCAGACGGCAACGCTTTCTCTGCGCAACCATCAACTCCCGTCCGCGCGGGGTTCCCAATCAGAGGCCTAGCGCTGCAACTACCCCAGCTTGGTGAAGGCGATGCACTCCATCTTGCACGTCTCCAACAGCCGCACGTGGATGTCAACCTGAATGCCACTGAACCATCGGCGGCGCATTCACAATCCCATTCCCAGTCCCAGTTGCAGCCCCAACAACAACCATCCAACCCTGAGGGAGCGCCCGCCTCCGCCTCCACCTCCGCCTACGTCAAACCCGCCGTCCCTGCCCCGCTGTCACCAAAGCTTGACCATTCGCACATCTACGCCTCGCCCTCACCAAACATCCTGCCTCGTCGGTCGCGCGGTCTGGACTTCAGCCGCGCAGCCACCACCCTTCACCATTCCACCGTCGTCGACCAGGCCTCGCCCAGCTCCTCTCCCACCATTGGGTCCAGAGCCATGAACATCCCCGCCGGCCCTGGACGGTGGCCCGGCGACCATGGCACCACCATGGAGCAAACGTCAAACTCGCTGTGGTCCGTCATGGGCAATCGCGGTCACGAGCGCATGCATGTCTCGAGCTCCCTGGGCAGTAACGCCCACACTTCCCATGCGTTATTCACCGATACGTCGTCGAGCTCGGACGACGACGACCTTATGGACGAGGACATGGAGGAACCCATTGTTACCACGCCGTCGGCAAACAAGATGGCCATGGGCGGGCAGCACCCATGGATGCCCGGTGGTAGCTCGCCAGCAGTCAACAGTCTACTAAGTTTCCAGCAACGTCAGCGCAGGAAACAACCAAAGAGCAGGAAACACAAAACGCCGCTGGGCTTGGGCTTTCATCCAACAACTACCATGGGCGCAACCATGTCCATGTCCCCGCCACAAGGCTTAGACAGCCCGCAGCCGAGGAGGGAGAGCATCAGCTGGGCGGCCAATCAGTTACATATCTCTGGCAGTGAGAGCGACGATCCTAGCAGGCAGCTTGAAGCGGTCGACAGCCCGTCCCGACCAGGAGTCATTCGGCGGACTGTGACCCGTCATAGGGGAAACTTGCTGGTATGTCGTACTACTATTCCTACTATTTGCTAGCTATTGACTAACCGTGGAACCTAGCCCAAGACCAAGGGTTTCGCCCGCATCCGCGCTGCCCTTCTCGAGGAGAGCGCACCTATCGAGGCCGAAGTCAAGCGTGAAGCCGAAGTCGTCCGTCAAGTACGGGAGAGCGACATGGATTTAGAACCTAGGTTACCAGCCTCCGCATTAACCAGCCCGAACCTGACTGCGGCTCAGGACAGCATGGACGATGTCGACACGATGATGATGGACTCCAATGGAAGCAGCAGTGGCAATGGCAACACAACGCCTGGTGCTATTCCCGGTGGCATACCTGGTAGCAGTAGCTTCAAGCAGCAGGTCCTGAAGAATTCCAAAGGTAAGATGTTTTGGGACACATTCTCGGAAAGTGGGGCGAGCAGCAACGGAATGCGAACACCGCCAAACTTTGCACTACCGAGGGGCTCATCATCAGCCATGAGCATCGACGATATGAGCATGGACTCGCCGTCTTCGAAATCCGAGAGCCAACCGAAGCAAGGCCCCACGCCTTTTGCTCTACCGCCACCCGGAAATCCACCAACAACATCATCCTCCTCCTCTACCACATTAGCCGGTACAAGCTTTCCGGGCGCCGCGAACGGTGTTCCCACGGCAGCCGAAATCACGCGCCGAATCAACAACAAGCGACGCCGAGACGACGACCTCGACCCGATAAGTTTTAAACGACGAGCCGTCAGCCCCGGCATGGGCTCGCCTATTATGCAGAGCCCAATGCAGAGAGACCTAGCGCCCTGGGGCCCAAGTTCATCACGACCGGGCAGTGTGAATGGGGATGGTGTAAGGCAACAACAAGAAAATCTTCATAATGGTAATATTGTGGTGGGAGGAGCTACTACGCCAGTCCATGGAAGACCCAGCTTCAGCACAGGCAAAAGAGTCGGGCTCCAAGGGATGGTGGACACGAATGATGGGATCACAAGGCTCAGCATTGAGTGAGAGACTTTGTGATCTCGCCGGCGCCAAAGTTCGCCAGCTTGGAAGAATGGGATTTACGAAATATGGATGAAAGCGACGTAACAAACGGAAAGCGTTGCGGGCGCGTGCAGAAATCGGCACGGAACACAAGATACATGCATGGATAAATGAGCAACTCTGGGAACAATCAGCCCTGAGCATAGCGTCCATAATCAGCGCTGAAGCAGTTAACATGGGACCTGCATCTGATTGCCTGACTTGAGGAAAGGTTACATCTTTGGTCCTTTAACAAGGTAGCGCTGAAGAGACAGGGAGTAACAAGAAGATCCAAAGGAAATGGCATGGTTAGCATAAGTATACGCATGATGCTTGGAAGGTAGCATGGCCATTTCTTTACATGGAATTCGTCAAAGGGTATCGTTTGAAGCCAGCTTAGGCTTGGTTGTCATCAAGGACTTTGGTTCTGGTGTGAAGCCCTGGTGGCTGGGTCGGAATTTGATAGCGCATCAGTTCCATTTTACTTGTTAGGGAGAGCAGTATCAAGAGCTTTCTAGTGCAATGACAAAACATCATTCAAATTAAATATCATATGCTGGATTGACTACCATTGACACGATGTTGACGATGGAGGGTTGGATGCATCATGTAACACAACGTGAGATATGGGTAAGGGTTGTGTATTTGCCAAGCCTTCACGATAACACCCCTGCAGTGAAGTGTGACACAAAACAACACCCCCTTTTCTTGACAAACACCACCATCGCGGGTCGGAGCCGTCAAACCGTCTAGGCATACGTCTCCCGGCGAAAGACTTTCCCAATAGGAAAGTTCCAGCATCTGGCATCTTACAAATACAACATCTTACAAATACAATCGCGGCAGTGTTTGCTTTGTTAGAAAGTGGCCCGATCCCAAGACGATCGATCGGCCGTCGAGGGTATTGTCAAGTCGAAGACGTCATCTCCACGCACTAACAGCCAACTCCAACTTTTTGCTGTTAGAGACAGCACAACAACCAGGACAAGATGCAGAGCCATTGCAGGCCACCAGCAGATATAAATGCCTTCCCGATCTTCAGTTTCAAACGGCTTTTCATCAACAAAATCATCTCAAAACGACAAAGGATCTGACGAACCTGCATTGAATCCAGGCACCACCAGACCTTAACAAAACAAGCTAGCTTCAACTCCACCATAACAACAAGTCTTATCACTTACACGAAAACCACCCTTATCACCCCACCAACTACGTCACATCAACATTCAAAATGGGCTACCCAGACACTTTCGAGGGCTTCGTCGTTGACTCGCCCAAGACCTGGAACCAGTTCCACCGCCACGAGCTCAAGCCCAAGCCTTTTGAGGATGACGATATCGACGTCCAGATCGAGTGCTGCGGCGTCTGCGGGTCGGACATCCACACCGTCACCGGCGGCTGGGGCGACTTCGAGGGTCCTCTCTGCGTCGGTCACGAGGTTGTTGGCAAGGCCATCAAGGTCGGCAAGAACGTGAAGGAGATTAAGGTGGGCGATCGCGTTGGTGTTGGTGCCCAGGTGTGGGCCTGCCTGAAGTGCGATGTCTGCAAGAGCAAGAACGAGAATTACTGCCCTCACATGGTTGGTATGTTTATCCCTCCCCCCCTGACCTGTTTCCTAACCTTCTGGTCCCTTTCAAAAACATATCATTAACAAACAAACCATAAAAGACACCTACAACGCCAACTACGAAGACGGCTCCACCGCCCACGGCGGCTGGGCCTCTCACATCCGCGCCCACCAATACTTCACCTTCAAGATCCCCGACGCCATCCCCTCGCACCTCGCCGCGCCCCTCCTCTGCGCCGGCATAACCACTTACTCCCCGCTCGTCCGCGCCAACATCGGCCCCGGCAAGACCGTGGGAATCATCGGCATCGGCGGCCTCGGCCACCTAGCCATCCAATGGGCGCGCGCCCTAGGCGCCGAGACCTACGCGCTCACGCACTCGGAATACAAAGCCGCCGACGCCAAGGCTTTGGGGGCTCAACACGTCATCGTCACCAGCAACGACGAAAAGTGGGCGGAGCCGTACAAGTTCAAGTTCGATTTCCTGTTGAATTGCGCGGACGCGACGCACAAGTTCGACATGAAGACGTATCTCTCCACCCTCAAGGTGCAGGGAGAGTTTCACATGTGCGGCATCCCCGACAAGCCGCTGCCCCCCCTGGAGGTGTTGGCTTTCATGGCGAATGGATGCAAGTTGAGCGGAAGCCACTTGGGAAATCATCAGGAGATGAAGGAAATGTTGCAGCTGGCTGCCGAGAAGGGGATCGTGCCCAGGGTTGAGACGTTGCAATTGGGCGAGGAAGGGTGCAAGGAGGCGGTGGAGAGGGTCAAGGCGGGGAATAAGGTGCATTATCGGTTTACGTTGACGGGGTTTGATAAGGTTTTTGGGGAGAAGGTTGAGTATGGTGCTTAAGGAGGATGGATGTGGAGGGGAGATGGCAGGCAGGGGAGACGTTGTGTGGTGTTGAGGGTGTTTGGAGGAGAGATGGGAGATGGGAGATGGGAGATGGGAGATGGGAGATACCCTGTCGGTGTGTTTAGTGTTATAGATCGCTGCTAGGCGCTGGAGATATGATTAATGAGTTACGATGAGCACATTCGAGGACATGTTTCGTACGCAGTTGTTGCAATGATTGTATGTCTTGGTTTCCAACTGTTTCTAGCTGGCGGTTCAAATGGTCGAGATTGGTCCCTCCTCGCTTTTGTCATTCACTCAGTAAACAACACAAGCCAAGTTATGAACAAGTCAAGGCAAATCGGCTGAGTCGGAGGCAGGTTAAATCAATTTCGAAAGTTGACTTGACTTGTCTCCGACTTGTTTCTCCTAGGCATGTTCATTTTAGTACGCTTTTTTTTGACAAACAATGCATCCCGTGTTCCTTCCATTTCTGCTACTTGGCGATTTAAAGAGTCAAAATTAGTCTCTGGTTTCCTTTGTTCACTACCCCTACAGTGCTGCACACAAGCCAAGCCGTATGGAAGTTGAGGTAAATCGGCTGGCGAGGAGGGAAGTCAAACCACCGGAAATCCTTCTCATCCAGGTTGTTTCCGACTTGGCCCGTGAGGCCAGATAAGAAGCTGTCGCGGCATCGGAACTCAGTGAGGTATCCAACCGCCGTGATGCTGCATTCGTGGTATATTTTGTCATGATAAAGTCAGCAGCATCTTGATGTAGGCAAAAGCATGAGAATGCGTCGTCTTCAACCAATAATGAGTGAGTACCGTAGTGACTCGGAAAGCTGGGTTCTGGGAGCTGCCAGATGCACAGCCGGCGGACTTCTCGGTTCAAGTACATGAGCATCGCAGAATCGAGGAGCTGCCCCGGGCAGGGCATATGCTGGCGCTCCGTAAGCCAGCATAAACCAGCAGATGTGTCTGTCCAGTTAGTGAAAACTCGAGGACATTGCCCACCAATCTAACTTGCGTGCGTTTCAATGTACAGGCTCGGGCTTGCCCTGTACAGATCTGCCCTCTGCCCGGCGCTCAAAGAGAGATTGAACGATTGCCTATCTCTCGAGTTACTACGGTTTGTCCATGGACCAAGGAGGCATCGTTCTCTGTTTCCTGCTACTTTGACCACCAAATACCCATTGCCTCCACACTGACCTAAGTCAACGCCTGTTTAAAATAAGTCAAAATGGCTTCGGAACGTGCTCTCCACATCGAAGATTACGAGTCCGGAATCAGGTCCGGACTCATAACTCGCCCCCAGCCCGATCTAAGAAAGTACGTCGGCAAAATCTACGAGATTGAGGACCGAGGGAGGACTCTTTCTCGCACAGTCAACCACATCATCGCAACAACGCCGATAAGGGCCTCCCGCGAAGATGCCGAGCAGCTTCTTGACCAATACATTGAGCCCATTTCGGAGACCGTCGAGTTCTTCCGAGAGATTAAGACGAGGGAAAGCCATGGCTTCCTTGATGCACTTCACAATGTCAGATCCGGGCCGGCGGTCGAAGTCAAAATGCTTAGGAGCCTAGAGGATTTGGAGGCGATATGGAAAAGAGCGGTGGACGACGCTGAACGCGCGTTGGATAAGTCCTTAGACGAGTTGATGAGCCATCTCGTACATTATCAAGTCCTGGAAGCTCTCCTTGTTGAGCAAGAAGGCAGTGAGTGACTTAGCTGATTCCCCACCAAGTATCTTGAACTGGTTGACTAATTTCATCTCGTGTGGCAGACGATTGAAGCACTTGATCGGTCCTTCGCACATTGGCTCGACCGTCTTATCATCGGGAAGACAGAATGGTGAACCAGATAGGTAGAGGGAAAAGTGGGAAGAGGAGCGCAAGCACACAGATCATACGTTTGTATTTAATTTAAGGGAGTAGCGGGCACATCATGATCATAAGTGTTTCCAAGGGCCAACAACAAGTGGTGATTAGGTACTCCATGTTTCCATCATCTGTTTTGGACTTTTGGGATGTAAACAGAGAGCAACGGCGATGAAAGTTTCCCAGACGTATTGTACGGTACGGTAATGAGGGCGATTGATTAGTCATCTTCTGGTCACGTGCTTTCGCGTCTCCTCCAACACACGTTGCGTCATCAGGCATGAAACCAACCGCGCAAAGAAGCTGACAAGGACAACGACAATCAATCACACTTCCACCTGTTTGCCTGTTTTGTCATCACTGGACTTCGTCAACTTACTACGTCTGTTTCAATTGCTTTAATCTTTGCTTCAACTTGAACTAATGGCAGGTCGAAAACGCAAAACGCCTGGTGCGCCAACCACTAGCACCCCCCGAACCACTCGCGCCAGCGCAGCGTCGCGGAGAGCGGCGTCAGCCCGCGGCGCAGTCCCGGATGTGTATCGAGAAATGGTGTCCGAGGCGCGGCGCATGGCTGTTACCGAAGACCCTCCGGAAGCCACAACGCCAGAGAGACCGCTAAAGAGGAGAAGGCCCGGAGAGAGACCTACGCCAAAGGTTGAGACGAAACCAGTTGAGCCAACTGTAATACCGGAACCCATGAAGATGGACCATAACAACGAAGAAGAAGACGATGACGACGAAGAGCTCGAGTTTGAAGATGTCGAGTTACCACAACCTACCTTACAGACTATTACTAGAGACTCGGACGATGAAGACGATGAAGAGCTGGAGTTGGAGGATATCGCATTCGATTCCCAAGGCGCATTCTCCTCAGCCATAGCAGGCGATGTTCAGCTGGACCTGAACTTAAGCGCCCAGAAAGCCGCAATGGCACCCCATCGAAGAGCGATAGAACGCCGGAAAGCACTAAGCAAATCCGAGAAGGAACGACGAATGGAGATACATAAAGTCCATCTCCTTTGTCTCCTTGCGCATGTCGAACGGAGGAACAAATGGTGTAACAGCCCCAAAGTCCAGGAAGCTCTAAGACCGCTCTTGACAGACAAAATGCGAAAATCTCTGATACCCAGGGCGAGTCTAAACCAGTACGGGCGAACCGAGTCGCTTAAGGCGGGATTGCAGGAAACGAGCACCATGTTTAAAACCAAGTTCCAGATTACGGAGCGAGGACTAAGGCGGGCGCTGTGGGCGGAAGATGAAGACCAGTTGAAAAATGTAGTTGGCTATTTACTTTCCCTTTCCACCTTGTGTTACTCTCTGTGGTCGAGCCGCTGGCTAATATGCCTCTCCCGTGTAGTACGAACTCCCAGATGACCTCGAAACCGTGCGATCCAAAGACGACTTTCTTGAAGCCGCTAAATCTCTTTCCGGCTCTCGTGATGTTGGAGCTCAGCTCTTCTGTGCACTCCTTCGTTCCATTGGCGTCCAAGCACGCCTTGTGTGCTCTCTCCAACCGCTCGCCTGCGTACCGGGGGCTCCTACAATGCCGAAACAACGAAAAATGAAATCTTTAGATGCCTCAAAAGGACCATCAGCAGCCGATCGTTATGCCGCCGCAATGTCCAAATACGAAAACACAGCCACCACTCCAGATCCAACAACCCCATCATTCCTGTCAGGCCGAAGTCGACTCGGACACCCAAACGCAACAGCCTACAACGTCCCGTCCATGACCGCTCCCCCACCACCCCCTCCCCTCCCCTCAGTCCCCAAAGCAAAGACAATAAAAGGCGAATCCCCATACCCCGTCTACTGGGTCGAAGTCCTCGACGTAGTCCAACAAAAATGGCACCCCGTCGACCCTCTCGTGACCGGCACCCAATGGCGCCCCCGCGCTCTCGAGCCGCCCGCCTCTGACAAAGAAAACACCCTCACCTACGCCATCGCCTTCGACGAAGACGGCTTCGCCCTTGACGTCACCCGCCGCTACTCCAAAGCCTACAACTCCAAGACCAAACGCCAGCGCATCGACGGGCCCATCTCGCCCACCGTGCCCTCGTCGGGAATCAACACGGGCGAGCGCTGGCTCCGCCGCGTTTTCCTTCGGCACTACACCGCCCCCGATTTTCCCACCGACCTCGACCAGATCGAGCTTAAAGAGCTCGCCGCGCTCGAGGGCGCAGAACCCATGCCCCGTAATGTTCAAGACTTCAAGGACCACCCCGTTTACGCGCTCGAGAGACACCTCCGGAGGAACGAAGTCCTTGTGCCCGGGGCGCAGTCGACGGGGACGGTATCTGCCGGTTCCAAAGCCCCTGTTGAGCGCATCTACCGCCGCAAAGACGTCGTCGTCGCTCGGTCGCGCGAAAAATGGTTCCGTCTCGGCCGCGTGGTTAAACCCGGTGAAGAGCCGGTGAAGGTCCTTCCTCCCAATAAGAGGAAGAGGACTTCCAAGTTTGGTGGGGAGAGGATTTCTTCCCCTGTTTCCGGGGATGATGAAGATGATGATGGGGATCTATTCGGTGATTATTCCCACTCCCTTGCCAAGCAAGGTGGCACACCCCTCTACACTCCCCTGCAAACAGATCTTTACGTCCCCCCGCCTGTTTCTTCTGCGTCGTCGGGGAAGATTGTACCAAAAAATAAATTTGGCAATGTGGAAGTGTACGTCCCCTCCATGATCCCCGCCGGAGGCGCGCACATCCCGCACGAGAGAGCGGCGCAGGCGGCGCATATACTCGGGATCGATTACGCACCTGCGTTGACGGGGTTTGAGTGGAAGGGAAGAAAGGGGACGGCGAGGATTTTGGGAGTGGTGGTGCCGGAGGGGGCGGCAGAGGGGGTGAGGGCGGTGATTGATGGGTTGGTGGATATGGAGCTGGAGGAGAGGGAGGAGAGGAGGAGGGTGGAGGTGTGGAGGATGTGGAGGGTTATGTTGAGGGGGTTGAGGATTCGGGAGAGGGTTTTTGGGGGTGTTGGGGATGAGGAGGAGGATGTGGAGGAGGAGGACGAAGATGGAGAAGATAGGGAAGGGAGGAAGGATGGAGGGGAGGGTGGAGGGAAAAAGAAGGATAAGGGAAAAGGGAAGGCAAAGGAGACGGAGGAGGAGCGGTTTGATAGGGAGATGGCGGATGCGCCTAGTGATGTGTCGGAGGAGTTTTATATGGATATGGATGATGGGGAGGGAGGTGGTGGCTTTTTGATTGAGTAGATTTTGCATACTCCCGGGTCGAAAGTTCTCTTTGTTGAGCTCATCAAACAACATGGGCAAATTGTTTATATTTCTGTCGCTACGAAGCCCCATCTAATCCCTTCACTTATTTTGCCTCTTGTGCCTATTAATCCACTCTTATGCCTATCCCTCGTGTAAATCCACCTCCTCCCCCCTTCCTCTCTTCTCCTCTATTTCCCTTTTCCTCATCCTACACCTTTCCCTCACCAGTACCTATCTTCTTCCTCTCAACCCTTATCTCCTTCCCGTCTTCCCCTTCACCCCGTTCCTACCACGTTCCTCTATCCTTTTCCTTCCCCTCTCTTGCTCCGTTGTTTTTAACTACTTCTCCATCATCGGCCTACCCTCTTTCTTCTCCATACCATCTCAACTTCTCTCTGTATAGCTTGCTGTTTTTCGGCTTGGCAGTCCTCACAAATAGTTCCGTGCCGAATGATGTTGTCCATGTAGCCGTTAATGTTCGCGCCAATGCCCGGGCATATCGGGGTCCTGTCTTGAGTGAGTTTGAAGTAATCGGGGCAGAAGTTGATGCCGGCGAAGACGCTGTGTCCACAGGTGTAGGTTTCGATGTTGTTTCCGCACATTTTTGTCGTTGGTGAGAGAGGATGGATGGCTGTGATGCTGACGGCGTGGAGAGCTGATGGGGTGATCACATCTGACTGCATAGCTGTAAGTCCAACTCACTCACCATATATCTCCGTGTAGTATGTCTGACTCTTCGTGGTTTGTTGTGTTTGTAGGTGCATAACAGTTTGGTAAAGCATCAGTGGACGGAGAGCCCCTGGTTTTGACTCATTCTCACGGGGCAGGGCGTGCAATACCCACTTCGAAACACCAGCAAAAGAAGGATCGCCAGACAGAATTCGAATACACGCACATACAAACATGTCACATCATCCTGTGACACTCATGTACCCCTTCATTATCTGAGCGAGTTGTCTCTGTCATTCGCAAATATAGTTCTCCTCTTCTCTCAAACTATCTCACCAAACACTTTACACTCTTCTTCCTCCTTGCAATGGTTCTCCTTCCCACTTTGTAGAAGTTAATTGCTCGCCCAGCTGAGTGAAAACGAGGCAAACAAGTCTTCGCAAAGCGAAAGAATGTGCAAAAAGATAATGGAACAATGGTCAAGCGGCGCCCCCAGAACCCACACCGTCGCCTCCTCGACGGGTCCGGCTGTTATCGGCCGCCGGTTGCCGTATCGTATCGTATCGTATCGTGCTGTGACAGGGGGTTGGTGCTGTGACGGTGGGTGGGGGGGAGTGCAGTGGAGGAGTGCAGGGGAGGGGAGACCTTCTCCCCGAAAAATCGGGTACCGTTGCTGGGAATCGAACGGGTAATGAAGGTTTAGAGGCCTGTGAGTCTGGCCTATTGATTGAACGTGGGCTTCATTGAACCGCTTGACCATTTGTTTCATTCGGAGGGGTTGAGAGATGGGGTGAAAGAGGTGGTATATAAACCCCGGTGCTGGTGGTTGGTGGTGGTAGGTTGCTGGGCGATGGATGAGTCAGGTCTAAACGGGAAGGAGCGGAAATTATTGAGTCAACAACTCGCAATAGATTACACGGCATCGACCAATTGTCACTTCGTTCACAAAGGTGCTGAACGGTTGAAAGCAGCAGAGATTCCCATTACACCTGGCGATGGTCATCTAACTACTTTCCTTTTGCCATTTTCATCAGAGTGTCTCTCCAGGAGCACCGTATTATCATCCATCCATCCTTTCGCTCTGAACTAACAATGCCCCGTGATGGTCCAGCCATTACGCCCTGCTTAGATTCCCAGAGTGGTACCAGCCACAATCCATCCCGTTCCAACCTAGATCCCAACGTCAAAGGCAGCCCTTGGCCGCCATTATAGCTTCGGCATGTAAGACGACAAAAGCGCAGGTAATATATGCGCTTTTGAGTCGTTGAGTTCACCTAGGGTACCTTAGGTTGCCGAAATTCGTTGGTTCTCTCAAGCGTCATAAATGTTGCTAGCATCGTCGTCGTCGTCCTCGTCGTCATCCTCCTTCTTGTTCTTCCCTTTCATTTCTTTTTCTTTCTTCTCCTGATTCCTTATGAGGGTTTTCTCTCGTAGCGTCTTCCCAGTCATCGACTTCTTCCTTGCGGGGATCACCGTGAGGTCGGCGTCATTTGCGGCCTTTCTCTTCTTTTCCTGCTGTCTCTTTACTTCAGCATGTTCTTCCTCCTCCTTTGCCTTTCTTTCCTGCTCTTGTTGTTCCCTATAGGCCTTTTCCCTCTGCTCCCTTGCCGCAACTCTCTCCTGTGCCTTTCCTTTCTTCTTTGCCTTTTCTTCCTCCTCTTTTGCCTTTTCTTTTTCCTTCTCCTCTTGTTCTGCCCTAAACGCCTTTTCCCTCTGCTCCCTTGCCGCAACTCTCTCCCGGGCCTCCTTTCTGTACGGATCGTTCTCGTCCAATCTGGCCTCGGGGTTGGGTTGATGGGCGGCGGCGTGGCAGCCTTCGCAAGGTGTATCCACTGGGGGAAGCGTTATATCCATTCCCTTACTCGGATCAGGCCCAAGGCATGTTGTTCCGAACCCTTTACATTTATTTAGACCAACGATTCCCGAGTGACCACATGGGCTATGTATCTGATAGTAGTTTCCACACATTGTATTTTTGCTGGGCTTGGATACTGGACTTAGATACTGGGCTTGGATGCTGGGCTTGGATGCTGGGCTTGGATGGCTGCGTTCTGAATGGTAGGTATGCTTTCGATGGATCCAGTCCCTGCGAGGACCGTGACGAGGAAGGAAGCCGAAGTCGGTTATACTGATAGGTCATAAATCCGTTAGCCTTGGCTTATTTGTCTGTGAGGGTTGATTACCTAGTACTCACGACAAGTATTGCTGTTGATACGTGATGCTTCTCGGGGCGTATCTGTGTTTGTATATGACCAAGATTTGGAAAGATCGCACAGCGAGCTAATCGGTCTTGTATGCATTTTCGCTCTTCTCTGGTCGAGCTTGCCGAGCGATATTTTGACAATGTCAATCTTGAGTGATTCCTTCCACTTCCCTCCAACAAGCCGTGTCTTCTGCTCGAGGAGCAATGGTAATCAAAGCGCATGAACTCATCAGTGACCAGCGTGAAGTTAGAACCGTTGAAGACATTCCACTTGACTTTTCTCGGCGAGCCGCCGGCCTGCCACTCTCTAAATGGGAAGGTGCGGAAATGTGTTGGGCCAACGACTGTCGTATGTAAGTTTACATGTACATTGAGGAAATATCAATTCGTCCACTGTCGAACAGTTGAAAGCAGCAAATATTTCCATTACAGTTGGCGATGGTCCAGCCACCACATGCTCCCTAAACTTCCAAAGTCCCCCTGCTCACTCCATCCATGTGAACTTAATTCCCGTATACCGCCAGCTTGGTCCTCGTGTAACCCAAGTTTAACTAAGCTTAAAAGGCTCTGCCGAGAAGAGCCACCACGACCATCACCACTACCGGCGGTTTCGGCTTCCCTTTATCCATTTGCGAGGGGATCAAGCATCACAACCCATCGCTCTCCTTCTAGCTCTTTCTTTGTGATCATCGCACATTCCGGGTTTCGCCCAGATCACCGCGTTTTTCGGGTTGGGTCCCAGGCACGAATTCCCCCCCTCTGTATTTTCTTTCAATACACATCTTTGGGTGACTGGAGCGCTAATACGGCGACTGAGGTGGGATTGTGGTGCTGTACCCTATAGGTATGGATCGGTTGGGTGTCGGTTGGAATGCTAGAAACTGAGTGCAGTTTCTCTCGGAATTGTCGTGTCTGGTCGCAAGGTAGGTAGCGTAGCTAGATAGGTTGCGGGTGGGAACTCTTGTCCTGCGAGCTATACGAGTATGTTGTGAGCTTCTCATCATTTGTTTCAGGGTAAAAAAAGACAAGGTACTTACAGTGTCACTCAGATGCGAGCGACGTTAAGATGATGCGTTGGTAGTTAAGAACACGAAGGTGGTGGCAGATGTTGTACTCTCCCTCTCTACTTCTGCTCCAACTCCTCCATCCTCCTCTCCAACTCCGCGATCATCTCCCTCATCGCTCTCGTCTTCTTCCGCTCCTCCTCCAGGTAGTAATAGATCAGGTATATATTGATAATTATTGAAAGCCCAAAGAGCATGCTCAACAAGGTGGGAGGAAGTCGAAAATTTCGCGGAGCATGTTGGCGGCGGTGTCGTTGTTGTTGTTGTTGTGGTTGTTGTGGTTGTTGTTATTGGGGTTGTTGTTGTGGTTTGGTAATTCGGCTAACGACCACCGTGATCGAAGCTGAATGTTGGGTAGAGAGGTCATCAGGTTGTTAGCTTTGATCAAAGAATTCACTCGTGTGGGCACTGAGGAGGTTGCGAGACGGATGGGAGTAAAGTCGATACACTTAACTCGATTTCTGTCAAGGCAACTTCCATGGTATCCTCGAGGACATACGAAACCTTCCTTCTTTCCTTTCTTTCCTTGTACGCGCCCGGAAGGAGCAACCCAAACTCCTGACACCTGACACCTTCATATGCTGCTCTTTCTTCGACAATCCTTTTGCTCCAGTACTCCTTCTTTCTTCTCCTTGGTATCTCCATCTCGACTCTTCCCTCTTCCTTCCTCAGTGACCTGTCTTCCCATCCTTAGAGTCTTGACGGGTCGATCGAACCGGGCCCTTAGATATAACAATGAGAGGGAGCAGCTGAATATTAGTCCCAAGCGCTTGAAGTTTCCAAGATGGGGCAAGATGCTCGTGGCTCACACAATAAACCCAGTTTCATGGGTAGTACATCACTCCATGGCCTAACGACGTCAATCTTTGGGAAGTTTCCTGAGATTAGGTTGATATATCTAAGCGAACTTCCCATACCACCACCACCCGGAAACAAGGACAATGCGACCGAGTCCCGCGCGCAACGTATATTTGTTATTATGCGACCGAAACGGCATACATCTGGTATCGTATCGTACATTCTGTCCCTTCAAGCAAACGCTCCAACGATGGACATGCCGGCAGCTGTAGGACCACGAGTGTAAGCTTTTACCCACACAAAACGAAACCAATGGAAAACAAACTGGGGTACTTGTACTCACCGCCGAGAAGAACAAAGATAAAGGCAGTGATCTTGTCCTTCTTAGTCATGATCTTCTGTGCCTCCTCGGACAAGAAGTCCTCAGCCAGTAGATCGACCAAAGCAGCGTAAAGGAGAAGACCAGAGGAGCTGTTTTCATCATCATTAGTCCTGGTCCTCCTCACACCAGCTCCATCTCCTTCGGGAAATTGGGACTAAGAACTCACATAGCATTAAACACTCCCACGATGATCAACCCAAACGCGCTGTTCGGATCATACGAGCTCCTCGCCAACAGTCCAATCGCCTGGCCGATGGGGGCAGTAGTACCGAAAGCCACCACGAGGAGCCAGGGGCGGGGGCTTCCCTGGCGATAAGGGACAGCAGCGATGCGGGAACCAAGACCAAGACCCTCAAACATCTGGTGGAACAAGATAGCGATCAACAGAATGGTGAAACCTTCGATGGTGATGCTAACCGTCATGCCGACGAAGACGGAGTGGAACAGGATACCGCCCTCGAGAAGGGTAATGTTGAGGGACATCTTCTTGTAGACCAAGGGGTGGACCGGCTCGCCGGTTTCGACGTCGCGGTAGGGGGAGTCCATGATCGAGGCGGGAATCAGGGACTTGCGGTCCTCGTTGGAGCTAGAGGTGGTATCCGCCTGGGTGAGGAAAGCTTGTTGCCGGTTGGCAGTGGCCTTGATCATGTTTACCAGCTCCAGACGCTGAAGAATGTATTTTTCGTAAAATACAATGAACCAAGGAGGCATTTCGGACCTAGGACTGAGTTGTTCATAATGACCATCGTCATCGTAATCATTAGCAAAGGGGTTCCTAGGAGGGTTTTCGGTATATGCCTTGCGGCGGACTTTTTCAGCGTACAGTTCCTGGGCCATCATCTTCTCGTAGTCGGTATCCTCGTTGGAAGACTCGAAGAGGGTATCTTCTGTGTTGGTCCTGCGGTGCTGGGGCCGAGCGGCACCGTGATCGTTAGGAACGGAAGCCTGGGCAGCGGCGAGAGCATTGCCGCCGTGACTGTGGTTATCAAATCCGGTGGGACCTCCGTGGGAGTGGCCTCCGGTCTTGCTGTTGAGCCACATCTCGATAACAAACAGGATGAACATGGAGCCCATCATGATGACGCCTGGCATGGCCGGGTATTTGGTGGTGAACAGATCCGGAAGGCATGGGTCCATCAGGTTACCAAAGGCCGTTGGGAGTAACTGGAAGTTTGCAGGCCAAGTTAGTCACTGCTATTCTGCGCTGCTCATTTGATGGCTCAAGGGGCATATGAGTGACTTACATGGACAAAGGCGGTTGCGATCAAGACGCCAGTTCCAAAGTGTTTACACATGAAGAAGACCTTTGTTGGCACCTTCACCCAAGACACCTTCTTGGCCACGACCGGAAATCCGGCTCCGAGGATAGAGAACAGCAAGACCAAAACTGTTTCATGTCATCAGCTCAAATCTCCTGTGGTCATCATGGTCCATGGCTCGCACCATGTCAAACTTACACAACCCCGCAACGTGAAGACCGAGATCATACTCGCCGACTTTTTGGCCGCCACCACACTTTGGCTTTCCGCTGTTCATGATATTCATACCGGCATCCGGTGCCGGGCTCGTTTGTGGTGAAGACATTTTGATATGAATTAGGCACCAGGCCTTGGGTTAAAAGTAAAAAGAAACAAACAAACAAACAACAAGTCTGTGAGAGAACGGAAGTGAATGCGACTCCGCCCAGCGGGTGCTCAAAAAAGGAAAGAAAACAAAAGGATAGTAACCTCCACGGACTCCAGTGTGTAGGAATGGAGGGAAGAAAAAGGGGAAAAGAGTAGAAAAGAAAACAAGTGAGAGAAGGAGAGAATGGAAATGGCACAGCCAGTATAAGTCCTCCTGAGGACAGTCAACTCTACAAAATAACACCACTACACAATGGGAAGAACCAAGCAGGCCAAAAGCTCTGGGCAAAGATTAGGAAAATATTCTGTCTTATAGCATGACTCTCTCACGGTCATGCTGAGACGGGTACTGGCAGGCAGGAGTTGCCGCGAGTCGTGCAAGGACAGGTGACGAATTTGGATCGCCAACGACTCGGATCAAGGATCTGGTGAGATCTGTAGGAAGGGGAAACCTTGTTGACAACAAGACTTGATCCACTTGGAGAAACCTCCGCACGTTGAGTATCATCTTCATCACGATCTACATCTTCGGTTTCTTACATCCGTGAGACCATTCTTTCTTGGTGTTCAGCGACTATCAGTGAACCGCCAAGTGTGATTCTGCGTCAAGAGAGGCAAGTATTGGCGGACTCCCTTGTAGCCTCCAGACAATCTCAGCGGTCACTGGTGTTTGCATGATCTTGAGAGCTTCATAACAAGCTTCAAGTGATCTTGGTGAAACTCGTGAGATCTCTGGGGTAGTCTTCAAAGTCTCTGAATAAGCTTTCTTGTGGTTAAGTGAGCCAGAGCCTTATAGAAGCATATATTGGCTTCTATAAGGTACTATGCCCTTGGCGTCAGCTCTGACTTGCTTTTGACATGTGTATGTCCGCTTGTAGACCCTGTGGCCATTTCCTACTTTGGGCAATGGGAAGGGGTTTCAAGGCATCGACAACAATAGACCGTGGGTGAAACAGACCCACCTGGCTGGTGTGGCAGATATCCTGGGCGAGATCTGCCGATGGTGACCTTGCGGTTGCGGACATCCCAGTGCTTTCCCTCGACTTCGAGGTAATGTCGACATTGAGCAAGGGTGGGTTGTCCCTATTACAGGGATCTTAACGGCAGTACTTCAAACGCGGGGAAGTGAAAGTTTAAACAAACGACGGGGCTGGTGTAGCATCGAGAAACATATTGCTGAAGGGAATAAAGATCCGCGGTGTCGCTTAAAAAGAGAGGCGCCTCTCTTCAAGGATGGAAGATGTCCTCGTTGGTTGTTGCCCTTGACCTTTTTGTGGTTGTTGTGCATTCTGTGACATCTTGGCGTTCTCGGACCGTTGATCGCGCAACATGGTGTAACACTTTATTTGCGGCTCTTTTCTTCCCGTCCTAACCGAACAACGATACCCATCGTAAAGCCAAGGTTTGCCTGTTTATGTACCAGACTTTAACGGCCGCTTTGACCCCTGATGTTATCAAGACGTCTTCAGGGTCAACTACCCCCAAATGCATGGAAGTCGCCTTGGCACGTCTAGAAAACACATATGGAGGTCTGTGCCAACGGGAGAATGTTCATCTCAACACCACCCCAGCCCCCCAGGCTTCCTTTTGTAGATTGGCGAGCCATAAACAGCCAAGCGCCCCCTCTGTGTCGAAGATTCGATCCCCTATCACATCTGCATGCATGGGTTGCAACTGGACGGTAGGATGGTCCGATGGAGGTTCTCGAAGCTGAAAAGTTGGTAGCATGCTGAATGTTGGGTGACGAGTGACGACTTAGGTCCTAGAAGCTACCCCTATATGCCTCCTTAGGGAGGTGAGAGGGTTGCTGATAAGGTATGGCGTGGTCGCATTTGTCGACGAGGGTGGTTGCCCTACATACCCGATGTATTGTTGAAGCTTGTATAATAGCTTGACTGTTCGCTGCGTTTGAAGCTCTCAACAATTCATTCCCAGATCAGTGGCCGGTTGCAGTTGCCCTCTTTGAAGTTTGCGAAAACCCCGACCGCTTTCTCAATGGTCGATACCGAGTCTTCGGGCCCTCAACGGGCACCAGGTAGGTTGACACTTGCTTGCTGGTCATCAGGAGACTAACACCCGATAACAGTTCCTGCTGCACAAGGTACCCCAGTCGCACTGGCTGCGACGGGCCCTTCGCCGCTTGGGGAGTCTGATGTTGTCCAAGACAACGCCGTGGTGGTTGGTGACGCTCTCGGGGCGGACAAGGACCAGGGGGTATCGACGCTCCCTACTCGGCAGGACACCACGACATCTGGCTTCGACCCGGCGGATCCGATGAACTTTGGACGTCATCGGCGAGAGAACATCAGCACCAAGCAGATGAAAGTTGAGCATCCTGATGGAAACAAGAGACAGCTCAAGAAGTACTACAGCCGGCAGAACAAGCTGATCGACCAGTTCCTGGGGGCTGAAGATGAAGAGCGTAACACAGTGGAGGAAGATGCGCGGTATAAGCCAAAGATCAAGTTTGCGGTGAACGCATCGTTCGTTGTCAACTTTTGTCTCTTTGTCATCCAGATGTATGCTGCTATATCGACAGGATCGCTTTCGGTACGTTTCTTTGCGTCGTGGACATTGCTGCTGTTGCTAACGAGTCTTTAGCTGTTTGCGACTGCGGCGGATGCGTTTATGGACCTGGTATCGTCCTTTGTGATGCTGATCACATCCAGGCTTGCGGCCCGGCCGAGCATCTACAAATATCCAGTAGTAAGTGTCAGCATGAGCTTCACAGTACATCAGAAGCTCACCCAGTGTAGGGACGAAAAAGGATTGAGACGTTGGGCATCATTCTCTTTTGCGCACTGATGACCACTGTCTCGATTCAGCTTCTCGTAAGTCTTTTTTGTTCCGGGGCTGTTCATTGTAGCTGCTAACAGTTGATAGATCGAATCTGCGCGTAACTTGGGTTCGGGAGGAGAGCACGAAGCTGAGGGTCTCCATATCATTCCGCTCACCTTTGTGGGTGTTGCCAGTTAGTACTAATCACCAAAGCCAAAGGAAATGGGTTACTAACATGATAACAGTTTTTGCCAAGGGCAGCTTGATGATCTACTGCCTCTTCTACCGGAGGTTCCCAACAGTTCACGTCTTCTTTGTCGACCATCGAAACGACATTGTGGTGAACATTTTTGGGCTGGTGATGTCGATAGTAGGTGACAAGTTTGTGTGGTACCTTGATCCGATTGGTGCCATCCTGATTGCCCTCCTGATTCTCTTTTCGTGGGCTTCGAATGCCTTTGAGCAAGTCTGGCTCCTGGTTGGAAAGTCAGCGCCCAAGGAGTTCATTGCGAAGCTCATCTACATGACCATGACACACGACGACAGGATCGTCAAGGTAGACACGGTGAGTAGATCCCGAGTGTTTCCCGGTAAAGGCGTTCGAGGCTAACAACAAGGCAGTGTCGGGCATACCATGCTGGTCAGCATTACTATGTCGAGCTGGACATTGTAATGGACGAAGACACGCCCTTGAGGATTTCCCATGATGTTGGGCAGACGCTGCAGCGAAAACTCGAAGGGTTGGCGTTGGTCGAGAGAGCATTTGTGCATGTCGACTATGAGCACGCCCATAATGTTCACGAAGAGCATAAACCGTTGTACGAAAAGCCGACGCCCAAGGACATCCTCTTGTTCAGGAAACCCGCCATGGAACAGGGAGAGGCGAATGCGTCAATCGGGCAGTGACACTGGGGGACAATAAGGTTGAAGATAGTGCACGGTCATGAATAATAGAGTTCAAAGTTTGAAATAGTGCTTCCAGTTGGAGCGTGGTATTGATTCTGATCGAGGTGATGAGAATTGGTAATGTTGAGGAAGAAGATTCATAGGTTGCGTACTTGACACTTAGTTGGAACCAAAAAGTCAAGTTGGCAAGTGCAGAGTTTTCATGCCAGTGAGACAGACGTTGAAGTTGAAGAAGGAAAGTGCGAGTTGTCGTTGCACAGTTGAACGCTGTTGCTGCCGCCAAGGTTACGCGATAATTACCTCTTACGGTAAGTTATCATTTCTCTCTCACAAATCTGTAATTACGTGAAAAAGGGAGCTTGGGCCAAGTGGTGCGATTGCAGAGGTGGGCTGATTTTTGCTTTGTAATCGATTGGTTCGCGCATCCGGCAGGCATCGCAGTTCATCCCGTCCAGCAGCCGGTACCTGATCAAGTTCACTCCACCGGGACTTCGGGAGATCGACTTCACTTTTGAAAGAGTGAGTCCATCCGACGACAAGCTCATTTTTGGTCTGCCATTGTCGGCTCAATTTGGTCGTCATGGCCTTCTTCCAGCTTGGGTTGCGCCGGGCAGCTGTCCAGCTGTCCAGGCCATCCGTCTTTTGCGCCAGAGCTGCTTTCAAGGTCTCTCACCAACAGTCTCCTGCTTCCACCATCTTGAAGCTCGTGAGCCAGGCTCGTCACACCCAGTCCCGGAACTATGCTACCCAGAAAGTCCAAGAATCTCCCCTCAGCAAGCTCGCCACCGATATTGCTAAGCCCGCCTCGTCTGACAAGTCTGAGAAGAAGTCCAGCTTCCCAGAAACCAGCTCGAAATCTGTCGCCTACTGGCTCCTCGCCAGTGCTGCTTCTGTCTTTGGTATCGTCATCTTTGGTGGTCTGACCCGCTTGACCGAGTCTGGGTACGTGACCCGAGCATTTGATATGTCTCTATGCCTTTTCCAGCTACTAACGTTCCACAGCCTGAGTATCACCGAATGGAGACCCGTCACTGGTTCCCTCTGGCCTGGCTCCCAGGAGGAGTGGGAGTCCGAGTTTGAAAAGTACCGCGCCTCTCCCGAGTTCAAGATGCTCAACTCGACCATGAACCTCCACGAGTTCAAGCAAATCTACTTCATGGAGTGGACCCATCGTCTCTGGGGCCGCTTCATCGGCATGTCCTTCGTCCTCCCGACCATCTACTTCATTGCTCGTCGCCGCGTCACCCCTCGTATGGCCTGCACTCTTGTTGGCATCTCGGCTCTCATCGGCTTCCAGGGCTTCATTGGTTGGTGGATGGTCAAGTCCGGTCTCAAGGATGACCTCTTTGCTCCCGGCTCCCATCCCCGTGTCAGCCAGTACCGTCTCGCTGCCCATCTTGCTACCGCCTTCGTCTGCTACTCCTGGATGCTTCTTGCCGGTCTCAGCATTCTCCGCACTCACAAGGCCATCAAGTTCCCCGAGCAGGCTGTCAAGAACTTTACTGCTCTCCAGTCGCCTGCCCTTAGAGTCCTCCGCGGTTCCGTCGCTGCCCTCACTGTTCTGATCTTCACCACTGTTCTCTCCGGCGCTCTCGTTGCTGGTCTCGACGCTGGTCTCATTTACAATGAGTTCCCTATGATGGGCAACGGCCTCGCTCCCCCCAAGTCCGAGCTCTTGGACAAGTTCTACTCCCGCCACGAGGATGGTTCCGACTTGGTCTGGCGCAACATGCTCGAGAACCCCTCGCTCGTCCAGCTTGACCACCGTATCCTGGCCATCACCACCTTCACTGCTGTCTGCGCCCTGGTTGCCTACAGTCGCTCTGGCAAGGTCAAGGCTGCACTTCCCCCCGCTGCTCGCAAGGGAATCACCGGTCTTCTCCATCTCGTCTCTTTGCAGGTTGCTCTCGGTATCAGCACCCTCATCTACATGGTCCCCATTCCCCTAGCTGCTGCCCACCAGGCTGGTGCTCTTGCCTTGTTGACCGGTGTTCTCGTTGCTGGCCAGCGCCTTCGTATCCCCAAGGCTACCTTGGCTATGGCCCAGAGAAGACTGGCTCAGCTGGCTCAGCAGGCCAAGACCTAAGGTCCCAAATAAGCAGCACAAGCACAATGATATATCGTGTAACATATCTGTAACATTATCACAAAAATCTGGCGGATTGATATACCCGAGGAGTTTAGGATACACGTACATCTCCTCACACAACGGCTGAAGCGGCCAAGTTTATGCCACTTTTTTCCTAGACGACAGTCCCTCATGTGAACCAAGCTCTCATCAGACATGGCGTTGCACAACCTGAACCAGCATCTACCAGTTTCGGATCCCGGCAGTCGATAATCTTTCTGTGTACCATATCCAATTCCGAAACCTTGACAGGCCCTACCACTACTGTCGCATGTCTCTGTAGGGCAGTGCGGTCTCGAATCTTGATTTGGGAGCAGGGAACCAATCCGATGCAGTGGTACCAGTTACCAAGTGGTGGGCTGGAACCCTGCAGAATGCCCCAATGGTAACACAGCGGAGGTCTCGCCGGTTCGACTCGGTGAGTCCACAGAGGCGGGCTTACACAGATACCCGGCATTTCTCCTCAGATGATGCAAACAGAGATTGAGTGTCGTATTGTTGTTACCCCTGAACGTGGGAAAAGGGGGACGGACCAACCGTCCACGCGGTCCAACGTTCTCTTCAGAGTGCCAGTGCGGCAAGACCGGGATGTCGTCACATTACACTGTGCATATCGATAAGGAAGCCCAACCTCTAAGAGACGTTCGAAAGTCCTGGCGCCAATGACAATGACATTCAATTTCCCAACTTCCAACAGACTTGACTTCATTGCTCACCCACCAGGATTATAGAGTACCAACTCTCGCTCGGTGATGTGCCGCAACGGCAACTCCCGAACGAACCTTGAATTCACGACCTGATTTGCTATTCGGTCTACACTACTTACAGCTCGAGTTCGGTTAGCTGACGACAATCGTCGCACAATTCCACCCCCCCAACCTTCAAGTACACAAGCCATGCACGACATCACATTGTGAAAATGTGAGCCGAGATAAAACTGGATGTTATCTCGAACTACACAAGGATGAAGCACCGAGCCTTTTCATGACCTTTCGCTTAAAGAAGGGCTTGACTGGCTGCCTTGTTAAACGTTCCTCAGGTAGCTAAGGAAACACGCTTACACCGCCGACGCCGCCTGACGAATAGCTTTCTCCTTTCCGAGTTCACAGCCATCATCACAAAGATCATGAAAATCTGGATTGTGGTGGTTGTCCTCAGCCATGTTTGCCACATACAGTCGGGGTCCTATGCGCAGCACCCTTTGTTTCTTCCCCTCCTTGAGCCTCAGCCGGCCACATGCAGCTGACAGCAACAACATCGACCACAACCACAACCCCCAAAACACCACCCCCACCGTCTCATTTCTCAGCTTGGTTGATCAACAGCTTCACAAGATTAGTGGCTAAATATGCCAAACATGCAAGTGCTACTACTCCATGTTACATGAGTTGGGCCATTGTGTGCATGCATACAACGGCTACTGCGGTTCAGGGACAACAGTAAAAGGGTCCGAGACAAAATAGAGCCTAGGATGTCCATGAGACTCGTACTTGTCCCGCGATATCTTGGCCCTATCCGAACCGGTTGGAACATTGTCTAGGAGCCAGAATACATAGTCTAGGCAAGACACTTCGAAGTCGATGTCTCTGAGAGCCTCCGTGTCCCCCATTCTTTGTTTGGTTACCCCTGGCTTCCCCATATTACTAATTGTAACCCACTATATTCCTCGCCAAATCAGGGTTGAAGGACCTCAATCCTACACAACCATATTGCGCCGACTTTGGTTGCGGTTCGGGTTGTTCGTCCACTGCGAGGTTCCATGCTTCGGTGATTCGCCCCCGCTCTGCAGGTTTGCACCTCCTTCCCGATGCCGACAATGAGCTATTGAATGATCAACGAGACGTTAGACTTTGGTGTCGGCTGCTGCCCTCATGCACATTTGGCACCTTCGGGAACGATTACGGTCTGCTTCCGAACGCCTTCATTTCTGACAAAATGACCACTTCTTCAAACCATTGGCCGTTTAACCCAGAAGGAAGCAGTCTGGATGACGACACATACGGTATCACAGGATGAAAAACATCTGATATTCTCTAAACTCAGTTAAGGCTGGGCGAGTCGAGACTCCACCTTCCGCCTCCTCGCTTCCTTGGCGAGGAAAACATCCCCTTCCACGAACAAGAAGAAGAAAGGAAAAAGAAAGTTCACATTTCTCGGCAGTGTGAAACGGAAACTGCCAGACAACTTTTCCATCTATCCCTGTCACGCCTCTCTCCGAGACGTATACACCTGCCTGTAAGCCGGTGTTTTCGACAGTCAAGTCAATACCTCCAACCTCACGACCGAATCCAGTGTCTCACGACAGGACGTTCGTGTTCCCACAGCGAGAAACCAGCTTTACCCTTGCACATCTCAATAAACGTTTAATAAACCCCCGTCCGAGTCAAGACCTTGTTTATTCTATCCTTCCCCTTCCTCCCCTCTCCACTTTCTCCATCCCCAACCTTGTCTGAAAAGGCAAACCATCAAAACTGCCACAGCCTACAACTGCGTGCAGAGCGATGTCTCTTTCTACAACTCCTTGACCGAACGGGTAATTGACGCCGACGAACACTTTGTGCTGTTATCAGACAGTCTGTTCCTCGAGTGGTCAACCGGAGTGTTTTCATCCAGCTGGCACTATCATTCCATCTCCATCGCCTCTATCACCTCAAAGCCAACACGAGAACGGTTTCACACTATTCGCCGTTTCCACGCTTGAACTCAATAATTGCCACTTTACTCGACTTTTGCGGAATTCAACGACGAAAATATCTACGTTTCAGATATCAACCCTGGCTTCAGTACTCTCCTGAGTGGTTTATCAGAACCAGAAGGCGACGTCTGTTCACGGCTGTACGACGAGACTCTCGGCTGGGCTTGCTAGCAAGACATCCGAGTGTTGAACCATTGCCGAAATCAGCGGTTATCCCACGTGTGCTTTCTCCTATCATAACTCAATATTATTCGTAAGTGTGTATTTCATCTTCCACTCAAGTTGACTGTGGAGACACTCTCTCAATGCCCGGTTCATCCCCTTGCTGCACTGATGATGGAGTTTGGACCGAGAAAGAAGCACACATTCATATCACTCACTCAAATGCCTCCTGAATCATGACAAACGCATTCTGCACCCATGACACAGAGGGCAACATGACCACTTGGCCCGAAAAGCCTACATTGTGGAGGGGGACTTGAGAGGGTTCCTGGGGTCTCGACCCATTGAAGGGGTGTGGAAACAAATGTGCCAGGGAACGAAATCCTCCGCTCGATCAACGAACAAACATGGTGCAGAAAAGAGGTCCCATCCATCACCCTCACGTCATCATTACCACCACAGACTCGAACCTCCTACATCACTATTTACACATCCCCTACATAACCCTGAAATCCTCCCGAAGTCCTCACAACCATTCTCACAAAACCAAACTAACTAACCCTCTCCCAGCTTCCAACCATCTCAACACACCACACCACACACCACACACCACAACCACCCCAATTACCAAAAAAAGAAAATGTGCCAACAGTGGTTCTGCCTATACGCCTGCGGGCACAAGGGTTTCTACCGCTACGACCCCTGCCCGGACTTCGGCACCAAGTGCTACGGCGCCGGCGGCGAGCAGTCCCTCTTCAGCGTCACCAACACGTGCGACGATTGCCAGAGTAGGGCGGCGGAACCGAACCCCGATGGACGCAAGGACGATCCGTACCTGAAGGAGAAGAAGTACGTGCCTTGGGTTGTTAATGATGCGGCGGCGGGTGGGCCTGGTGGGGGGGAGGGGAAATAGGGGGGAAGTGAGATGGGGAGGATGAAAAAATTGGGGGGAAGGGCGGGAAGAGGAAACGGGAAAGGGGGAATGAGGACGGGACCTAGTGAACTAGAAATGGGAGTGGGGATGAGAATGGGAATGTATCATACCGGTACGGGGAGGATGCAGCCATGAAGAGATGGATCGATCCCCCACCATGGCTCATGGGCAATGAAGTACCCTTTCCAAGAACAAATACCAAAAACCAAATAAAAACATCCAAAGATATATCTCCAGCCTCCTCACCAATCCTCGATCACGATGAAAAATATACCCATAAATGCTCAGTCACCAAGTAAGCCGGTGGAACGAACCACCACCCTTCCCATCTCCAATTGCAGACATTCCATATGAGAATGGAAGTGTATGCCTCAAATACCGCGTACCCAACTGTGTTTGTATAAACAGTGTCAAGCACCTGTACTCGTCCATTGACCCACGACACTGGGTTGAAATAAAACGGGGGAATGGCAAGCATGGAAGACACGGCTGACGCGCGGGTTAGGATGGCTTAGATGGGGACAGGCAGGCGACCTAGCTATGAAAGTGGTCTGCTGTTTTACAATGCTGTTCCCTTTTTTTTCCAGCTTGAGCTGGAGCGGGGAGAGGACACTCGGGGTCCGGATCAGGTTGGAGATACCGGCAATGAAAAGCAGAGTGAGGAAATGGCGGAACAAAAGAACAGTGGTACTGGCTGGGAAGAAAAGACAGCAGATGGCAATCATGAAACCAGGCGTCAGTTGTCATGAGGTTCAAGTAGGTATGTGTTCCAGGGGCGCGCGCGTATGAGGAAAGAAAAAGTCTTTCGCATGTTCGGCTACCTATGATATCACGGAGGTTGTAGAGAAGTTGAGTCCATCCAGTGTATCGAATTCGTTCTTGTCTCGCAACCTTCTTCATGTCTTCGTGAGATACCATGAACATGCATTCCAGAACTGTACACTGACTTGAAAACGAGCGCTCTACGTAGCATGACGGTTTCAACTTGCCTTTTGTTTTGCTTTGTGACAATACCTCCATGGTTTGTACCAGGGAGACACACACCATATGATCACATTAGGTCATCATCATCGACATCACAACTAAGATTAGCACCAGCTACATAATTGAAGAAAAGCCGAAAAAGAATGAACCCGTCTTCACCATAGCTACCTACCCATCCTCACGAAGTCACTGACCCACCATCACCCCCAAGCCCCACGGCAGCCATACTCCCGTCTCCCTTAAGGTCACACATATCACAATCTAACCAAACTAACATCCAAAATCCCCTCCTGCCCTTCCAACTCCCTCACCACCTCCTCCGTAACATCCCCTTCAACCCCCAAAATCATCAACGCCTCCCTACTATCCTCCTCCCTCTCCTCCACTGTCTCCTCCGTCTCCTCTCCACCCCTAGTTTCCACCGTCCCAACCGGCCTTACTCTTCGCTTAGTCCCACCACCACCACCACCACCACCACTTTGACCACTTAACCCAGCAACCTGCATGAACCGAATATTAATCCCATGCCTCCCCACCACCATGCCCACACCACCAATCTTGCCCGGGCGATCATAGTTCCTCAGCACCAGCAGTGTTCCCTCCGGCTGAAAATTCGCGCCGGCGAACCGGTCCAGTTTAGAAATAAAAATATCTGAGCCGCCACTGGTTACGTGTCCCTCGATAATCTGTTCCTGTTCATGTTCCCGTTCTTGCTCTTCTTCGCTGCAAATTTTGGAGGAGGAGGTAAGTAAACTGCGAAGCGTCACCTGTCCTCCTCCCTCGCCGGAGCCGACGGAAGTAGGGGTGTTGTTATCGTCGCTGTGCACAAACTTCTCATCGATAGCGATTCCTCGCTCGCGGGCGATGAGGGAGGCGTTGACGATGTTGACGTCGCGGCCGGCGTGCGAGGAGATGGATGAAAGGAGACCTTTGATGAGCGCGGCGGTTAGGGGGCGGGTGGAGGGTGGGGGGACGGAGGCGAGGGCGCCGTGGTAGGTTAGTTCGAAACGGCGGCCGCCTAGGCGGTTGGGTTTGGTGCTGGTGCGGGCGAAGTGTTGGGTGTAGAGGGAGCCCATGCGCTCGATGCTGGGGAGCGGTTGGAGGTTCCGTTAGTGATGATCGTGAGAAGTAAAGGATTTGCGAAGATATGGAGGAATACGATTAGAGGGACATGAGGTGGAAAGACTGGACACTCACAGCTTCACAAAAGGCTGCAACCTCCTATACTCCTCCGGCAAAATCAACGGCGCATTCACCGCGGCCGTCGGCATCCCACCCCTCAAAATCTCCAACACCTGCGTACACACATCCACCGACACATTCTCCTGCGCCTCGACCGTGCTCGCTCCCAAATGCGGCGTCGCCACCACCTTCGGATGTCTCGCTAGTCTCGCCGCAGCCGCCATCGACTCTTCTCCTTCCACATCAAACCTCACCGGCTCCTGCGTATAAACATCGATTCCCGCTCCAGCAATCCACCCCTCCTCAAGAGCCTTCAACAACGCCCCCTCATTATACACCCCACCCCTCGCCACATTCAACACCCTCGCCGTCCTCTTCATCAACCTCAACTCCTTCTCCCCCACCATATCCGCCGTACTCGCCAACAACGGCGTATGCACCGTCAAGAAATCTACCACCTTCAACAACTCCTCGAGCCCACCAATAAGCTTCACCCCCGCACCCCTCGCAATCTCCTCACTAGCATACGGATCCAATCCCATCACCCTCATCCCCAATCCTCCAGCACCAGCCATCCTAGCCACTTTCATCCCCACCTTCCCCAACCCAATAATCCCCAACGCCTTCCCGCCCACTTCCACACCCACCAACTTACTCCTCTCCCATTTTCCTTGCTTCATGCCCGCATCAGCCCTGCCAATGTTCCTAGCCGTAGCAAGCAACAACGCAACGGTGTGCTCGGCCGCGGCCGCGATGTTGCCGTGCGGCGAGTTGACGACGATTATCCCGCGCTTGGTGGCGGCTTCGACATCAATGTTGTCGACGCCGACGCCGGCGCGGGCGATGACGCGCAGGTTGGGGGAGATGGCGGGGGATAAGAGGGCGGAGGTGACGTTTGTTTCGGAGCGGATGATTAGGGCGTGATAGGGAAAGAGGAGAGAGGCGAGGGTTGAGGGGGTGGTTTTTGGGTGGTAGGTGACCTCGACCTCGTGGGAAGAGGAGGATCGCAGGAGGGTGAGACCTTCTTCTGAGAGGGGTTCGGGGATGAGGATTTTGAAGGAGGTGGTGGGGGATGGGGATGGGGTGATAGGGGAGGAGGAGGGAGGGGGGGTAATAATGGCCGAGGGCGTCATGGTTGGGTTGGGTGGAAGTGGCAGAGGTATGGTATTGGATGTGATCAGTAATTGGGGTGAGTACTAATCTGAGCAGATGGAACTTGAAGACTGAGAAGAGGTTGAAGTATGGTTGATGACCAGCACTCAATATCTCATGCAGCATAATTCATGAGGGAAAAGAGGGGCTTATAACCTTGAAGCAGCACCATTCTTTGTTGAATTGTTGCTTATAGCACAAGACGTGGTGACCTGTAACACTTGCTTGGCCTTTCACCCCCGCGTCCCAGGATCTCAGCTGGCTTTTGCAATATCACCATATCCCACAACAGGACGTAGTGCTCATCCCGACCAAGGAAGCTCATGTCGTGGACGAGGTGACGTGCAGGAAATGGAGAATACTCGAAGGGCCCCATTCCATACTCTCGGCGTCAAGGCGGAGAGAGCTGGATGGTGGTTTCGGATGTATGCGAGGTGAATTAGTCTGGAAATGAGATTGTCGTGTGACTGCATCTCATCGGATGCCAGTAATGGTAGATAGAAAGTAGTGCGAGGAACACTCCGACTTGTTGGCCAAACAGATGGAGGAAATCTCTGAATAGTCATAACATTGTGTAATCCTATCAATTATCAGCCATTCATCAATAGAGTACGGTAAGTTGGGATAGGATGTTTCGAAGTCCAATAACGAACCCAGCTGACGGGCAGAGGAGGGTAGGGCAAGGCAACTCCCGAAGCTTCGCGGTTGAATTGTGCTGGATGGACCTATGAAGCTTCGAGGCCTCACACCCTCACGATCTCAAACCCCTCATTCCCCCACGTTTGGCTACTGCAGGTTGCTGCACCCGGAGTATGTACGCAGGGCGGGCGTGGGTGGTACATGATGTCGTTTAATGCAAAAGTGAAGAGACATTGGAATCTGAAAGGTAGAAACAGAAGCTATACAGCATTGAATGGGAGACGATAGCTGTCAACAGAGCACAAAGTGTGCTATTGAGGGACCTAGTCGCATTCCACATCTAACCTATAACACCCCCTTAAACATTGTAATCAGCTTAGAAGTTAGACTGGCCAGTGAAGCGCTCGTTCTGGACCAACTCGATCCAGTAGCCATCAGGATCAAGAACGAAAGCAACATTCTTCATGCGACCATCCGTCAGTCTCTTCTTCCAGTTGACGTTCAGACCCTCAAGACGCTCGCAAGCAGCCTCAATGCTGTCAACCGACAGGCCTATTTCAAGTCATCGATCGTTAGCAAACCATATTGTCTTAATCGCTGCTCTCAACGAGCTCAGAAGAGGCTTCCACTTACAGATATGACCAAACCCTTGAGGCTGGTCGTTGCCGTTATGGTACGAAAAGTTCTCATCCTTCTCCGTCCCATAATTCCACGTCAACTCCAACAGCCCCTCGCGATCCGCCTCGTTCCCCTTCGCATCCCCATACCCAAGGAAGTAAAGATTAAACCCAGCCTCTTTCGCCTCATGCGTCCTAACCAACTTCATCCCCAACACGTCCTGATAGAACTTGAGACTCTTCTCCGCATCCTTGACCCTCAACATGGTATGGTTCATCCTATAACTCTTCAAATCCGTCTCCTTCAGTCCCTCCGTCTCCTCCACGGGTTTCCGTCCAATGATCTCCACCCAGTAGCCATCCGGGTCCAGGGCGAACGCAATGTGCTTCATCCGGCCGTCGGTGAGCTTCTTCTGGAACTTGTAACCCGCATCCTCGAGGCGCTGGCAGGCGGCCTGGAGGTTGTCGACACTAATACAGGTGTGGCCGAAGCCGCGGTGCGGTTCGACGTTGCCGTTGTTGACCTTGTAGGAGTCGTCGTTCTCGGTGCCGTAGTTGTGGGTTAGTTCGATAAGGCCTTCGCGGTCCCACAGGTTGGCGCCGCTGGAGACGGCCCCGGGAGCGTCGTAGCCGAGGAAGTAGAGGTCGAATTTGGCTTCGGGGAAGGAGAGTTTTTTGAGGAGGGACATGCCAAGGAACTCGTAGAATTTGACTGTCGTATGTTAATAGCGTGTCGTTGAGGGTAGACGGGCTGTCACGTACCCGACTCCTTAGGGTCCTTGACCCGGATCCTGTTATCTCCAACTCAGTTTACTTGTCCTGCCCTCGTCGTCCAATCTCATCGACTAGCCAGAATCGCAACTTACATGGAGTGGTTGAACTTGTAGTTCTTGACATCGGTAGTAGCCGCCATGTTTGCAAACGATCTCGTGAAAGCTGTTGAATGTTGATGCGCACCAAAGTCAGTCTCATCCACAAGACCACAGTTCATTCCCCGTTTGTTCCGTCACCAACTTGCTGTCTTTCTGTTCTGAAAGGTGACTACTTACCAGGTCTAAACACCGTCGTCTTCTTGTTACTAAACAAAGCACCAGAAAAAAGCTTCAATCTCTGTACCGCACGCGTAGTTGAGTTCATGTCACCACGTAGAAGAGGAGAGGAAGGGAAAATTCGACAAAGTGCGGGGGAGGAAGTGGTGACGTGGTGAGCTTTGGGGCCGAACGGTGAGGGGGCTTCTGCGCAGCTGACAAATAACATGGGATGGAGCTTCGTGTCATCGGAGATAAGGTGTTGACGTCAGAGAAGCTATTCTCCACATCGTTCAGCTTGTGCTACGACGGGACGGAGCTGTCCGGCGGCGGCAGCGATGCCGTGATCCACTTAGTCCGCCGCTTTCCTCATTCACCGATGTGTCAGCAACAGGCCAAAGTAATGATATCGTGTGTACCAATGATGATACTGATGACTATGATCCTAAAATAATAACAATCAGGGCCGACAGCCAGAAATATCCATGCTTCATGCTAAGACTCCATGCCACCGACACCGACAAACAACAAGAAGAAAGAGAAACCAAATCCTCAGTTACTGTACTTCATCAATACAATACAATGCTTCGTTCAGACCGTCATCGCTCTTCTCGTTCGTTTCCTGACCGATTTCGCTAATTCCCTCATTTTCCTATACCCATTGTCCTCGTTTTCCCCAAACATAATTTCCATAAAAACCTTCTTCATCTGTTTCCGTAGGTAGCTCATACTATGCCACACTCTCCGAAGGAATCAGCTCAAGCAGCCCATCGACCTAAGATTTGCCGCCCTTGCGCTTCTTCTTTTTGCTTTTGTGCTTCTTCCCATGACTACTGCTCTGTCCGCCACCGTTGGTCTTGGCAGATTCATCCCCCTTATCTCCCGACTGGTGTCCTTCATCGCCCGTCGTAGGCGACATCAGGCCCTGACTCTCGTCACCTGTCTCCGACCTGGCGGATGGCTGGGCTATCGATAAAGTCACCTTGGTGCCGCGGCCGTGATCGGGGGAGGTTGTCGTGATGGCATATTCCTCCTCGTCGTTGGAGCTGTTGGTCTCCAAAACCACCTTTCTGACACCTCGTGTCTCGATAATGTTCTCCGTTATACTTCCACTGCGAACAATTCCACGCCTAGGGGGCAAGAGGCCGCTGTCGCGCAAGCTGGCGACGCTACTACCGCTCGATCGATGGCCAGACAACCCGCCGGCCGTATCCGTGGCCGCATTTTGCTGCTGCCTCGGGGGCGTCTGCGTTGACTTGTCGACTGTATCCTGGTTGCCGTCCGAGTTGTCCACACTGATAGGTACTGCCGTTATGGCACTCTCTGCTGGAGAGATGAGCTGCGCGGTAGCAGGGCTAACACCACCGTAGCTCTGCGTCAAAGCTTGAATACCGTCCTTTGCGGTTGATTGCTGAGGTCTGAGGAGGCTGGTGGTTTCGTCGTCTTCAAAGGGAGTCTCGGCAACGGCGCTCGAATCGGCAATCGATGCAGCACGTGCTTGAGAAAGATGTCCCGCGATCCCCGGCTTGATCTTCACTGTAGTCGAGCGAGTGTTCTTGGGATTAATAGCCGGGTTGGAGGGTCCTAGGTGTTTCAAGTGCTGCCTCAGTTCTTCGAGATTGGCGCGGACCGGAACCGTAGTGTTCACCATCTGGCCATCGACCCCAGCGGAGCTTCTCCGCATCATGAAAGTAGTCTGCTTGGGATCCCGCTCGTTGATAAGGTGGGCCGCTTCAGAGACAGTGCTGCCCGCACCGGTAAGCGGCTCAACAATCTTTGATGGTGGAATATCAACACCGTTTGTCTTACTCGAACCGGCGACATCATCATGACCCCTGCTCATCGTCTTGCCGATAATATCCTCGGAGGCACGACGTGTAATTCTGGCCTTGGGTGCAGGAGTCAACCGGCGAATGGCCTTGTGGACGTCGATATAAACATCCGATTCGTCAATGATTTCCCTGGAGTGCGGTCAGTAAAATGAACATATGGAAGCAAGCAAAGTTAAAGCCAAGACTTACTCTCCGATCAGTTCCTCGATCACATCCTCAAGGGTGACCACACCAAGGGCGCCGTGATCTTCTCCGGGATATTCCGAAACAAGAACCATGTGGGACTTGCCCTCCTGGAAGAAGTTGACAATGTCTAAACAGCTGGTTTCGGGGCGGGTCTCGGGGAGAGTGGCCAAGGGGAAGTCCTTGACTCTCTTGCAGTCTTCGGGGTCGTAGGTGATCAGAATCTTGACAAGCAGCATGCCGACGAAATTTGTAGGATTGCCGGTTTCATGGATGGGGATTCTCGAGTAGCCGGCTGACAAGATCATATCCATGGTCTTCTCATCCAGAACAGTGTCCTCTGCCATGACAAAAACGTCCTCCATGGGGGTCATGACATTGGCGACCGGCTTTTCCTTCAAGTCGAGTACCGCACTGATGATGGTGACTTCATCCTGGTTGAGACGTTCCGAAACATCGCCGAGGTTCTTGTGTAGAGTGACCAAAGTCTTGAGACCACTCTTCTTGTAGACGGTTCCGTGGTCCTCTCCAAGGAGCTTGTCGAGAAGCTTTGCAATCGGGTAGGAGACGGGGGCAGTCAGGTACATGAGCAAGAGGACGGGCTTGGCCATGTAGCCACCGATCGGCAGGCCGTATCGAACGCATAGCGACTGGGGAATGACCTCACCGAAGATGACTGTAAAGACCATATTAGACGAACGGACTGGATCCATGTGGAATGAAACGTACCAATCAAGACAGTAGAACCGATGACAGCGGCAACACCACCGCCGAGGCAACGGTCCAAAACAACGGGGAGTGTTTCATTGACAATGACATTGGACAATAGCAGGGTAACCAGGACCCAGTGCTTGCCACGCTGTAGTAGATCGTACACTCGTTTCGCGTTCTTTTGTTGTGGTTCGGTCAAGTCTCTGGCGAGTACTTGGAGGTAGATACCATCCTGGCCCATAAGACTAGACGTTCCATGTTAGTACTACTGATAGAAATGAAGGCTCGCTGGAGATAAACATACGCTATCGTCAAGCCGGCAAAGGCTCCTCCGACGAGGACCAAGACAGCTGAGACCACATAGAGGACCCAAAGGCCGGCGCCCTCTTCTGGCTCCTCGGAACGTCCATGTTCAAGAATGCCTAGAGGTATCGGTGCAGCTGTGACGCTTGAAATGCCCATAAACAGGGCGCGAGCAAGGCCTACCGTCAGAGAGCGTGCTGCTAGCAAGCCATTGGAACGGGAGGAGGCACCACGAAAATGTTGTGCCGTTCGGGGGGCTATCGACATAATTTTCGAAAGTTGCCACCAGAGTCGGTTGCGGATGAGCTACGAGACACTCTTGGGTGGATGTAGAGGAGAGGAAGAAGCCGGGTTATTGGAAGTTGGGGCTGTTGGCCGCGAGACTGGGCTTGGCGCGCTTCCGTTTCCTTTTCTCGCTGCAGACAGAAGAGGAAGGACGAAGTGCAGTGCAGTGGTATCGAGCAGGGGCAGTCACAAGCTCTGCAAAAGCTCTGCAAGCGACCGTGGTCCGATTTTTTGCCTTTGCTGATAGGCGCTACGAGTCGTGATATGCGCCGGCCGAGTTGTAGGATCCGGGGCCTGTAAGGTATCCTTGGCGATTCGGAGGAGACAGCGGCGATTTCCGTCTCAGGTTGTTTTAGTCCAAATGGTGGTTGTTTGAGAGACAGTTTGACGAGAACATTGGGCGAAGTCGCAAAGAGAAAAAGCCAGAAGCCTACGGACCTCGCTGGGCACTTCCCTTGGCGGCGAAGGTGCTACACTGTTAAAGAAACTATGGACAAGTGGGGCCATGACGACGACCTCGACGGGTCCCGTTCCGATGACGATGACGGCAGCGGACAGCCTCCCGCTGCAAAGCTGCTGCAACGACATCGGAGCCTCTCATTGATTGGTCACAAGTTTTGTTTCAGCGACTTAGACGGCATGATTGGACCCGACAGCAATGGGGCCAGCGGGACCCGACTTGCAGCGGGCATCTAGACTCTTTGCCAAAAACATTGAAGAATCGGGCCATCAAGGTGTCCGGCTGGGGTCATGAGGGAGCATCTAGGAGCAGCCGTACAACCTATTGCTACATTGGTTCACGGCAGGACGCAGGACGAGCAGTAGGTAACAAAAGCACCCAGTTCCACAACAATCATATGTCATTTCGGAGCAAGCTCGTTTCTTTCAAGTCTGCGAATGTTTGTGATGCGCCGGGATATCAAGGTAGGGAAAGGAGGATACACAGCTTGACAGCAAAGAGAAAGATGAAGCGGTGTTTCAACACTGAAAGATCTGGTAAAGTTCACACTGCGTATGGGAACACGTAATTACACTAATGGAGGATGCGCAACGGCAATTGTGCCAGCTCAATGGCGCGTTTACAAAACCCTTGGCAGCCGTCGTGTAATTCCTTCATTCGAGTCCTGTACGAGGGCACAATCTCTGGGCGTTTACATGTAGAAGAGATAACTCTGGTACAACAAGATCCAGTCATGTCCATTCTTCATCCCGGGCCGGAGATCGGAGGCGGCACTCCCACAATAAGGAAAGTTGCCGGCACCTTCCGGATGGTATGGGTCCGGGCCTCCGCTACTAGGGTTGTAGTCCCCACCCCACCAAAGCACCCACTGTGGGGAGGAGAGCTTTAGCGGGACAGGCCCCGCGCAGCCCACTGAAGGATGTGCGTCGACTGTTGTTGGCGTTTGACGGGAAGCTTTGTGAAGCGCGTTTTCTTCTTCCATCTTTCAAGCTTCACGCGTCAAGCTCTCCGCGGCTTCGACTGCTACCTCTACAACAATTGAAGCTTTCAACCATACTTTCAACTGCCGAGCAGATGACTCATCCGTTGCTCGACCAGCGGAGATTAGGTTGGTGGTAATTATTGTGCTAACTGTGAATTGGCAGAACGAGCCATACCACAACAGCTGAGCAGAACAAAACACCATGGTCACTACCAGGCATGCGCAAAGCGGGGGTCGCGCTCAGGAAACGGCCACGAGTAATGCCCCCTTCCAGCAAGGTGATGACGATTCCAGCTCCTCTGACGACGATATACCAGCCGAACCCACCCCGAATTACAAACGAAATCGGAGCATGTTCACCGGTCCAACACTCCGACCTACGAAGAGGGTGCGAAACTCGCTCGAATACATTCATCCCTCCAAGAGACGAAAGACGCCCGGAAGCATAGTAGTGGCTGGTGATCAAGAGGAATCTGTCGAGGCAGAGGGAAGTCGGCAAGATGACGATATCGGCGAAGACGAAGATGCACTTTTGAGGCAGCAACTACTTGAGGTGGTCAACTCGTTTAGAGGTACAAAGTCGCGCGACCCTCCTATTCCTCCTACCGAGCCCCAACCCGAGCCCCAACCTTCCACAACTGGCGTGAAGCGCCGCAGAGGAAGACCTAGAAAACATCCGCTGCCGGTGATTGCACAGGACCAGGCAGCATTCAAGACACAACTATCACAGCGGGCATTGGACGAAATAGAGGCTCTAGCCGAAGAGACATCGGAAGCAGGGGGGGCCCAAACTCAGGAAAGAGATGACGTATTGGATTCTGTGGAAGTCGAGTACCATACAGCATTCGAAGCTTTGGAACCAGCGGAACACCCAGAGTCTCAGCTTCCAAGAGGCGTCGACGACCATGTTGACGATGAGAGACAACAAGAGGAGGAGGTCGAACCAGAGCAAGATGAACAAGAACGGGGGAAAAAAAGCCTACAAAAAGACAAAGACACCCTCGAGATAATACCAGAACAGCTGGAACAAGAGCCAGACAATGATTCGGAGCCAGACAATGATTCGGATCAAGAGTTTCCATCGCTCTTTGATTTGAAGAAGCGTACGAAGAAACAAGTACCTCCTTCAGCCCAGCCAGAACTGGGTCCGGAGCACACGCGTCCGTCACCAGTTCTCGGCAGCGACCCTGCAGACGAGTTTGCGAATGGGGACGATTCTCAGAACCAAGAAGACGACTACGAGGAAATGGAAAGCGACAAAGATTATGAAGAGGAAGAACAGTCACACGAAGATGAAGAAGAACAAACAGACAAAGAGGATGAGGCGAACAATCAACCCCCACGTGCCGCGCCAAATCGACGTTTTGCCACTCTGCCCCAAGACTCGCTGCAGGTGGAAATGCCAGGCAGTACCATCCTTCCGTTGCGAAATATCATGGGCCGCCCTGGCTGGACGGGCCTCAGCAAGGATTGGTCCAAGACCATAATACAGCCATACCGAGACCAAACTAAAAAACCGACGGCTACGCAACTAGTCAAAAATTTTTGCGGGCAACTATATGATCTCAAAATCCTTTTCGATCGAGCTCCCCGAGCGGCGTCCCTTACCAAGCAAGACGAGTACTGGGTGAGCAAGAACATCAAAACGTTGCAGGACATCGTGGCGAACGTGTGTGAGCAACATCTGGCCCCCAATGGGGTTACTAAGCCACACTACCGCCAATCATTGAGGCAAGATTTGTTCGAATATGGCATCCCCATGTTGATTTTGGTTTTGTCGAGCGCGTACTGTCTAGGTGAAATGGATGGAGGAGACGACGACGGTGAATACGATTTCCCTGGCTTTCCCCAATTTGGCACATTCACCACCAGTACAATACAATATCTCCTCCGCATCACCGGTTGGATCAAGCGTCTGGGGACAAGGCTGGTATCCGAGGTTTCGGACGACGAGGACGCCGAGGACGAGCATTTGGGCAATGTGGGAAGGTTCAAGACAAACGTGCTCAAGAGAAAGATCACAGAAAACAGGCAGCTTCTAAAGAAGCTCCTCGGCCCCTGGGACGAAACCTTAAAACAAGCGCTAAGCGACCTAGACAATAAAAAGATTGCCAAGGACGAGGCCATCAAGGGGGCTCGTCAGGCGGCCGAGGAAGCAGAGCTCGCCAAAAGGGAGGCCCAATATGCGGCATTCGCTTTGTCTATACAGCGCATTGGCTCACAACCATCACCCAGGGTGGAACAGTGGCAGTATACAAATGGGTCTATGGCAATGCCACGTTCATCGGGGGTAGTAACACCAGTGAGATCGGTACCCACACGTCAGCAGCAACCTGGGTCCCGTGTGTCAGCGACGTCGTCAAGACAGCCAAGGGTCCCGAGCACAGGGCCGACGTATTCTTGGCAGCGGCGCTCCTACAAGCCGAATTATCCCATGTGGTCGGACGAGAAGAAGAAATGGTTGTTGAACCAGCTACGGAACATTGGCCCTAGGGTCTCGGATATGGAGTACGAGGATTTGGCTGATGCCTTGCGGAAACCGATCACGGAAGTAAGGCATGAGGCATTAACGCTAAGAGCAGCTGCGAAGTCACTTGCGGAAGAGAGGGGGACCAAGGTCGAGTGGTGGGCGAGGGTGGATGATTAATATGATTATTTTACAGTATGGGCAATGGACTGGGATGGGAGTGATGAATACGGACGAGCATGGCAATTACTGATGATACACGGCGGATTTAATGTTCATGATTTGTGGGATTCGAATGATAGAGGTGCGTCAACACGTGTTAGCTTACAATATCATCAACCCCCTGTTCTGGAATGGGTTGACTGAAAAATCATTTTCAGGGCGAGCCATCTGCATCTCCCCAAGTGCTGTGTCCTTCTCAGTTTATGGTAACATTACAATGCGCAACGAATTGCCCAGGCTCTGATGAAACAAAGAGCTCCCAGGCCGCCTGTGACTTTTTGTGAGTATGGATAATGAGCAATCACTGCTTTGTTCCCAAGACTCCGGACTGAGCAATGCAGCGTCGTGGACAAAGAAAAGGGGCTGCCGCAACCGACATCTCCAGGGAGCTTCGTTCCCTTTCCGGATCTGGAACGAAACGACGAACAAACCACGGGCGATTGACAATGAATGAGGAACTTATTTTTTTCCTTTTCTTCTATCTATCTTCACCTGAATCCTTTTCCCCTAACACAACCTCGACTTTCAAAATCCTGCAGCAACCTCGAAGTTGATACAACTTCTATTTCGGCAAAACACCACACCAGCTCAACCAGACAAGCAAACAAACAAACAAACATCACCATCAGCTTCGACACTTGGCACCACAACCACAACCACAACCATCATCAACACCAACACACAACCCAACACCTCTCAACCTCTCAACCTCTCAACCTCTCAACCTCTCAACCTCTCAACCTCTCAACCTCTCAATCCCCCAAAACAAAATGACATCCCCCCCAACACCCCCTCCGCCCCCCAGCACCCTCACCACTCCCAACTCCACCGTCCCCCTCTACACCCTCCACAAAAACCTTTCACCCGGCCAGGGCCAGGGCCAAGCCATCCTCATCCGCCGCTCCACCGACGGCGCCATCCTCCTCGGCACCCCCTCGCCCTCCGCTTTGCTGAACAACCCTTCCTATGCGAGCAGCCATAAACAATTCTCCACCTTCTCGCCACCTTGTGTCTCTGCAGGTGGACAAGTTGACACAAACGTGGTTCGGGAGTTGATGAAGGGTGGTGTGCAGTTGGAGGCATCACCAGCTGGAGCCAGGGGGACTTCAGAAGGGATCGGGGCCCCCGAGGCCGCGGCTAGGGTGTTGAACCATGAGAATCTGGTTAGTTTGCATGGAGAGTGGGTGAGTGGGGTGGTGGATGGTGTTGGGGCGGTGTTTGGGTCCAGGGGGTTTGGGTTTGTCAATCAGAGCCAGATGGCGGGGGTCCTTGATAAGGGGGGGATGATGATGAAGAAGAGCAAGAGCGTGGATAAGACGGAAAGGTGGTTGGTGTGGGATTGGTGTGATGCGGGGAGCTTGAAGGGGTTGATTGAGTTTTATGGGGGGGGCGTGGGGGAGTGTGTTGTTTGGGGACATGTGGAAGCAGCAACGGGAGTTGAAAAGAAGAAAAAGAAGGGAAAGGGGGGTTTGCCTAGGAAAGAGGAATTGGGGACGGTGTTGACAGAAGGAAAACCAAGTCAAGTCAAACCAGGCGAGGGTTTCTTACCAGAGAGTCTAGTATGGCATGTTGCCTTGGGAGTTCTGCGCGCGTTGATGTTTTTGCACGAAGGGAAGCGGGACGTGGTAAGCGTGGAGAAGGATTCGACGGTGACAGGAAGCGGCGGGTTCAAAAGGGTGAGGAAGGTTCACGGACCGCCGGAGACAGAACCGGATTGGTTGCCTATCTTGCACAGAGATGTCAGGGCGGAGAATATCTACTTGCAGCATCCGAGGGGCGTGGAGACGTATGGTGCAGTGAAGCTGGGCGGGTTCGAGAATTGTTATGTTAGTGCGGCGGTGGTGATGGCGCAGGATGAGGAGGAGGAGTTTGAGAGGGTGCCGCTGGTGGCGATGGAGAGGGGGGAGGTGGTGGACGAGAAGGAGTTGAGGGATCGGTGGATGGAATGGGAGGATGAAGGGGATGGGATTGATGCGGTATGTTTCTTTCTTTTCTTTGACAATGGTCATGGTGAAGTAGGAAGTAAAGCGAGTGATGCTAACGAACCAACAACCTCAACAGTCCAAACGCCCCTACACCCGCGGCAACGACCTCTACGCCCTCGGCACCATCCTCTACCACATGATGGTCGGCCGTCCCCTGCCACCCGTCCCGGAGGAGTGTCATCTCTGCAAGTGTCACCACGTCCAGTTTTTGACCGGCGCCCCTGGCGAAAAGAAAAAGGCTTGCACCCACATGACCTGCGACTACCAAGACGTGAATCACGAGGTGGAAATTGGCCAGCTCATCAACACCGGTACCCGCGGGAAGTACTCCAAGAACCTGGCTGGGCTGGTGGGCTTGCTTCTGAGGCAGTATAGAAGCGATGAGAAGACGGCCAGTGATATTCTGGATAGGATCACCTGGAAGGCGTATGAGGAGTGGAAGACGGCCACACCCGATGGCAAGCTGTTCAAGGATGCGACGGACGATATGATGTTCAGGAAGAACAATGAGATTGTGGCGAAGAGGAATTTGGTGGCTCAGCAGAACAGTCGGCCTATGGATGTGTAGTTGGGAGATACAGGAAGATGGAAAGGGGGATGCAGATGTGTGAACAGGAAGATGGAAAGGGGGATGCAAGATGTGTAAGATGTGGTCATTGGTTTGAGATATAGAAGGGTAGTTTCGGGCCTGATTGTCATCAAACAGTTTAGAAGCTGCATGGCGCAGCGGAAGCGCGCCGGGCTCATAACCCGGAGGTCACTCGATCGAAACGAGTTGCAGCTAATCTTTTTGGTTTTTTCTCTGACTTTTTTTCTCTGACTTTTTGTTCGTTTGACTTTTTCCCCAGGATCTGCTGCTGGGTTGATACTGTGTAGCCCCGGTTTTCCCCAATCAAAGTGGAGAACCATCAATTCAAGTTCCCGGTTTCTTTTTTCTCTGCGTTCTTCAAAATGACTTGTTGACCTCTTTTCTTGTCTCGTGAATTATGGTATATAGCATGCTGAGCCTTCATTTAGACCCGAGTCACATGTTGCACGATATTGAAGACCATGGGGTACCCTAACCCTCGACGACAGCCCTGGAACGAGGCTGTGGGGAAACCTAATTTGAAGCACTTATCTTATCGATAAGTTACCGTGACCTCGCTCCCTCGCCTTCTCCACCACTCGGCTTCCATCTCCGGGTCTCTTGTTCCCAGTTCCACAAAGCAACGTTAAATTGTGACAGTGAAGACGGGATTGAAACAAGGCGACTTTGTGCCATTGCTCGACAAACATCATACGATTACACGACCTCTCTGGACAAACCTATACCGACGACACAACTCTACTGAAGAGACAAGAGCGTCCTCATTAAGCGCTCAAAAGTGCCGCCCTAGTAGTACCTCACGCACCTAGCTCGCCTCGGACATCCGCCGACCCCAACAACGGCAGTTCGTCCCCGACCCGCAAACAGCGAGACACCAAGCTCCATTGAACAACACAACGAACCCACCCAGCGATAAGGGTGTCTCAACGGACGATCGATCACTCCACGCTCTCTTCTGTGCCGCTTTTCTTTGTTTCCAAACATCATCTTGTCCAGAAAGAACCGTCCTCATCTACACGAACGATACTCGGCGCATAACCGCGATCCATTGCTCTCAAATACCCCGACAATGTCACCTCCAAACGCCCCTGGCGCTGGCGCTCCACCACCCTTCTCCTCGACCCCAGACCCCACTCCGGCGACTACAACGGCAATAAGCAACCTGATGCCTCCTCCCCCGCCTCTGCTCCTCAGCAAGCGCGTCACCGCTTTCCTCCACGCAAACCTCTCGCCATACATCCGAACGGCGGCGCTGACCACCCCCGCGGGGAAACTGCTCGCCCATGCTAGTAACGGGCTGAGCGCTAGCGCGCTGAGGCGACAATGCGCCGTGGCCGCTTCACTTTGGGGACTCCATCACCCGTCAGGCTCTGGATACGGTGGCGGCGACGCGCATACGGCAGAGGACCACCATGTGATTGGGAGTCCAACAGGGAGCACAGCTAGTCAGAGCACAGTTGGGACAACGAGGGGGGGCGCAGCAGGAGGAGGCGGGCTAAGGGCGCGGCCAGTGCCTGGACAGGCGGTCACGGTGCAAATGGACAACGGGCTGGTGTTTGTCATCAGAAGGCTGAGGTGCGGTATGTTGTTCATATGCATGGGTGGTGAAGAGGGACACGGCAATGGGAAACAGCCAGGGGAGACGGAAGCGAATGGAGAGGGGCCACCGACACCACATCTCGACCCTGGTCACCAACACCATCTCCCCTTGCGCGCAGGGCCACATCGGACACCTACATCATCGTCAGCGACGTCGGCGAGGTCGAAGAGGGAAGCCGATCTTTCTGGGGAAAACACACCCCTTAGCACATCCAACAACACGGCGCCGTCTGCGTCGACCAGTCAAGGCAGCAACACCAACGCCGCTAACAATGCCACATCAGCCGCCCGCGGTCCGTCAGCCTCGAGCGTCCGGGCAATGAGGAGACAGGTGGAGGAATTGGCGCGTTGGCTGGATGAGCGACTAGGCACGCTCCATGTTCCGGAGGAGGGCATTGGTCTTGGGTTTGGAGGGTCTCCTTGAGTGGAGTTGCGGTAGAAACAGCACAAATAACTTGATGACGACTTGGCGATGAGGCGCAAAAGCGAATACCATGGTTTGTAGTTACATAATATCTTAATAGAGATGTCTTAAGAGGAGGATGGGCAACCTAGCAAGACTGCTTGAAGAGAGGAGAGAGAGAAGGGTTCAAACAACAATCCAAAAACGCACAATGATGTCTCGGGATTTGTTGGCTTTCTTGAAGCGGCATTGCATCATACCCAGCGGATAGCCAAATGCAAGACATGTTTCGGTTTTGTACCAACTTGGTGACCTTTCGTGACATTCTGTTTTTGCCCTAGCAATCCATCTTCCATACTCCCTTAGATGATCAAAGGGTGACCCTCGCCCGAACCTCGGGGCTCTGTTTACGCCAACATGGAGTGTCCCCGGCTGCCCCTTTCCCACCAATCTGCTCCCCGCAAACCCCTATGACGACAGTGGGGTCCAGCGCTTATCGGAGCCCAACTCATAAGATACGCGTACACCTCGGATAGCTCTTCCCCCACTTGACAACTTCCCTTTGAACAAACAACAACATAAATCACAACAAGTCAGATCGCGTGTCTATTCCAGAAGACGAAATACGACCACCATGGATCCAACATTCAAACCCCCGCCTCCCGTCGGCTCCTCTCCAACAACCTTCCCACCCCTCCCCAAGCTCGAAATCCTGAACCCTTCCACCCTCCCCCCCCACCGCTTCCTCCGCCCAGCCAAGCGCATCAACGAAGGCCCCGACGTCTCGCACTTCCTAACCTCCAAAGCCTACCGCGACATTTGCGTTTGGATCCTCCAGCTCAACCACGCTCTCGTTCCGCGAATCATCAAGAAGTCTACCGCAGCTCCTACGACAGCTCCCAAGCCCACAGACGAACAGAAGGCGGAAGCCAATGAAGAACCACCCAAAGACGCCCTAGCGGCCAAACTCCAGTTACTACGCAAGAAGAGGGATGAGCAGCTGCTGCCCAGGGAAGAGATCAAGACGTTCCCTTTGCCTAGTTCTAGGGAAGGAGGGTTAGATAACCAGGAACCCGAATCGATTCAGAAATTACAGCGGTTGTTGAAGAAGGTGGAAGCCATCATTGACGAGGCGCCGCCTGATCCTGGTCCGAGACGGTTTGGTAATGTGAGCTTTAGGACGTGGTATAAGTTGTTGGAGAGCAGGGCGGATGGGTTGTTGAGGGAGTATTTGCCGGGAGGGGTTTTAAGGTGGGAGGGCGCGGGTACCACCAAGGAGGAGAGACAGAATAAAGAGGAGGAAGAGGGGACGGAAACGGAGACCGAGACCGAGACAGAGGGAGAAAGTGATAAGAAGACAAATGAGCAGAAGCCAGAGGTTGTGGGGCCTTTGGAAGAGCTCAAGGCGTATTTTCTGGGTGGGTTTGGGAGTGCGCAACGGTTGGATTACGGGACGGGACATGAGTTGAGCTTTATGATGTTTCTCGGTGGGTTGTGGAAGCTGGGTGGGTTTGAGGGAGAGGAGAATGATGAGGATGGGGAGGTTGAGAGGAGGATCGTGTTGGGAGTTGTTGAACCGTATGTCTATCCCTTTCCCTCGCCAGCCTACGATACTGACGGATACCTGACAGCTACCTCCGCGTCATCCGCCGTCTAATCCTAACCTACACGCTCGAACCAGCCGGCTCCCACGGCGTCTGGGGTCTCGACGACCACTCCTTCATCCCCTACATCTTCGGCTCAGCGCAATACACCCGCCCCATCTCCTCGCCCAACGAACCCACACCCCTCGAGGGCTCCGTCCCTAACGCCCCCAAGCCCAGCGACATCACCAAAGCCACTGCCGTCGAGCGCTACCGCACCGAAAACATGTACTTCTCCGCCATCGGCTTCATCAACGACGTCAAGAAGGGTCCCTTTTGGGAACACAGCCCCATCCTGTTTGACGTCTCCGGCATCAAGGACGGCTGGGGCAAGATCAACAAGGGCATGATCAAGATGTTCAACGCCGAGGTGCTTAGCAAGTTCCCCGTTGTGCAGCATTTCCCCTTTGGAAGTCTGTTCCAGTGGGAGAAGGATCCGGAGGCGGGGGTCCCCGTCCAGAGCGTACACATGCAGAATCAGCCGGTTGCTTCGGCTGCTTCTGCTGCGGTCACTGGTGGTGTGGGTATTCCTACGGAGAGACCGTCGGGGCCTGGGGGTGTGACAGGGACAGCGGCACCTTGGGCTCAGGCTCCTGCGCAGGCACCTGGAGCTGGGGCTGGCATGCCTCCCCCGATGACGGCCGCGCCGTGGGCAAGGTCATCGGGAGCGGGAGTTGGACCATCTACGGCGAACAGGTTCACGCCATTCAAGCCTAGTGGAGGGCCGGGAGGAGCCCCGAATACGGGACCTCCGCCGCCGGAGTCGTTCCCGAGCGGAACGCCGGGGACCGCGAGTAATCAGTTTGCGGTGACGAAGGCGCCGTGGGCTAAGTAGTAGTGGTGTCTGAACGCAAGTGGCATTAATGAAAAGGTGAAAATACGAGAGATGTTAATAGATGAACGATACCCATCACTTTGTCAGCTCAAAAGATCCAACAATTTCATACAGGTCGAAATCTACGGCAGTTCGGCACCGTGTGGTTGCGAGGACGTAAGGTACATCGGTTAGAACCAACAGTGGTTTTTTGTTTCAAACGATCCCACCAAAGATTGTTTTCGTGAAATCTTGAAATTTGATTTCGAAAATTATTTTCATTTCCAAATCACAGACTCCATGAAGTAAAATCCTTGACTTCAAACTCACTTCAAGAAACATCGTGAAGTCGAAAAAAGAGGTCGGCTCCCGGCACGTTAAACCCCACAACCCGCTATCATCCAAGCCATTCCACAAGATCATCTCACAGGCTCACAGCGCCGAGCAGCGCGGGGAAGAGCGCTAAAGCTTCGGACAAGCACCAAAGCACCCTCGGCGCACGCCGCCCAGAAGAGCCTTGAAAGCTTGACACCCACCACACTGCTTTATTAAGCTTCCTGTATTACCCGATCCGATAGCCTGGAAGCCGATTGTAAGGCATCCCAATAAGCCTTCATGCAGGGCAACGTCACCTGGACGACTTGGTCACACCCTTGAATTTTCCTTGAGCCGGTTCGGTTCAGCAACAAAAAAAAGCCACGAGGTATCGTGTGATACAGGAGAAAAGAGGGGTTGATGATAAAGTTCAAGAGAGAGAAAAAGAGAGAAAACGTGGAAGGGAAAGGAAGGTGGAAAGATGAAGAAAGGGAGATCTTAAACAAGAGGAAAACGATGGGATCCACGAGCTGAGATCTTCTCCACGTGGGAAGAGAGGAGTCTCTGAATGGAGCTTCGCGGAAAGTGTGGACTTGTGGATTGATTTCGGAGAGAAAGTTGTGGGGATAAACAAGGGGTTCCATGTTTTATGATTCTGTGAGTCTTATCAGATACTCTGAATTGGCGGAGGGCGAGACGGCGCCGAGATGGGCGGCGAGGAAGAGTGAGCATATGCAAGGCGATGATCTCTTGGGCCCCTATTTGCACGTACCTCAAAATATTCGTCGTTATCGTGAAAACCCAAAAGGTTTTGTTGGAAGCGAGGAGATTTCGTCAACTTCCTCAACACCCCCTTGTCGTGAGGGTTGCGCCGAGCATGGAACGCTGCATTGCAACTACGACTACGTTTTATGCGCAGGGCAGGCAGGGTAAGTAAAGTTGAATGGTAACTATCTGCCGCCGGACGAACATTGCCAGGGAAGTTACCAGCCCGTTTTTCCCTCAAACTTATACCAAAAGAGGAATGTCAATATTCGAATTCGCGTCCGCCCGCCACTTACCTACACACGTGCCGCAGTATCCAACTCCCATTCCTTCAGTTCTCGAGCCTGTGATTGTCCTCCTTTCTTTCCTTCTTTGTTCAAGTTCCATTGCCTCGGTTCTGGGTGAGCTGGGCTGAGCTGCCCGATAGCTACACTAGTAGCTTCAGGGTAGCTTTCAAGTTGGTAAAAGTTTACTACAGTTGATTGACAGCCTCTTTCTTCTTCTCTTCCTCCCTTTCACCTTTTTTTTTTCTTCTCCCCTTCCCTTTCATACTTTTTCTCTTTCAAACCTACCTACGACTGACTCTCCAATATCGCAAAGTAAGGTTGATATCAAGTCGAAGTCGAAGTATACCTTATCCGGTGTCGACTTATACACATCCCATCCCGGCGCAACAACAACAATGTTCGGACTCGGCCGCCAGCGCAAGGCCGAATCTGAGGCCTCAGCGCAACCCGTCGATCATCACAATGTCGATACCGTCGTCAACGAAGGACAAACGCGGGGAAAGACGAACTGGAAGAATCTCATTCCTGTGATTGCTTGTGGCGCTGGACTTTTTTCCGATGGGTATATCAATAATGTATGTCTTTTTCAGTCTCTCGTTACTTTTCTTTAAGCTGAATTACACTCGATGCAAAGCGCAAGACATTGCAAATTCGATAGAGGAAAGGGAAAGACTGACAAGAAGAACGCTCCAGGTCATCGGCTCCGTCGTCACCATTTTAGACCGAGAGTATGAGGACATATGGAGAAACTCGAACGCGAAGAAGTACGTGGGCGACATTGCGTTTGCCGGAACGGTGGTGGGAATGTTATTGTTTGGATATTTGTGAGTTCTCTTCTCTTCAACTTCAAAGTGCTTACTGGTTGGTGATGAAAAAGTGAAGAGAGTGATGAACTAACCAAAGGGGAAAAACAGATCCGATAAATGGTCGCGAACAAACTCCCTCCTAGTCTCAACCATCATCCTCATCATCTTCGCCGCCCTCGCCGCAGGAAGTTACTACAAGGGCGACGCAATCGGCATGTTCAACATCCTTACCGCCTGGCGCTTTTTCGTAAGCTCGCTCCCGTCCCCTTCCTCCCCATCCATCCTCTTTTGTCAAATTACCTATCAAACTAACAACCCCCCTCACCAAAAGGTCGGCGTCGGCATCGGAGGCGAATACCCCGCCGGCTCCGTCGGCGCCGCCGAAAACACGGGCGAGCTCAAATCCGGCCAGCGCAACATGTGGTTCATCCTGTTCACCAACTCGATGATCGACTGGGGTTTCGTCATTGGCGCCTTTGTGCCGTATGTCGTTTCCGCCGCCTGCCACAACGGCCACCTGTCGACCATCTGGCGCACCAGTCTCGGGATCGGCGTCGTTTTCCCCCTTGTGCTTTTCGTCTTGCGCCTCTTTGTGTCTGAACCAGAAGAGTTCCAGAAAAACAGCATGAAACACGCCCGCACCCCTTACCGGCTTGTCCTCAAGTTCTACGGGTTCAGACTGTTTATCGTGTCTCTGATCTGGTTCATCTATGACTTTAGTGCTTACAGCTTCGGGATTTATAGTCCCAAGATCGTCGCTAACATATATCCCGATGGTTCCCCCCTGACGACCATCTTCGGCTGGAACACCGTCATCAACCTCTTCTACATCCCGGGAACCATGCTGGGCGCTCCCGTCTCCGACCTCCTCGGCCCTCGCTACGCTCTAGCTCTGGGCGTCTTCCTTCAAGCCATCGTCGGCTTCATCATGGCCGCCTGCTACTCCTCCCTCGCCCAACCCGGTCGCGTCGCCGCCTTCGCCGTCGTCTACGGCATTTTCCAATCGCTTGGGGAACTAGGACCGGGAAATAACATCGGCCTCATCGCCGCCAAGACCTGCGCCACTGGTATTCGTGGCCAATATTATGGTCTTGCAGCCGCCGTGGGCAAGATCGGTGCCTTTGTCGGGACCTGGGTTTTCCCTTATATCGAGGCGGCGGGGGGAGGGGATGAAAGGTTGGCGGCGCAGTATCCGTTTTGGGTGTCGAGTAGTCTGTGTGTCCTGAGTGCAGCATTGGTGTTATTTTGCTTGCCGCATATTGGGCAGGATACGATTCAAGACGAGGATGCGCGGTTTAGGGCGTTTTTGGAGGAGAATGGGTATGATACGAGACAACTTGGGTTGAGGAAGGGGGAGGAGATGGGCATGGGGGAGGAGGGGGTGGAGGGGGTGGAGGGGGTGGATAATGTAGATGATGTGCCGGTTGAGAAGAGGGCTAGTCCTACTCAGTGAGGACTGGTGGTTACCTAGTTAGGTGATAGGGCTCGCTTTCTGGGGATTAAAGAGGGGGGTTGGTTGTCTTTGAGCGTGGAGTTTTGTCGAGTTAGTTAGTAGTTTGAGGCTGCTTAATGATGAGGGCCAGCCAGGGCAATGATGATGATGATGATTATGAAATGATATCCCGTACGTAGTAATTTGAAGTAGCACAATACATACTCATATGTCACTTCACGATCGATGTTTGGACAGAAGTTCGGAGTGTGACACTAAATTGAATTGACCAGAGGGAATCGCCTACCTACCTACTTTGCCTATAGACAGACCTAGACTAGACCAAAGGAAAGGGCTGTGAAGCCGCCCAAGAGACAACCAACCACCAGTGACACCTGAAGTGACTCCCCTATCTCCGACCATTGTACATACCCAAGGCACATAACTCCATATTCAAATGAGTGAATGTCCAATAATGCTATCGACAGAAGGAAATACTGAAACGAAAGGCAAACAAACGACCACTAAACAAAACTGAAGAGTCCCATGATGATGAAAAGCAGACCAGCCGACCGGCCCTTTCCACTTACCGTACAAAACACAAAGCCAGACCAGAACCAACCAACCGATGCACCCCTGTGTAGGCAGACCACAAGAACTCCCCGTTCCGGCTCACAAACACCAACGACCCTAGTACACCAAGTACACCCATACACCTCAAGCACCGAGTATGCTGATGTTCCACAGTCCGTCCGTCTCATTCCTCCCAAATGCCATGTACATACCTAATATCCGATCCAATCCATACCCATGCCATACCATCCATAAATCAACGTCAATCAGACCTCATCCCCTCATCCATCTATCCATCCATCCATCCATCATTGCTCCCCCCTATGCGACTCATGCACACTCCTAGTAGCACCACTTCCAACACCACTCCCGTGACCATGACCATGACCATGACCATGGTGACCATGATGACCACCAGCATCAGCAACCAACCTCACCTCCCTCGCCTCTCCCCCACCATACTGCCCTCCATACTGCCCTCCATATCCACCATACCCTCCTCCTCCACCATTACCACCATTACCACCACTCCCCCCCTCCGACCCAATCCCCGCCCTATAACTCCCCCCACCATACAACATCTCCATCAACTTCCCCTTCTGCCTCGTCCTGACGCCCTCGAGATAAACACCCACGTCTTCCAATCCGCGAATCTGCTCGTCAATAGTTAAAGTGGAGCTATTGACCGATCTCACCAAGGGGGAAACCAGTTTCCGCCGGAGGTTTTCGAGGGAAGCTTTAAGCGCCAAAAGTTTATGGTTGTGCTCCACCAGTATCCCCTTGTTGCGCACCGTCTTCTCGCGCACGTTGAGAAGCAAAAGCCGGTTGCGCTCGTATTTCTGGATATCGGACGCCTTGGCGCCTAGTATTCTCGTCCAGAGGGAACTCAACAAATCCGCGTGGAGTTCTTCTTGCAGGGAACTTTCGCGCACCACCGTGCGGGCTAGATTCAAAAATTGGTGGTCGATGGCTTCGAACAAGGCAAAGATGGCGAGCGAGTGCTGCAGTTCGTTGGTGATGGCCTCCTCGAGGACGGCGAGGAACTCGTTGAAGGTGCGCTGGAGGGTGGTCCTTGTGCGTTGAGGGGTGGACGGCCCGAAGAGGGAGGTGGCGATTAGACCGAGGCGGGTGGGCTGGGAGGTGTCGGGGTCTTCGAGGATGCCGAAGGCGGAGAGCAGGTTGTGGACGTTGTCGAAGAAGGAGGAAAGGGGGGGCGAGGGGAAGTGTTGGAGTTGGGAGAGCTCGCGGCGGGCCCAGTCCATTACTATTAGGATGCTGTTTGGGACTGTTAGTGTATGATTTAATGGCATAGGATATGAAGGGGAGAACATACCCATCGATGTCACCGTCTACGTTGGCAAAGAACTTGGTTAGTTCGATTGCTAGCGTCTTGAGACTCTCGCTCAACTCGTCCAGCTCCTTGACGATAATCGGCGCCGACGTGAGGTTACTGCTCCGAACACTCTCGCCTAGATCCCATACCGCCACGCCTGTCGCTTGCAGGTCGCCTACTTGCTGGATGCCATTCTCGGAGTAGTAGATGAGCGGCTCAAAGGAGCGCGCCACACCGGCCACCTTGACGAGATCAGGCACGGGGCTCATAGACGCCGGCTGAAAGAGCGACCGCATGGCGGCATAGGAAAGAATGGCTACGAGTCCCGACAGGAACATGGATGACCATGACCTAGTTAGCGGGCCGAGCCATTTGCGCAAGAAAGCAACGGCTGTTTCAATGGGTTCTGTACGCTGGTGGACTTCTGCCCTGACCGCGAAGCGGAAGTCTACAAGTGAGGGAGTTAGCCGTGATGCGTTCGGTTCAGATGTCTTACTTTCTTATGTCATGATCGATCTCTCATTTGTTGGGACTATGAAGGGTGATTGTGGATGATGAAAGGGAACAAAGAAATCAAACGAACAGTTATCAGGGCCCTTACGAGGTAACCCCCTCAAAACCATGCCCGCATCCTCCTCCATCGGTTCTTCCTTGATCTTGACATCGTCTTCCTCGATTACCGGCGCTAGCCTTTGGTGATGCTGCTGCTGGCGTTCGGCCTGCTTTTGCAACTGTTGACGCCGCGCATACTCTGGCTCTGGGCTCCTCTCCTTTTCAGGACTTAGGCTTCCCGTTGGTAACCTTGTCCTGATGGCTTTCTGCAGGATTGCGTCCTGGTCCATATCGTCTTCATTCATGCTATCATACTCGGGACTGGTTTCGAACTCCCTTGACCAGCCGCCGTTCCCTAGACCGCCGCCTAGACCGCCGAAACCATTCAGCAAGAGGGGGTCGATGTCATTGAGATGCGAATTAGCCTTGCGCCAGAAGCCGCTGCTCCGGTCGCCGTTGCCGAGGCGCCTCCAGGCTGGCGGGCTGTAGCCACCGTGTGAGGCTTCCCCGCCATCCGCCTCCTGGTCGCTCATGTCGCTCTCCGTGTCGTCGCTCCGGAAACCCGAGTGCACTGATGGGTATCCGAACGGTGTCGCCTGCTGGTGATGATGGGGATGCTGGGGGTGCGGAGTTTCGCCTTTGGCCGAAGTAGTCGGGAGGGGGATGCTGAAGAATCGGCTGTTGGTCCGGCTTACTGGGAGCGAGTGACAGTGCTCGAAGTCCTCCAGTGAATCGTCGAGAAGATGGTCGAGATGCCCTAGGTTCTTCGGCGGGGCCGCCGTTACAGCTGTCATGGTTGGCAAAGATTTGGCGCGTGCCGTAGCTGATGACGTGGCGCGCGCTGCTGCTGCTGGTGACTGGGCTCGGTGAAGAATCTCTGCTGGTGCGGTAGATGTTCAGTCGCAAGAGTCCTCCACTCTTTTCCTTGTCTCTTTCTTTGGTCAACTTTTCACTGCTGATGTTGCTATCGTTGCTTTTCTTCCTGCCAAAGAATTCGAGTAGGGCCGGAAGTTGCTTATCGGTGATGGCTTTCTGTTGACGTTGTCGGTAATGTAGTTCCCTTGTTTCTATCCCTTGGGCGCCGTCGTGGTCTGGATAATACTGTTGCTGATACTGATACTGTTGATAGCAGTCGTCCTGATGCTGAGAATAGTTGCGATTCCAATTTCGACGGTTTATCTCTTCAATCCCTTCTCGATATCTTGGGTCTTTGGGCGCAGTCGGGTATGCGCCAACTTGTTTGCGATGGCTGCCTTTGGCTTTGTCGAGAAAGTTGACGCGGAAGAACAAGGCCTTCAAGGAAGCGAGTCGCGGCAGGTAAAAGTAGAGAAAGAAGAGGAGGACGACAAGAGAGGCGACCCAGGCACTTGGTGCTATGGTCAGGCTTATGAGTGATACGTTGTTGTTGACGGTGAAGAGTGACTGCATCGGATCGAAGTGGTTGTCTCCCTCTGGGACTCGGGCGCAAGGCAGCAATCGCAATGGTCGCAACACCGATTGAAGCCAATTGCCTGCTTGCGCAAACGAGAGAATGAATCGGCGCTCTTCCTAACAAGTCGCTATCGTGGTCGCCTGGCTCTGCTGAGTATGCGCCGCCAATAGTCGTGGTGGTTTGGTCAAGGTATTAGGGTCCTCTTTGGGATATGCTGGACCTGGTGCCTTGAGATGTTGAGGTGAAAGATGGAGCAACTTTGGGATGATGCTGTGGATGGTGGTGGATGGGATGGATGTACCGTTCCTTCGATGGGATGGAATGCGGCAGCGGGGGGCGTTCGGGCGCTAAGGTTGAATCCGGAGGGGGAGAGAATACTTTTCCTGAGGCACAGAGAGGTACCGTTAAAGTGCTTGCATATGGTCAAGCGAGTGAGATAAGCCAAGACTGATATTCTAAACAGGGATGGTATGCAACCGCTCAGATGGGATTCGCTATCTGGTCGACACTGTATAGAATGAAGCTAATGGCCGAGTTGGAAATAGAATGGGTGAAATGGGATGTACAGACGAGGATCAAGATGCGCACGAGATGTCGGGAATGGAATGTGTGCGGTGGGGGGGGGGGGCGGGGGACATCGTCGAGGGAAGTCTCCATCATCTCCATCTCCATCCCCATGCCATGCCCATGCCCCATGCCCCATGCCCCATGCCATGCCCCGGTCGTCCCCTCTCCCCTCCACTCTTCTTGTCCTCCCCTCTTCCAATTCACTCTTCTCCTTCCTCCCCACCACACCACCATCTTCAACGCAATCGCAATTCATCAATGGCACATGGGTTACACAGGCAGAGAGAACCCTTGGACGGTCAAGACCAACAGTCCAACGCATCCACCCTCCATCCCGTCAACGGTACTCACGCATATGCGTTGCGGCGACAACATTTAAACGAAATGGCTGGACGAGGAATCTCCCGTGAGACACACATAACAACACTCCACCACCGAGTCGACTTTAACTGCTCCGTTTGTTTACGTCCCTTCTTGATTCGTTCGCTACAGTACACACGATACTGTACTGTACAGTCCAAAGGCAGTTAGTCCAAAGGGAGGATGGACAGAACCTCTCATTGGGCCATTATTGTCTACAAACTGGTGTTTCACCGCATCACTGTTTGTCGAATCGTTTTCCGATCTCTCCGTCTTGCCGGCCAGTGGTTATCCATCTCCTTCTCCCGTGTTGCCCGTCTCCCCGTCCGTCTTTCTTGTTTGGACCGTTGAGAACTGGTTCCGGAATCGGTGAGGGAGGTTGTTCCCTCCCTTCCATTTCCCTACTTTCCTCCCTTTTTCTTTTCTTTCTTTCATTCTTTCTTCTCATTTATCTTTCTTCCTCTCTTTCCCTTCTGACCCCTTCTCCCAATACATATGCTTCATAAACACAGCCACCATACCATACACCAAGTCCAAAATATTCATTCGTTTCCATCAACCGTCTGTCAAAACCAAAACGTCATCCAAGTGGATCCTCAACCAACCGTTGTCGTCCGTCGAACGGACCGTCGTTGTCATGTGAGTGGGGCATTTGGAAAAGCGGGGCAATTGGTCGGTTACGTATCGCCCCGCTTCTTAAACTTATCGATAACTGATAGGACGGAGTCTCGTCCTCCCCCCTCCATCACGACTTAACACAACGGACGGACTCCGAAGGACGAAAAGCAAAGAAGAGTTACACAAGACTTGACGCTTGAAGCCAACGAAGCCAACGAATCAGTTCTCGGTCGATTAACAGAGAGGTAGTCGATAGGAGAGGAAAAGAGAACAGAACTCGTTACTTTCCTTCGTTTCCCTTTTTAGGACCGTTTACCCCGGTACACAACCCCCTTGCTCAGTCTCTGGTCATACATACCCCCCTTTACACAGTCCTCACAGTCCAACCGACACAACAAGGGTACGGTTTCCCTTATCAGCTGACGATGGCTGAGCACTCTTCATGGGCTTCATAATCTTCTCACGTGAACGAACCCAGTGAGCCAAAGAGAACCAAGCGAAGAGAAGGAGAGAAAAGATAACGGCAATTCTCGGTTAGCTGAGGACTCTTTTTATCTTCAGAGGCTTCTCACGTGAACTCTCAGTCCAACCAGGGTGAAGAGGAAGTGACATGGTGAAGATATCTATAATATAATGACGGGGTACCACACCTGCACACCTTCAGGTCGGGTGAGGTTGTGAGGCAGATCAGATCGTCGAGATAAGAACACTGCTTAGCACTCTTGGACTCTTAAGTAGTGATGTAGGTATAGGTACCTAGAACATTATCAGATCGTCATTCATTCCATGAGGTGACTGCAGTGTGTTCTCTTCACTTCATCCCTGTCTGTAAATGAAGATCGATCCTAGGTATACATAGTATCTACGAATGAGTGGGCTTCAAACGGCCGTCAGGCTGCTTGCTCTATTCCAGGACCGCGTGGCGGAATGGATATACGACCGGGAGCTAACTACTCGAGATAGTACGGAACTCTCTCTTCATTCCTGCATACCGGTCTGTAGAGATCGATCAAGAGTAGTTGAGCAACAAGTCAACCGACACATTCGCACACAAAGACAGTAGTAGATGGAATTGGTAAGAGTAAGTGAGAAGAGATTTAAGTATCGTACTAGTTTACGTAGGTATCGATCGTACTGTGTAAAAGACTTATTACTCCAAAACGACCGATCGCTGAATCTGGGTGAATACATAACCTCACCACCACCTCGAACCACTTTGCAAGTCGCCCGTTTCGTCGTTACCTGCTTTAGCGAACCCAAAGTTCCTTTGTAATAATTTGATATTACGCTTACTTTTTATTCCTTTCTTTTCTGGTTTCCCATGCATGTTTTTTCAGTTGCCGTAGTGTTAACCCGACTGCCCCATTACATCCACCATTCGTTTCCCTTCCTGACTATAGCGCCATTCCCCAAACCACAACAGTAGCCAGTGTCTTCCGCAACGATAACCGCAACTCCATCTACCAAAAAAAAGCTTACGGCTTAACTCAACCACCCCGCAGGACCCGCCGCCGATTTCTAATCAATCTTTGCGCTGGCCAAGCTCCTCGCCGTCGGATTATTGATATTGTTGACCTGGTGCGTCGCCGGCAGCCTCTTGTATTTGCTCTGCTTCCTGAGGCGTTTCCTGGCCACCATGACAGGGACCGAGCTCTTGGTGACGAGGTAGTTGGAGAAGGAGCCGAGGATGACACTAGTGATCACCTTTATGTTAGTACCTAACTCGAGCGAAGCGAGGAAAGAAAAAAAAAAGGAAAAAAAGGACATACCCCTTGAGCGCACTCCTTCCTCTGCTCCCCAAAATCACCAACGTCGGGTTCACATGATCAATCACCTCCGTGATCAAATGCTTCGGGTTCTTGCAATGCAACACCTCTACAATCACTCGCACCTGCAACCTTGTCTTGCGCAACAACTTGGTCACCCGCTCGCTGATCTCCTGAATCGCGCGGTACCTCTCCTCCTCGGCCCTGCTGCGCTCCCGGCTCGAGTGCGACGGCGTCGGCGATGGATCCTCGCCAATCGCCGATGCGCTGTTGCCAGTTGCTAGCAAGCCCGAGGCATCCATGCTCGTTGCTGCCAAGGGAGAGAGCGTGCCTGCGCCTCCTCCGTGTTGTATGGCGCTCTTGCTGTTGGCCATTCTGTTGAGCGCTGTGGCCGCCTCTCTCATGGCTTTAGGGTCGTCGGGAACCATGCCTGTTGCGAGCGAGTTGCCGTCGGCGCCGAGGATGCCTGTTTCTTCGTCCACACAGTAAATAGCCATGAGGGTGTCCCCGTCTCTGAGAACTGTGCCGATAGCCCATTCCAGAGCGTGTGTCGACTCCTCGCTAAGGTCGGTGGCGACCAGATATTTGCGTGGGTGGTTGTGCTCGTCCTGCGTCTCCTGAACCAGCTTGGAGTACTCGCCACGGGTAATGATCTGAATAGTCCGGTGTACCTCGGGCTGGCTAATGATTTGGGTCATGGCGAACGAGAGTTTCTGGGCACGCTTGATATCGGTAAGGTCTGCCTCGGCATCCGAATCGATAGGCGTGCGAGATCCGGATGACGGGAGATCGAAGCTCGTCGCAGGATGTACTCTAGACCTACGGGTTCGCCCTGATGGTCCGGTTACCGTGATCGCGGGTTCGTCGAGCAGGGATCGGTACTTGGGCTGGGGCTGTTGCTTTTCCACCTGAATGCCTATACCACCAACACCGTTAGTAATCTCTTTCGCACCATAACCTGAACAATAGAGCTTGAACATACGTTCTTCCTCCGCCGCAGCCAACAAGCTCTTGACCTGTCTGTTTCCCTGCGCAGACTCCGGAACTTGCTTTGCCTGGTTTCCAGTGGTATTCCGGGCAGCTTTCCTGCCCCTATCCGACTCGTCCTCGGACGAACTGCCATTCTCTTCACTGCTATCTTCCACCAACGGGTCGCCATCCGGGCTCAGGTAGTCCTTAACCAATCTCCCACTTCCAGGCGTATCGTCCGATTTCTTCCGTAGTGTCACTTCTGCCAGATTGCCTCCCGACCTAACAAGAGCCGCATCCGACAGGTGTCTGTACGCGGTATTCATTTTGTAATCCAACGCCTCGTCGAGCAACGCCTTTCCGGCAGGGCTAAGAGTTCGCTCGGCCAGCAATTCGTGAGGCGACTTGGAGCGCATGCCGGCGCGGCCATGCGGGGACTTGGATTTGGACTTGTTCGAGGGTCGTGCCGCCGAGACGCTGGGGCCGGGAAGCGAGGTGTGGCGTCCCCTCTCGCCGGGAAGAGCCAGATTACTGACGTCGTTGCCTCTCATAACTTCAGCCATTGACGAACTCTGGTTTTTTTTCTTTCCACCCTGTGTAACTCGCTTGGGAAGGGCCTGACCGGTGTGGTTGGGGTTGGTGACAATGTCGCCGAACTGGTAGCTGTTCATCGGGTTTGACCGCGCCGAGGCCCTGGGGCCAAAATCGGCCGGCTT